TTTTTTTTTTTTTTTTTTTGCCCCACACAAAAAACACAAAACCAAAAATTTTTTTTTTAAAAATTATTTTTTTTTTTTTTTTTTTTTTTTTTTTTTTTTTTTTTTTTTCCTCGGTTGCGCCGTCTCTTCGGCGAAAAGGGGGCCGCATTCAAAATACATACCCGGTCTACATGTTACAGGCGTTTCGTGTGTTATTCTACCTCTTACCTTTTTGGCGGGGCGAGACCAGGCCAGGCGAGACGAGGCGAGAAATTGATTATCATTTTTTTTGCATCATAGCTAAGAAATGCAGGATAGCTTTCTTTCCTTCGAGGCTTCGCGATTCTGGAGAGCCAAAGCTAGCTTCGGTGTGTGGGGGGATTAGTTGTTATCATGCAAAGAGAGGAAGATTTTTTTTTATTTTATTTTTTTGTTACGCCTCGGGGCGTGTATGTCAGTGTGTGGGCGGGCGGATGACGATTGGTTTTGCGATGATAATGGGACGGCCATAGTCTACTACTCAGGAAAAAGATAGCTCGCCGCAAGGTTTGGTCACACGCAAGAATAACTTAGCATATTTTTATCGCCTTCTCGGCGTGGCGGGTCGCAGGCGAACGCATACGGTCCGCAGGAGACCCGACACGTCTAATAGATTTTGCGCTATGAAATACATTTTGATACCTAACCTGACCTAACCTTGTCTTACTTACTTGTCAATGGGTATTATATTGTGCATACATCATCATACATGATTGCTGGTGACTCGTTTCTTGTCCTTACCGCCTCCGTCCCGTACGTTAGGGGTCCACTCCTTATAGACGTGGCAGTGATGAATCCTATGTGGGAGTGTTTTAGTGTGGCGTTCTAACGCATGGCATATGATACCTATGTGGGCGTGATACTTGTAGCAAAGTGTAACTAGTAAAATATAGAAATAGCTATGACAAATCTGTTCTACAGAATACCATATGAATACCAACAGGTCGTTACTATGTAAGTACCCAGCATGGAAGAGAACACATGTGATTTGGAATTTACCTAAGGAGGTATCTATCAATTTCCAATCTCACTCTCCCCTTTCTGCTTGTTGAACCACCGGGTAAAAAACGAGTTGCCAAATCGGTCGACGGGTAATGCCTTTCAGCCAACCAAATCCCGCGCGTTCCTGAAGATCAATCATATCTAGGTACCTAACATAAGGTACCTCTAAGTCCTAGGTACCTTAACTAAGGTCATGTACCTCGGAGAAAGGGGAAAATGGAAAAGAATCAACGGCTTTGGGTTTTATTTAGCCTTGGTCTGTTTTTAAGCCACACCCAATCCGCCCTTCACGAAGATGCATGAATGAGTTTAATATACTACGGGCCGGCGCATGAATGATCGCAACACGTAGCTGAAGAGGGAAAAAAAAAAAAGAATGATGCCTTCGCCTCAGCTGAGGAGCGAGGGAATTGGTCGCATCGGGGATTCCTTGGCATTTGTTCGGATTATGTTCATGTTATTGATGTGTGTTGGCGTGTATGTATGTCTGCTTATTGTCGTGGGTTAGATTGCATGGTTCCTTTCCTATCCTATGTGCGTTATAACGTACGGGCGGTAGTTATATGCGTGCTTACGCGGCGTGCACTATACTACCTCCCTACCTACTTATGTACCTCAGGTAAGGGGATATATATTAGGTACCTTATATATACTAGTAATATGGTCTTTCGTAAAGCTGGACAAATTGGATGATGGTTGGAGGAAAGTCCTCGATCCGCTGCCGCTCCGAGTTTGTCAGAGATTTTTTTTTAAAGTGCTTACCTCTTTATTCTTCGCTCGGTCCGCGTGATTGGAGACGGCAGATCCGATCACGACAAATCTCACATCTTACCTCATCTCATAGAGATGCCTAATGCTGCTAACATAGTACATGTATACGTGGGTGTGTGTAGGTATGTAAGGTATATACAGGTGCCGAGGGAATTAGTTCTACCTATATAAGAACCAAAAGGAGTACTAATAAATTAACATGTACTTGAACGTATGTGAGCATAATATATACTAAGCTTAGCTTAGCTTATAGCGACCGCCTTGACCATGCAGGATTCGCCAACGGACAAGCCAGGATACCTAGTATAGTTTTGTATGCTCTAGGCGAACATACGGCGTCGTATATAGGTTAGACAAAGCCTGCGACTCAATAAAGGTGGCTTGCGTAGGCGGTTCTTATGCGAGACGGCGGTGAGGATGTAATACTACTTACTCCTGTAACTATGCTTCGTGATTCTGTTTAGTTCTTCGTGTCTTATCTTCTATCTGTAACCTAAATCCGCTTACTGCTTTTGCATAGTGCGCGACGAGATTATATTCACGTGAGATATATATATATGCTTATTATTCCTCGAATCATATGTCTACATATGGGGATTGCTACGATGAAGAGGACTTGCGGCGATGCCCTACTGATTATGCCTACATCAAGTCTTAATAACAAGTATGGTAGCTACTATCGACATTCCGAAATCTTTCCTTTAACCCCTGGCGTAGTAAGGAGCTCCGAGAGTAAAGGGGGAAATGGTGTTTGATGAAATTTCGCCTGTTTGTCTTGATAGTTCGTATATTGGAAGCAATATACACCCAACATTACACAACACCATTGTTTACAGAGTATCACAGACGCGATATTATACTCGGAAATATATTGCTAATCATGACTAACTGTCGCACCAACTCAAGCTTCACGTACCTTTACACCCCCCCCCCCTTTTGTGTATTAGCTTAGGTGAGTATTACTTCTATTTACACATACGCCCCTATAATCTTATAAACCAAAATACCCTCTACCTTAGATAGGAGGTACATAAGGTTAGGTAGTTAGCAGATGTCGAACCTAGCGACGCTCGGGTCGTGATCGGACGTCATATCCGCGTAGGCCGCCCACGTGTTGGCGTGGACGTGCTCGAAGCGGGTGCGCTGCGCGCGGGCGAGCGCCGGGCTGACGAAGACGTGGTCCAGCTCCTGCGCGTTCATGTCGTACAGGTACGTGTACCGCTCGGCGGGCGGGACCCCCGCCGCCTCGTCCAGGTCCGCGAGGCCCGACCGCGAGCCGAACGAGGCCACCGGCGCCGCGAACGCGAACTCGTTGAAGTCGCCGAGCGCCACGACCGCGGCCGCCGGGTCTTCCGAGAGGATCGAGGCCACGAAGGTCTGGTTGCGTTGGCGTTAGTGGTGGGTCTGTCTCTTTTTACACACCTAAGGGATAGGTACTATGTTTGTAAAGGGAGAGAGAGAGAGAGAGCTATAGGCGGAGAGCAAAGCTCGGAAAGAAAGAAAATAAATTAGGTAGGTAGGCAGATAGTTAAAATAGATAAGGTGACTTACGGCTGTAGCCTCGGCCTGCGCAAGCCTGGCCTCCACGCCCCCGTTCACAGGCGGCCGGGCGTCGCCGTGTAGCGAGGAGCTTCCGCCCTTAGAGCCCCAGTGCACGTTCACCGTAAACAGCGTCTTGCTTGCTTTACTTGCTTTACTTGCTTTGCTGCTGCTGCTGTTGTTACTACCACTACCTACCAGCTCCCACGCAGCGGCCAGGGGCTTCCGGCTATTCGTCCAGGCCGCGTTGGACGGGTCCACAAAGCCAGGGTTATACTTGAGCTCGGGGCCGGGGAGCACCTCGTTCGCCGTCGTCGCGTTGCCGGGGTTCGGGTTCCGCAGCCGCAGCCGGTCTGTGCGGTACAGGTACGCGACACGGATGTTGCCGCCGGGGGCGCCGCCGGACTCGTCGTTCAGGGGGCTGATGTACGTGTAGTTGTAGGCGACGCCACCGGCGGCGGCGGTGTTGTTATTGTTGCCGTTGCCGTTGCCGTTGCCGTTGCCGAAGGACCGGATGGCCGCCGCGAGCGCGGCCAGGGTCTCGTCCGCGCCCACGGTGCCGTCGTCCGTCTCGCCGCTGTCGTCCTGGATCTCCTGCACCGCGAGCAGGTCCGGCGTGCGCATGTACTGCACGACGTGCCTCGCCACGGCCTGCACGTGAGCCGCGTCCCCGCCGTACAAGTTCTCTACGTTGTAGCTGCCCATCGTGACGCCCTGGCACGTCCCCTCGCTCACCAGGGACGTCGGCGGAGCCGTCGCGGGAGCGAGCGACTCGACGACGCTGATGTTCGTCAGCGGCAGGATGCGGTAGAACCCGAAGGCTTGGTACACGACCCCGGTGATGGCGTCTAGCTTGTCGCCGAGCTTCGTGTCCTGCGGGTTCTTGGTCCCGTCGAGCGGGCTGCCGATGAGGATGGCCTCGGGATTGCCGTCTGCGGCCGAGACGGTAAGACCCGCGCGGTTATTATCGCCGGTCGTATCCCAGTCCCCGACGATCCACGTGTCTCCATACTTATTGGGTCGGCCGACTGCACGGGGGCTCTCGATCGTGACCAGCTCGCCCATCAGACTCTCCCAGAAATCCAAGCCGTATAACCCGGGTTCTAATAGAGGGTTCTCGACGGAGACCAAGCTCTGGTTGTTCGGCACGGCGAATACGTCGCCGTTGTCGAGACCAGAATACTGTTTTGTCGGCGGCTTGAGGCCCCCTTTGCCGATCACGAGGGGCTCGACCTTCCTTCCTCGTTCTAGGATAGCTCTGACCTTTGGTGACGTGAGTTCTGTCATATACAGATAATCCTTGCTGGTGCGGTACTCGCTGACCTTCCCGTCGACGACTAGAACGTCACCAACACTGATGCTGGCGTTCTTGGCAAGCACCGAGCCGTACGTGTACAAGCCGTCTGAGACGCGCTTATTGCGACTCGGCTTGATGGACCGAAGCCAGATACCATCGGGGCCCTTTGCGGTCACAATCCCCGTGACATTGGTAACAGTTTGGCCATTAAGTGGCGATAGGAAGTGGTCGCCATTGATCTGCGCAATCGACTCTCCAGAAACGCTGGTAGCCACGAGTAAGGGGGCCACAAGCCACCTAAGAAACGAGGTGGTGGTCTTCATTATGGTAGCAGCCCTCCCAACAACTCTGATACCTACCTAGTATACTTGTTACCAAAAAAATGCTGTAACCCTGATACCTCATCCGAATGACGAAGGGGATATTACTATACTATATATACTCCTATCTATGCAGAGGCACCACGTGCATTTCGACGTGCGCATATGAAAAGTGGACGTCTGCTCCGAACCTAGTTATCGCCGGCCTGCAGGAACGCGGGTCTAGATCTAAGCACCACAAGCATTAAGAAGTAAGCCATTGCGATACCTTCCCATTGGCCTCACGCCCACCGAGCTGGGATGGGGGAAGATAACCAGTCGTATCGGCCAATCCAGCCCACGTTGTATGCCTATGAGTCTTGGCAATTTCCAGAAAACGAAGGTGAAAGATACCTACGCTGCAGCTAGGCCGTCGGCGTGCTATCGACCTTGGCATCGGTGAACCAATCTATTGGCACTTTTTGAGATATACTTCAAAGAGGGGGTAGGTAGATAGTAATAATAAACTCCGCCGCAATTTAAAAAGACTTGGATCAACTCAAGGGCAAATGCAACTTGCAAATATACCTAAGGTACCTAACCTAAGGTATACTTGTGATAAAAATCGTGTTCTCATTCTCATTTTCGAATTCAAACAACTCAACTCGCTCGCTCAAGACGAACTTCCAAAGTCAAATAGCCAGGCTGCGGATCCAAGCCAAGTAAAATAATACATAAAGTAATAATCCAAGAGTTCCCTGAATCGCCTGCCCAATGCAAAGTATCTAGTAGATGAATGGCTAAACCGTCGACCACTTTTACACAAGAATAAAAAAAACACAAAATTATGCCCTTAATGACCAAAGGCATTCGACAACCAAAAGGATACATGAGGGTATAATATTCGACAGCAGAAATGAAATGTGAGACTGGTTATCGATCTATTCGAGGGCTGAGTGGGCTTTTGCCGGGTCCTTGTGCCCTCTTCAACGCTCTTAGTTCGTCTTCGAGCTTCCTCCGTACCATTTGTTCCGCCTATAAAATATTAGTAAAATGATACCTATGATTCACCAAAAAAAAAAAAAAGAGGACTGGGGGAACATACCCTTAATTGCTCTTCGTACTTCTTCCTCTCGGCTCTCAGTCCAGACCTGTACGAGTCGGTCAAGTACGAAGTCTTCATAGCACCAGGCGATAGTGGGCCTAAACGCGCCGATCCTAATCGTTCCTTATCGAGCTCCTCTTGTAATTGTTCTTTGTCCTTGCGTAGTCTCGTGATCTCGCGTTCCAGTCTCTCTTCGATCTCGGTGGTCGCTTCATGGAGTCGTTTCTCGAGCTCGTCGTTCATCATATCCTTCTCATCCTTAATCTTGGCACGTTCCGCTCTCACTCGGTCAAGCTCCTCTTCGAGTTCCCCGATCTTCTTCTCGCTCTCAAGCGATTGCTTGACAACATCGGTCAAGTCTTGGGCAGTGGCTTTCAGCTCCTTCTCTAGCATGTCAAGTCTATTCTGCATCTTGGTAGATTCCGAACTGTTGTGTAGAGCTGCAACCTCTGCAGCCCTCTCTTTTCTAGAACCATAGGCGCCGTCGAGTTCGGCCTTGGCAAGAGTGGCTTCCATCTTAAGCTCAGCAACCATGCCCGTCATTTGTTCAAGCTCCTCTTCTTTGGTCTTAAGCTCCTTCTCTTTCTCACCAACAATCTTATCGGCAGCATCCTTAGCATTAATGGCTTCCTGTAACTGCGCAGTGATAGCTGCAACATTGGCCTCCGCCGTTGCTAGGCGCGTCTGAACTTCTCTGGAATTTGCTTCTAGAGACGCAATTTTAGCATTTCGTTCCCTGAGTTGTTCTCGTGCCTCATCCATAACGGTGGATTCTTCTTCTCGGCTGTTCTGCAACTCTTCAAGGTCCTGCAAGGCTTGTGAGAGCTGCGATCGGACATTGTCTGTTTCCTTCTTTGCTTGGTGAAGTAATTCTTTGGCCTCCTCCAATTCCTCAATCTTGTCCCTTATCGCTTGGTCTTTTTCCGAGTCAGATCTGCTGTTGAGTTCGCGCTGCTGTTTGATTTGACGTTTCAGAACACCCTTTTGCTCTTGTAATTTTGTAGCCTGCCGGTATAGCCACTGAATCTTAATCGAGAAAGCTGACAGTGAGTATTGTTCGTCAAAGTCGAAAGATTCGCCGTCAGACATATCATCCTCATCTGGTTCCAAACCTTTTTCCATGCGAGTTTTTCGCCGTTCCTGTTTCCGTTTTCGTAAATCGGCATATCCTGATTGGATAGTGTTCCATAGTCCCGTGAGAACTGTTTCATACTGTTCGCCCTCGCCTTTGGTAGCAGAGTTTGCATTGGCTGCATCCGCAGCTCGGCGCAGCTCGTTCTCGATAGGTGGTAACGAGTCCCTCAAATACTTAAGCTGCTCATCGACACCCAGTTCAGCATCCGGTGGTGGCGGATGATCCGCATTAGCTCCCAGGAGTATATTTTGAATTTCGGCGTTGAGTGTCCGTATCTTCTCTGCCAATTCAAAGCTATTACCTTGGCTTCCAGCAATGGCGATCAAACCGTTTTCGAGGTAATCCAGATGGCTACCGATCATTTCACCAGGTTCAAGCTGGCCTGTTGGAATAGCTCCGTAAGTGCTGTTCTTTGTTGGATCTGCGCTTATAACAATTTCACGTAGCCGGTAATTGATATGTTCCAGTTTTTCTTCTGTGCCGGAAATCAAGCTCCAAGGGTTTGAACTCTGACTTTTGAGCTCGTCGATTTGTGCTTGAAGCGCTCGGTTCTCTTCACGTAGTCTCTCGGTCTCTTCCGTCAGCTGCTTATTCTGTCCCCGAACCGGTGACTTCAGGGGAATTTCAATAGGATTTTGCCGGGTTCGATCCTCGACTCGTTCGGACAGGTCAAATGATCGGTATAGACTTGCTTCGTCAAAGATGAGGCCGTCTTCCAAGAAGTCCATGTTAAAGCTGTCACGGGCATTCGATGTAGTATACATGCTCTCGGGACTAGCGGGAACGCCGTTGAGAAGAGGAACTCTTGGGGACTTGGCATTTGTTCTGTTGCTTGATTTGTGCGTAAGCTGAAGAATGCCAGCAGTGTGTTCCAACAGCCTCCTTTGGGGCTCCATGACGCGCTTCTCCAATGCCCATAGTTCGGATTCTAGGTCCTCGCATTTCTTCTGAATCGTACTGAGTTCATGTTCAGCCTCCCGCGCAGCATCAGTTGATCCACTATGTTGATGACCTAGGAGACTCCTTCTCTTGGAATCAACTTTTGTTGGGGAATACAACTTGGACATTGACATAGCAGCATCACGATATTTGGACTGGATAGCAAGGTTCGACCTAGTCTGTTCGATTCGCTGATTTAAGACTTGACATTGTTTCTTAAGATCGTCTACTTCCTCCGGAGATAATATCTCATATTCTTTGCTGTCGAGTAAGGCGGTCTCGGTGAGTAAATGTACCTGGACTGGATCTTTCAGGTCGACTAGCACTGAGCTCTGCACGCGCTCCGGGTTCGGCTAGTCGGGGTTTTAGCACAAAGAAGAAAATTGATACGATATTTCTCCAGATGGGAGTGGATTATAATATGCTTACTGGGTTGAATCGCGGTTTTTCTCTTTCAAAGTCATCAAGACCATCTTGCTGATAGGAGTCAACTAGTGCTGAACTCTTTGATGGAACTCTAGGGCGTAGCGGTGGCGGGCCTCCGTCAAAGCTATCATACCCGCGGTTCGCGAACCCGTTCATGTTTGTTACTTCCGAGTATACGGGCTGGTTGTCAAATGCATTATACAATATGAAGTATCACGTGAGAGTAGCGCTGCTCGTAAGTTTATTATGGTTGTATCGGTCAAATCGTTGAATTAGTACTATGTACTCGGCGCAAGATCGAGTCGCTAGTCGGTCCAACAGAGTCCAATTTGAATCAGCAGAAATAAGGGACGCTTGCTCAAATAGAAAGAGACGGAATCCAAGAAGAATTCACTGGGGAAAAAAATGGCGCGAGAAATATTGAATGCAAGTTAGAGCCCAAAAATGCGATGGTGAATCGAGTTGTCTGGTAATTGGATGGAAAAGGAGTTTTTGTCGATTAAAGAATCTACAACGGGTTGCATGGGCTAGCTGATTATCCCGATAACTTAAAATTAAATAGCCTTGCACTTTGTATACCCGCTCCATAATTAAGCGAAGCGCGAGCTTATGTGGCTGGGTCGCGGGTGAGTATTAGGTACGTAGTACATTAGATACCTACCGAATGACGGGTCTACCTGGTATGAATTTTACACAACTCCTTACAAGGTACCTAGTCATTATGTACTCGGCTTTTCCCCTTATGTTCTCCACGTTTTTATTTGAGGCGACATTTAAAAATACATGACGTATCCACGATATACTGCAGCCGACTAGTGTATCTTATCCCCTGCCGTAGTATACTACGTATAATACAATGTATAAGCGCTTACCAAAGAGGCTGGAGATAATATTTCATTGCATGCATCAAACCATGTATTTGAGATCTACTAAATACATATTTATGGCTGATCTGTCTAGACTACCTATGTTCATTGGCACAGTCATCTGTTACACATGGACGGTCGCTATAGCCTATAATGCTCAGATTTTCTATATACCTGTCATTAAATATCGCGCCCAGTCGTAAAAGCCTCTAGGGGCCGAACACGTTAAACCCAAGGGCGACAACGATAAAATACCTAGGTACCTAGGCAAGCACTGAGGCTCTTTTTATTTACTTCCCAAGAGGTCTAAAATGCCCCTTGGAACTGATCTATAACTTGTTGACCCATTGTTCTGCGCCTTCCACCTTCGCCATCCGCTTGACTCTGTGCGCCGCTCGTTGAGGCTGTAGATGCGCCTTCTCCCTCGAGTCTTCTTCGCAATCCTTCAAATTCTTGGCTTCTTCTCTGGGTTCGCATTCCCACAACCCATCCCGGTAACCGCCATCTTATGAGTGATGGTGGTAGAACTTCCATCCTCCATGAAAGACCCACCATCCATCCAATTAGGGCACCGAGTAGAGATCCAGGCCACTGAAAGAGAGCAAGCTGGAATGCAAGGAGGTATCGGTACGACTTGTCAGAGAACGTAATGCCTTGTGTCGAATCGTCTGTTGGGGCAGACACCGATGTAGCTATCTTATATTTGTAGATTGGTGGAATCATGGCGTGATATTGAGCTAGAATCGCAAATATTATAGGTGTAGGTCCAGCAGGGAGGTAGTTGAAGAGCCCCAACGTAAGTGGCCTCAGAAAGAGAGCCAAAGCAGCGGGGGTCAACCAGCTTGTGAGCAGCAAGGTAACGAACACGAACGTCTATATAACATAACATATTAGTCGTTGACTAGCTGGACACACCAATCTTGTCAATAATGATATGCTCTTACCGCGAACTTTCTAGGTCCCCATAGCCTCTCAACTGCTCTCATATTGTATAGGGTCATGGCAGCAAATAACACCTCGGTCGAATTGGTGTAGCACAGTTGGTAAATGAGAGTCCTCCATGTCTGATGGAATTGCCAGAGATGCAAGTCAACTAGGATATAGAAGTAGTGCTTGATATCAAGGAGGCTGACGGCTATGGAAATCCCAATCAGCCCGTAAACAAGACTGCGCGTCACCGGCGCATTCGTGAAGGACATGATGTCAACCCGAGGTCCCACGATAACTATCAGCGCATTGTAGATCGTTCCATCAATAGCCCAATGCAGCACCAGATCGATTCTGGTCAATGATAAAATTACTGTCGAACCCTATATTAGTAGGTGCAGCATATGTACAAGGCGGTTTGTTCTTGTTTAATAAATGGGGGATTGCCCGGCCGGGAGAATTGAACATGTGTAAGTACCTGCGTATTTTCAATCGGCGATCCTAGTCGGATAGGTATCTTTAAGTTTATGGCCAGGGTGTCTTAACGGCTAGTTAATATGCTTTGTTGCATAATGTATTTACCAATCCAGCATTTCTGATATTAACTGACAGGGTCAAGGATCCACCTGGGCAGTGGCAGCTGAAACTCAATTTCATGAACCGTTATCGATAAGTGTTGTCCCAGCCCAGCTCTTGCAGCTAAGCCTCAATGTTGTCAATCATATCATTCACAAGTTCAATTCATACATAACAGCTCACAGCCACCGCCTTCGTCGTTATTGCCTATACGATGCAAAAGGAATAACTTTTTTTTTCTTTTTCTTTAATCACTTTCTGCATTTGTCTATTTCTCTCTTATACTAGACTTCGTTAGCTAAGCACGTAATTGTCTCTCGTTTTCATTATCGAATTCAACCATGTCCGACCTTTACCTATCTCATTTCAGGAATTGGATCCTCAAATCACCTCCGGCAGAATGGGCTATTAGAAATACCCGAGAACTGCTCATAGGTACCCTAAAACAAGGTCCCATACCTCAGCACGTCGCTTTCGAAATGGATGGAAACAGGCGCTTCGCTAAGAACCACAAGATCGAAGCTATAGAAGGCCACCACTTGGGGTTTGAAGCCTTAGCGAGAGTGCTTGAGATATGCTACAAGTGTGGAGTCAAGGTTGTGACCGTATATGCGTTCAGTATCGAAAACTTTAATCGACCTAGGCACGAAGTCAGTGGTCTGATGGCAATGGCTAAAGTCAAACTGCAACAGCTGGTTCAGCATGGCGAGCTGCTAGACCGGTATGGTGCTGGTATTCGAGTACTAGGGGAACGTGATTTGATCCCAGATGATGTATTGCCCTACGTCGATCAAGCCATTGATATGACGAAACATAATAAGGAGTAAGTATCTTCTCATATAAATTCACTGAAGCGATTGCTAATCATATGTCTTAGTGCCGTGCTTAACATATGCTTCCCTTATACATCCAGGGCTGAAATGACCAGCGCAATAAAAGCCACAGTAGACGAATACACAACATCGCCTCGATTAACGAACACGCCGTTCTCACAGTCACGAATCACACAGAAGATAAGATCTAACAGGTCGAAAAAGTCAGACACTTCTTCGGCTGTGGATTCTTCTTTAGATGAAAATGGCGTATCGGACATGGATGATTCCATGTCTTCAACTACAGCCCTGGATCCGGATTCGCCGCCTCTACAGTCAACACCAGTGAAACCTACCAGGTACCTAAATCCGGAAAACATCACAGCTGAGACTATTAATAGTCATACTTATACTGCCAAGTGCCCGCCGTTGGACATTTTCGTTCGGACTAGTGGTGTTACGAGATTGAGTGATTTCATGTTGTGGCAGTGCCATGAGAATACGCAGATATTCTTTCTGAAGTGTCTCTGGCCCGAGTTTGATTTATGGCACTTTATTCCTATCCTTTTGGAATGGCAGTGGCGACAAAAGAAGTTGATGGAGAAGGAGGCATCGCGGAAATGATTGAACAAACGGTGCAGCATACCCCCTTTATATTGCCTTTATACTGGCGTTGAGAGGCGTATTAGTTCGAGATTATTTTAGCGGCAGTGATACATGTCAGCGGCTGAATTTAGTGACCTAGGATAAATAATGTATTGTAGAAAACAGTCTTCTCTTCTGATGTCTGTGAACATTATTGGAAATAAGGTCAGGACAGATTCGTACCAGACCTAAAAACTTGCAACGTTGACAGAGACTTGCCGAACTTGTTGCATGCGGTAAAACACGGGTTATGTAACGTGTTCGCGGACATATGTACCGAGGCTTGCAGGGACTCAGGTTCGAGAGGAGAGAGCCAAAGTCTTGGCTGTTGAAGTCATTATTTTCTTATCTTATCGGTTCTGTATACGGATTAATTACCGGATCAATTGTTGCTTTTGTTTTCTGGGCTGTTTATAGATGACTACCCAATCAAGGTAATCGAAATGCAGGTTCCGTGCTTAGTACAAGTAGTACAAGCCCACATTACTTAGTTGGAAGGGCTGCCCGCCGATAGAAACCCGCGCGCAAAATGGTGTCTTAGCAACTAAAGGCTCAGCGGTGCATACTGCTACTTTCTAGCCAACTGAATTAAATCAATCTCAATCTCATCCATTCGGTCGTCCACATCATCGTAGTAGTTTTGCGCCTCTAACCCCTTCTATGAAGCTCTTCCCGCATTTTCCTTTATACTACTTCTACTAACATCCTTCTATTTTATACCCAAAATGACATAAACTTCATTTATTGAAGCTTCCTGTCAACCCGCTCCCTTCGCAAAGCCCTCGAATCTCTACAAGAAGAAATCTACTTTCCACCTTCTCGCGTCTCCCATCTCGATCAACCCTCCCATTTACAAACCACAAACCACACAAAAAAACAAGAAACCAAGATGAAGACTGCTAAATTACCCCAAGCAGATGCTGGCCCATCCTCAAATAGAAGAGCACAACCTGTTCGCCAAACTCGAGCAAATCCCCCGCGAACGTCGTCCGGCACAACCCGTACTTTTGCTGGCAGAGATTCGCTTGGAGGCGGTCACAGTCATGATCAACCTATTGAGATTTTCCCCGCAATTACATACTTCACCGATGCCATAACATCGCTACCTAAAGATCTTGTCCGACATTTCACTCTCCTAAAAGAAGTCGACGCTAAGATATTCGCTCCCGAAGAAACCCTCTTTCACCTTGTCGATGCCGTTCTCAAGTCGACCCCCGCTGAGCCTAGGAGCGTCAATGATGCATCCAGCAGTAGTGCCGCCGCCTCTACGCCGATGAGCGCTCAGAACAGCTCGAGTGGGTTTGCCGCGAACGGCAATCCTAGGTCGACTGATGACAACTACAGTTCCGCCGTCTTTAATCCGAGTAATCTTCAGCGGCGCCAACTATTTCATCAAACTGCCCTCAAAGTGCAAGAAATGCTAGTGTCCCTAGAAGAAAAAAACCACGTTATATCGACTGCGAATGAGGCGCTATCTAAACAACTAGCTCGGATCAATGATGTCTGGCCGCATCTCGAGGGTGAATTCAGCGATGAAGCAAAATGGGGTAGTACTACACACTGGGCCTATCCAGAGAATAGGATCAATCGAGCAAACCAAGCTGAACGATCGCGACGAGACGGAGCAGCTACTATCACAGCTGCGGCCCAACAGGTTGCAGAAGAAGCTGCAGCACGAAGTGACGCGAGAAAGCAAGCGCTCATGGCTAGGAAGGGGCTTAAGCATCACCAACATCAAGACTCGGATCTAGATGACCACGAGAACAAGCATAGAGGAGAATCGACAAAAAAGACAGCTGCCAATAACCATGGTAGTAAGGCTCGAAAAGCCGCCGAAACAGCTGCGCCTGTGGGACTAGGTATTACTTCAGGTGCTGCTACGAATACTCCCAATGGGAATCCCCCATCCAAAAGACGAAAGGTTGAGGCAAATAAACCAGCTAATGGAGGGCAACCGATGGAACGCGCAATGAGTTCTGTCTTTGGCAACAACAATACGACGAAGCCCAAAAACTCTAGCCCAAGGGCAACGCCTGCACCTGAACCACCGAAGAAGAGAAAGGCTCTTCCAACAGTGAACGGTGCCTCAAAAAAGAGGTGAGCATATCACATCCCCTACCTCTACTAGCCTCCAGCCGTTTTCGTTAACTAACTCGGAAATTCTCTCCTAGCAAAACGACCGCCGCAGCTGCCACACATTCTCCTTCTATCGCCGCGTCTCCAATCCAACCAAATTTCGACCCAAAAGTGGTGGCACGAGGGTCTCCTGCACCCTCAGCGACTTCAGCACGCCCTGCATCATCGCGAGCCAGGCAAAACTCGATACAGTCCAATGTAGAGAACAGTCGACAGCGGCCAACTTCATCTGCTTCGAACAGACCAAATGGTGTAGCTACTACAACTCCAGAGCTCACTGTGAGCAATAATGGTGTTCGGCCCCCGCCTGATACTAAGCCAATCAAAGAAACCCTAGCAACAGTGAAAATTGAAGCCTCTAGGGAAGAAACGGTTCTTGCCATCGCCAGTACTAGTGCCGTTACTACAAATGGCAAGGCCATGTCCAAAGGCGACGACGCAGAACCTAAAGGTGATGCTGTACACACTCCCTCGACAGCATCTACAACAGTTGTCACCACCAAGAGCGGACGAGCTAGTAAACCATCAACACCAGCATTAGGATCGTTCCCAGACCCGCCGCCGAGGTCGCGGTCATCTCGAAATGCGTCGACTACCAACGGGAAAAGAAGCCACAAGAAAGGTGCGGCTCAGCAACTCGCAGCTCGGCTCGCAAACGAGGGTACGAACGGAAGTGTACAAGGCGACGACGACGGTGATGTTGATGCTGACGAGCCATTATACTGCTATTGCAATGGCGTCAGTTATGGTGAGATGGTCGCATGCGACGCGGATGATTGTGAACGAGAGTGGTTCCATCTTGATTGCGTCGGCCTCAGGGCAGCCCCACCGTCGAATAGTAAGTTTGCCCAAAAGTCTCCGGTATCAAGTACCATAGCGCGTTAGCTAACAGTTTCTTAGTGAAATGGTACTGCGATAATTGCAAGGACCGCATGAGGACTGGGAAGAAAGTCAATGGTAGATGATGTGCTTTTTTCCCTACGCATTTGCTTCAAAAGGTAGAACCAACTGCCTACGTAGAATCCATGGAGTTCACGGTGTTTATCTAGCCAGGGCATATGGGGGTTGGGGATGTAACAGGACCTCACACATATTGGCGTCTCGGGACTTGAAGCTTCTGGTCGGGAGCTCCTAAAGTAATCACGATATTATTTTGGGGTGCTACTTTGCTAGGTACCTAAGTAAGGAGTTGGCATGGTGCTGATGGGTTGTCTTTAGCTCGGAATATTCTTTGGGGAAATTCGGCATGCCAATGAGAACATGGGTTAGATACATTATTATATGTACCTAGGTAGATATTGGCGTTTCTCATTCTGTACATCGTGTTGTGGCTCTTAGCTTGGAGAGCTACTTAACTGGGGAACATATGTACATCCATCCATCCATCCATATTGATAGTACTACTATTCAGTACTGCACTGCAAGTATGTATTAAACATGTAAGTGAGACTAGGTCCTAAGCAGCCGAACAATATATAAATTAGGTATATGTGATTATGGAATTGTTGGTATTCTTTAGTTTAAGGGGGTACACTTAGTGGAAGTCTACCTTAGGTACCCCCCTTAATGTACCTTGGGTAAGTTTAGGTAACATTTCGTTGTCAGGTACCTAAGCTTTCCCTTTAAGACCGGAACATGAGCCGCAATGTTGAACATGGAGTAGACGGTATGCAAAGTGATTGGCTCCTCCGGAATTCAACGAAACGGGAGGCTATTTCCCCGCAAACAAACGATGCACCACGCACCACCATCTAACTAAATCCTGCAGGTCCAGCATGTATCAATTGCTTAGCTAGATCGGTACACCCGGTTTCTGCAGACAAGGGATACATATAATTAGGGGGCTAACACCTAATAATAATCATAAAACTTGCCGAGGATTTTTGAAAATCGTATGGTTATTCCTAGAACGTCCAATCCGCCCTGAATGGCTCTTTTCCTTAAGGCCACGTTTAAGGCCACGTGAGCTCAGTTGCACATGTCCCAAGAGAACAAGGGGTCTGTCTAATTGCGTTCAAGGAATGGAGCTCACGATATTAGCATCGGTTTGAGCCGGCCAAGGCAAAAAAGGCAGGGGCGGTCAAAGACTTGTTGAAGGTCTGATGTTCATATACTATTGTTCTCCTTCTTTACGGATTACTATTATTCGATTAGCATGATCGATCTAGGCTATGAGGATTATGAATTATGATCATTTAACCGCCTCGAATAAGGGTATCTTAAGTAATAGGTAACTAGAGAGAATACCTAGGAGACGAAAACATCTAATCACGGGGCATAAGATCACAACATCACTCGTCATATCCTAAGATAATGACAAAGAACCCTTCAATTATGAGGTACCTAGTAAGACGTAATTTCAGCTTTGCGATATCGCAGCCAGATGGAGGTTCGGGTTAAGCATCGTAAATGAAGTCTCTGAGTAAGAAACGAGCAGATCATACTCATTCAGTGGTTTTCTTTTCTTTTCTTTTTTCTCATCAGCCGCCACTATCCTCAGATACTACCTCGAAAGTATTCCGGAGGGGACAGGGCTCAATTTGGTATACGAGATGAATCCGCTCGCGATTTTATTAACCAAAGGTTTAAGTACAAGTAAGGCAAGTGCATGCAGTAATGTAGTATAGGTACATTATGTTATGTACGTTACCTAGTACCGCGTGAATTGTATAGTAATAAAATCCGGGGAAAGGAGAAGGAACGGGCTTAATACTGGAATTAGCCAAGAATATTAACAACGGACCACTCAGCATTGCAGTAACTAACCTCCTACCTAAGGTAAACAACTACCTACCTGCCTGCCTACCTAGGTACACCCAGCCAACGAACGGGGTTACGACACTAAACTTTCGCTAGACTCGGCTAGCTTTAGATTTTTAGAGTAGGTAGGGACAGAGGAAAGTTAGCCTTCGTTCCGGAAGCTCCAGAAAAAAAAAACTTGAACTCTTTCTTCCCCCCTTCTCCCAATTTCCCCAGAGTTGAGAAAAAAAAAAAAAATTTCCCACATCGCGATGACGATATTGCCCCATAACAATAAGCCTAGGTCGTCTGACATTCTCATTACCAAATAAGTATCTAAGCGGAGCTCATGGCCAAGGCGCTTTCGGATTTCGCTCCATTCGCCGCCAGTCTCGATAGCAACAAGCGTTGGTGGGTTTGGCTCAGGTGACAAAGAAGAATCCATCTCTATGCCATTCTCTTATTTCTATTACTCAATCCATGGGCGATGGAATCATGGGAGGTTTGCTCGTACCATTTCTAGCCACTTGCGGACCCTTCGTTCGCGAGCTTGTTGCTACTAGGTACATCCCCTAATATCCCTTCTAATAAATTAGACGGTGAGGAGCGAGACCCAGACTCCTAAACTCTCAGACAATTGGAGCTGGATTTTTTGTACTATTGACATTGGCAAGGCCAGGGAATAGAAAGAACAGGTAGGGACAAGTCAGTCAATCAGTCAATCCATACACGTGCAACCAGGTAGCTCCTCTCATTTGGTGTTTCCTCATAGACTCATACTCCATACTTACCCAAGTTATCGTCTGAAGGCCTGGAATTAATAGGGTTCCCCTTAGCGTTTTTTTTCTCCTGACTACCAGAGAAAAAAAATAAAAAATAAAAAATAAAAGCCGACGACGACAACGCACCACTTCTTTGGATAGCCCGGTAAACGAGGATCCAACAGAAACAATTTACGTACCACAGGTTCGTTTAATAGCAACATTACCCTTTTAACTATACTTATAAGTGTTTCCGGCGGCAAACCATCATCTCATCAATCCTTCCCCGCATTGCGCCAACGAAACTTGTTACCTAAGAAATCGGCGTTTTGACTAACAGAAAAAAAACCATCCGGGTTCCTTGAGCCTATTTCGCATCCTCTGGTGCCTTTGGTGAAACCTGGCGCCCTGGCCGGTGGCCCTTGAAGGACGGTTAGCAGCCGTGCCGTGTCCTACCGGAGAAGGAAGGAATTAAAAAAAAAAGTTGATATTGCGCTATTGATACCACATCTTGCATCGCTCGCCTGCGCAACTGCAACCCTGGTTCATCTTCCGATTATGGATCGAACAATCACCTCCTCTCCCTCTCCAGTTGGGCGACGCGCAAGCCAGAAGCATATTTCCAGCAAACTTAATCAAAGCCCTACACCCAGTCTGCGTGACACTATGGACCCTACAACTCCCTCGGAGAAATCTTTGCGGTCTTCTTTCTCTTCTGTTCGAGAGGCCGACTCTGATTTAGCTCAGAATTTTACCTCCACCAAGATATCCTCTTACTCTAAGCTAGGTGAAGAAGTTGAAGAAGCTGTTGACGACCTACCCTCGCCCCCGGAAATGGCCACGCAGACCCAGTTCATTCCTCCTGTAACTCAGCCGAACAGTAGGTTGCACGGCTGTTGGTTTCCAGCTGTCGCCGCGGAAGGCTTCCAAGGCTGGAAGCAGATAGGTGTAAAAGGAAGGCAGGCCAGCAAGAGCTATGGTGATTTGCAGGCTTTGAAGATTGTATGGTCCCCGGCGCCTCTGATTAAGAAGGATCCCGAACGGCCCCCTCCAGGACAGTCCGCTATTGAGAAGTTGCCCGCGGAGATACTTGGTAAGTTGGAGAAAACGCCACCATGACGACAGGAATAAGCATCTTACAAGTTGACTCGGAAAATAGATCAGGTCATCGATCATCTTGTCCTCGATGTCCCGCCCAATGGAGTTTCGGCTCGAAACGTGGACCTCATGTCCTTGTTGCTGACGTCGAAAATGTTGCACTCAGCGACGTTGAATGCGCTCTACAAGAATATCACCATTCCGCATTCGAGAATTTTCCGAAAGTTCTTGTCTCACATCGCACAAAACAAAGGGCTGGGGACTATTGTGCGGCGGTTGGACTTCAGCCACTTTAACCCCACGACGCTCTTCGCAACTGCGAGCGAGCGAGCCACCACCCGTAACCTAACACCCGAGACCTTAATGCAATGCTTAGAGCTAACCCCTTTCCTTCGTGAGTTCTTGGCGCAGGAGTATATCGAAGATGAGATCGATGCCAATGTCTTGCGGAAGTTATTTTTCGGGCTAGAAAGGCTGCAAGGCATCGACTTCTGCGGCTGTTCGTCTACTCTCTTCAAGAACTCCTTCCAGTCTGTACTTTTGTCCGATTGGCCCGAAGCGCTTTTGATTTCTCGGTTATCTCTACACAAATGCATTACCTTGCCTTCGTCCGTGTTCGAGACGTTACTCCCTCGTCTGGGTGACTTAACCCATCTAGACCTTGCAGGGACGCGGGTTACGAACGAGGCGCTCTTATCTATCCCGCACAGCGCCAAGATCACGCACCTAAACCTTGCCAAATGCAAACTCTTGACAGCGGACGTTATCATCGACTTCCTTGCTCACCACCCGGCAGTTCAAAACTTGGTGGTATTGAGTCTTGGAGCAGACGCACGAAGCCATCAGCTTCTGAATGAGGAAGATCTGAGCAAACTCATACCAGTCCTTCCCCATAGCTTACGTTCGCTAAGCTTGAAGGGTAGCAAAATGGCTGCTTCGCACATTGATTTGCTACGTCCATTGACAAAACACCTGGAAGAGCTTGCACTGGGACGGAGGTTAAAGATCACCGATATCGATCGTCTCTTTGTGCCTGACGAGAGTAACGATGGCAACATAGGCCAAGAGCTGGAATGGATCCCACACTCGCTGAAATATTTGGATCTTTCTGACTATACGGCCACGGAACTCGACCTTATCACCATGTTCGGTCGAAATACGTCAATAATGAAGAAATACTCTTCGCCGTTGGAAGTAATTGAGGTTACGGATGACTTATATTCTCGATTGGCAAAATCTCCGGTTGTAAAACAGCTGGGTTGGACAGTTATGGAGAACGGCAGCAGAGCTTGGCTTGTCCGTGTTCACAATGCTGAGGACGGGCCCAGGGACTCGGGTCTTCGATCTTGGAAGATGGGCGCCTCGTTTTGGGGTATGCACAAGATACCTATCGCCTGTGCTGAAGTTGGTGGCATGTATGGTTCATATATGTTCAAACGGAAGCTGTAGGGAGACAAGGCACGATGCGGCTTTTGATTTCACATCCACTCTCCCTCTCTCACACATTTCCCCGGGGTCATACTTTACAGTGTGTGCGAAACATAGACGTTCCGAGTATCCAAATAGATTATTAGCATAGCGAAATGGTGCATCGGTTGGGTTGACGATTGACGAACGAGCTACGATACGAAAAGTTTGTCGCTATCATATGCTTTTTCATGGATAAATTATCACTGCGGATAGCGTTTTGTATGATAAGAAGGCTTATTGCTATTATTTGGATATAACTATTAATCAATTTGTATCAAGGAGACTCTTATTTGTCGGATTGTATACCTCCCTTGAGGAGTGCTGAAGTATATAAAAGACAGATCATACCAGCTAATTCTAATATGTAAAATGATAACGTCGTGCCGAACTGGTATGTGCGGCTAATATATTGAGCACTGATGACAAGTCCTGTGTAAGTAGGTCGTTGGTGCTGATAAAACTTTGCAATTAATCAAATCTCGTTCCAAGTTAGGTAGATCGAGTTGTAGTTGATATACTAGCCGTAAGGATCAAACGCAAAAAAAGATTATAAAAAAATAATGAGGCTCACACGCTTTCTATTATCAAATCAAATCCAATCCCAAGCCCCAAGCCCCTCCTGTGCCAAGGAGAATTGATGATAGGTTCCGTAAACCAATCAAATTGCTCGTATACATATTAAGTGTACCCCCACAGTGGCACAGGGTACTTAAGAGGTACCTCGCCCGTAGGTATTTTGTTACCCCCCTACGTGATAAGGTACATCACTTTTGCGAAAATCGTCAATTAATGAGGCTCGATTATCCGAATCGACTCTCTCATCTTATATGCCCAATACCTAAAAAAGCACATAAAGGAAATATAATCGCCATGTATGCTCTCACATTAACAGCGGAGCTCAACGGGTATGCAACGTGGCAACGGATTCACTACCTTTTTTTCTTTCTTTTTTGTTCTACTGGGCTAATAAGGAGGATTGCTTTATTACAGGGTGACCGACCTCCGACCTAAGGATACCGCCGAAAGCCCGTTCTGGTATACCTTCACGGTCCAGTGTACATCGTGTCGGGAGACACACGGGAACCCGGTTGCGGTTAGCAGATTTGTAAGTGGCGTCGAACTATACATCCTACCTGCCTTGCCTACGGTATATGTCAAGGAGCTTCTTGTTGTTGTTACTGACGACGTTGCGTTGGCGTTATCCGTAGGAGACGAATGAGTTGAGTGGGAGTAGGGGAGAGGCGAACTTCGTGTGGAAGTGCAAGAATTGCAAGGTTGGTTCCCGCATTACAACTTACTATACATATATTACTCATTGCCTTCGTGATGAGTACGCAGAATAAAAGGTAGTTCTGACTGGTATGTTAATGTTAAATACAGCGAGAGTCTTCCTGCTCGATAAAAACCGGACCTAAGCCCTACGCTCAAGGCGAGCCTCCTAAGAAGCAGTCTATCATCGAGTTCGACTGCCGAGGTTTAGAGTTTACCGACTTCACCCCCGAGGTAAGTAGGAAGGAATTTATTATCTCTCATCGTGTTAAATTTTTATTCCACTTGACTGAAATAATTTTGGGGGGACAGGGAGAATGGCTGGCAGATGGTATCGAGTCAAACACCAAGTTTGAAGGAATCGATCTACAGGAAGGCGAGTGGTATGAATATGATGAGAAGGCCAATGATGAAGTTAGCATCAAAGACCTGAAGTGGGAGATCAAGAGGGCTTGAACATAATTATTATTGTTATTATTATTGATTTAGATTAATAGCTTAACTCTCGGACGCACGAATGAATTGACTTGGGGTGAAGACATGACATAGTGGTCTTTGTACTCTCTAATACATTGCAGCTGCTACCGTGAAATTTGCATGCAAGTTGATCACTTACAAGGAGATAGCTATGCGATTCAAAGCTTGAAATTTGAATGCGGGCAGTCTGGCAGTGCGGGGCAGAAATATTTAGGTACCTACCTACCTGATGTACAAACTAGATGCCCCGATATATGCACGTATAGGTTTTCCTACAAACACCCCATCAATCAATCCGATAATGCTTTAAGCATTAAACAAAGCTCGAAAATTCCATGTACGGTTTACAATACAATACATAGAATTAATTACCTTTACAGCCTTCCATTGCTCTCAAGCTCCGCGAAGTTCAGACGCGCCTCAAACATTTCTAACCCTACCATCAACCCAGCTGCGAAACCCTCACGAATCCCGTCCACCATGAGTGTAAGCCAACTTGTTTTTCCCAGCTTGCTTGCTACCCTAGCTTTTTCTCCAAATCTATTATCATTTACCATCGCTAACAAAGAAAAAATGGTGATAGTTCGTACCTATTAACCCGCGGCCTATGCTGCAAGACCTGTACGTTTTTTCCTTCTTTTTTTCCCTTTTTCTTTGGTTTCCTTCCCAAACAGCCCCAAATCCGAAAAAAAAGGAGAAGAAGAAATACAGAAAGCGAAACTCCGCGAGTATATATATACTACAATCAAAGCTAGGCTAACACGGCAGAACAGCGTCAACAAGGACATCGTGGTGCGCCTGAAGTGGGGCGAAACCGAGTACCACGGCCGCCTCGTCAGCTCCGACAGCTACATGAACATCCAGATGACCAACGCCCAAGAGTACATCGACCAGAAGTTCACGAGCGACCTGGGCCAGATCCTGATCCGGTGCGTACCTTTGCCTCTACCTCTACCTCTACCTCTCTCCTCTGTCCCTCCTTTCCCCGGATTGCACAACAACAACAACCTGAGAGGGGGGGGACTTGGAATCTTGGCTAATAAAAGATATCAATGTGCGCAGATGTAACAACGTGTTGTGGATCAAGGCCGCCGACAAAGGCGAGAGCGGCGGCGACGTCAAGATGGGCGGGTAGGGAGGAGGCCAGCCTAGTTTTAACTACTACCTAAGGTACCTACCTAGGTAGGTAGTTAGTTTGATGGGGAAACCGGTCCGGATGGAGGAGACGGCGGCGGCGGCGGTGGTGGTGGCAGATATATACCCCCGGTTGTTGGAAGTAATACGGGTTTTAACCTTTTTCTTTGGGGCAGAAGAAGAAGAAGGAAGATGAGGAGGAGGGAGGGAGGGAGGAGCAGAATAAAGATTAAAACGCAGCAGGCAGAGATCTCTATGCCGGGAGATAATATTTATTGCCTGAACAATGATCATGGGGATGGTGATGGTCTGGGCTACTTGACCAGGAATATAGAGCAAGCAGAACAGACATAACGGAAGGGGGTTTTGTTTACGTCTGGTCATGCTAGTCCTTTTTTTATTTATTGAGACATTCGTCGCGAAGGAGCGGAGCCCCCCTTTTAAACTCGCTGACTTTGTAATCCTTAGTTAGTAGAGCTTCGTGAAGAAAGGAGGTTGTCACGGAATGCAATGTTTCCCCTAGACCTCTCCTCTTCTCTCCTGCCGTCTTATCATTTTGGCTACCTAACCTACCCAGGTACTTGGTCTTCAAGAACAACGATTTTCCTGATTTCTCATCCTGTGACTAGCTGGACTCCATATCAACCCCCCTATCCATAGGAAAATTTACAAGAGGCAGGCCACTTTCCGGCTGCTGCACATATCCGAACCCCCGACCTTGACCCTCTGAGACGGCCCGATCCACATGAAGGCTTCGACCATCCATTCGTACCACACCTTTGCGTCGTCGGTCTGTCTCCACATGCTAACTTCCAACTCGGTGTCCGGTGGGAAATAGAGGGGTTGCTACGAACAATTAGTTAGCATATCCGTATAGTTAAGAGGCTTGCAAATGTATCTATGCGTGTATGTATGTACCTTGAGTGGGAAGAAGATGGGAAACCAAGAGATCATATCCTTGCTCTTCCGATCGATCATGTCCGGTAGCGTACTCAGCTCGACCTTCTCCGGAACCACTTCCCCATGCTCTTGCCCCCCTTCTTCGCTTGTCCCGTTGGCAGCTCCGCTGGGCGCGTACAGCACCGACTCGAAGTACCCCGCAAGCCCGTGGACGACGCCGCGGGTACGGCATACAAAAGTGAGGTGGCAATGTCGTGCGTTGTGATCGTTGGCGCCGACCGCGCCCGCCATGCTACCGCCGCCACCTCCTGCTATGCCGCCGGCTCGGCGGGCCTCTATCGCGTCCATGGTCGCTTGCGGTAAGGGGTGTGCGAATTCCCACGCCTGCTGGAATCGCGGCCGGTCAGGTACCCGCTCCGCAACGAAGTCCAGAGCGAACAGTCGTACCACCCACGGGGTGTCGAAGGCGTCGGACGACGGGGACGAAGCAGCCCGCTGTTTGATGTCCGCGTGGATGCGAGGAGTCGAGATGGGACTCACGTGTGCCGTGTACGACGCCGGGATCGAGATGCCGAATTTCGGTGCCAGCACGTGTTGGATACCATCCAGGCACTCGGGACTCAGCTCGTTGTCGCCGAACGAGCCCAGGAGCTCCGACACCAAGATATCGACTTTTCCGTGGGTAGGACTTGAAGAGGAAGATGAATCGGAGAGTATTGGGCCTTTCCACGCGCGCATGTCCGTCTTAACGACGGTGACACGACCGCCCCATTCCTTCTGGTTCTGCCGTAGTAAGTATACGTAGGCGTTAGGGTTCTTCTCGACAGCCCAGACGCGGACAGGAACGCCGGTAGACTCGCTGGCTCTCAGAGCGCGAGTGACGAGCGGACCACGGCCGGATCCGGCAACTGCGATAACAACCTCGCCACCAGGAGAAGATGTTGGCTTGCCCTCCGCGGCCCAGTCCCGAAGCGCAGCTGCGATTGCCATCTCATATTGGAAATACTTGACCGGGTCGCCTTCGAAGACCTCGTATGTGACCGACTCTAGATTGTCAGAGAGCGGTTGCAAAGGTGACTGCAACCAATCCTGAAAATTCGTCAAGGTGTTTTGCTCCAGGTCGCTAAGGGGCGTCTGGTGTCTCTCCAGGTGGCGGAGATACGCAGAGTAGGCGTTTTGTCCTTGAGACTTGAGCTTTCCACCGCCGTTCGCAGTCTGTTGCGCGGCGGCCTCGATGAGAGTTGGAAATTCAGCTGAGATTATGTCTTTAGGATTAGGGTCTGCCCGTAGCTCTGGGCCAACATCACAGAGAAGAAAGTAAGGGGCGTTCTTTAGGCGCATATACGTGAAGATCATGTCCTGGTGATAACGACTAAGAGAAGGGTGGCCAGCCTTATTCGTTTGGAATGTCTGAGGGTCGAATGTCAAGTACTGGAGGGGTTCGGAAAACCATCTCGTCTGGAGCTGCTTTTCTGGGAGAACCCGTGGGATTTTAAGAGCTTTAGTATTCCTCTAGTTAGCAATATTCTATCTATTTATGATTATCTCGCGACGGAGGAGAAACTAATACTAGTTAGAATCGGAGGTGACTCAGGGTGTACTTACCAACGAAGAGTCTAGTATCGTATTCGCAAACGGAGCGGATAAGATGCCATGAATCCCAAGAGCTGAAGAGGTCTATTTCCTGTCCTGCTGCGACAGACGGCTGGTTCGAGTTACCATCTAGCGCGGATAGAAGTGGTACTTTGTCTTCTAGGCCTGGCTCCCGATACATGGGGATGTGGATGATGATGTTGACTCGAGTACCGATAGAGAATGATTCTTGGATAGCTCGAGCATACTGGGCAATGCCTTGGCCATTGCCAGTACTAACAGAGTCTTCCCTAGGTCCGGGAATTATGATGCTCCTCACCCCACAGAAATTAGCATACGCGACCTCGAGATTCAATACCTGCCTCGAAATGCTAGAGATAACATGGTTGGGAGAGCACAAGTCTATCCAAGCACTAGAATAGGCTACAAGCCCACTCGTATAGGTGCCGGGGAAAAGGGTGGTATCCTCGGGGGTTAGGGGAGGTACCACGGGATCTAGAATAGATCCAGCCTTTTCCTCATATGTGGCATCTGATAGACTGGTCTTCACCAGCTCCACAACGCGCCGATGAAAATTGTCATTTGTGATTGGAGTTGTGACAAAGCTGAACTGCAGATTCCTTAGCCTCGCTGTAGATATAAGATATATGTACCTAACGTATATTCTGAATGCTGGGTACTTACACCAGCATTTAGGACCTGGCCATACTGTAAATCGGTCAAGGTCTCCGATCTTGTAGAATCATGTTGGCCGATGTAGAAAGTAGGACGGATGTCATTGAAGTCGTCAGACTCCTGGTCCATACGGTCCGTATGGTCCATATATTCTTGCGACATGTTGAAGTGACTGTCGGCTGAGAGGCGCTGAGAAACCCCCTGTCAAGACTCAATTTGGAGAGGTACTTTCTTGAAGTATTACCTGTAATTTACCTGTAGTTTGGGCTTGGTGCCTTGCATTTATCTGCTGTAAGGGAGTAAATGGTATACAAACTGTGAATATCTAGGTAAAGAATGGAATGTAAGCTGTCAAAAATCTGTCATGGTATTAAAGAATGATTGAAGAAATCTAAGCCAGTTGGGACGGCTGGCTTTTACCTAAAGGAAAAATGCATCCCAATACCTATTTCTAATGCGTAGTATGATTGGTGTATCAAACGGACTTGGTCTACCTAGATGCATGGAAGAAAAAAAAAATGAAAAAGGTGATAATATTTTAGATATTTCAGAAAACGCAATGCGTTCATTGGCCCGGTGGTAAGTTCGCCCCGATTGTATTATAGTAATTGCTTAATGCCTAGGTACCTAAAACTACCTTAAGTAGCTTAAGTTTTATAATGATCCCGAAAAAAAATAGATTTATTAAGTGGTGTGTAGGTATTTACGGTATAAAAGACAATGTCTTGAACTTGGTGAAATTATATGGAGTCTGTCAATAAATTTGTCCAAGTAGACACTATTGCTCCTTCGCTGAGCTGTCCGCCCAGGTGTTTGTCAATTAATAAAGGGTTTGGGAGCGTACGAACTTGCGAAGCTACCTAGTACGTAAATATCTTATCAATCATGTGACTAAACCCTCTTATACAGCTCGTACATGTAGGTTACATTCTCTATGCGTCTATCGCAATGCTCTTGTACCTAGGTAACTAGCTATCTTAGGTACTCGCCTAGGTACCCCATCTTAGGTACCACTTAGACGCCTTAGTATTCACCCCCACTTCTAAGCTCTACCTTCTAAGCTCTAACCTCTCAATAATAAGTTGCGACGGAAGCTTGCTCCTCGTTGAAGGAATAAAGCATCCTAAAATTCTTCAAAATGAATAGACGCATGGTTGGTTCTTCCACGTCCTTGGACTGTTAGACTTTCAATACACTAACTGTCAATCATCTTCGCTAGCTTACCAAAGAGGATGAAGCGGCCGGTGATGAGGTCGAAGTGCGCCGCGAGGACCAGGATAAAATCAATAAGTTCAGTCGTTTACATCAGCGCGAACTAAACCTGGAGGACGAGCTGAAGGCCAAGAACGTATGAGAAATAAAACCTCTTGATCGCACGAGTACGACACAAGTACTGACGAGGAGGGGTTTTTGCATCGTGTAGAAGGAGAAAGAAGAACTCGACGACATCTCCACCGAACTCGAGCTTGCAGACGAAGACGACACGGTACCGTATGGAATCCCGGGCTGGACCTTTAATGCATATCAGTTTCTAGCGAAGTCTATGTTTAGACCCGACTAACGGTCAACCTGTCATAGTTATAAGATCGGCGATGCCTTTTTCCATCTACCGCTTCCGCAGGCGCAAGAATTATTGGCATCCTCAACTACAAGACTGGAGGAAGAAGTATCGGCACTCGAAGATAAACTTGGTACGGTAAAGGACGAGATGACGCAGCTGAAGGTTGAGCTCTACGCCCGATTTGGGCGCAGTATTAACCTCGAGACATAATAGCATCAACTACCTACCTAGTAGGTAGCTATTGTCTGAAGATATGGATTGGCGTCGGGATTATTGTATGGCGCTGCGGAGGGTTCAACCCGGAAGTTGAAATATCTTGTCACTCAGGCAAGTCTTGCAATGGTCGCATACTACCGACCTCAATTCTCACTGTCAAATCTAGCACGGACTGCGATATAAACTAACTGTCTTCAAGCAAACTGCGATGGCTATTTACCTAGCTGGACAATAATTAAGACTTAGACGGTATATATCTGTTACTTACTAAGGTCCATATAGACTATGCGACTCTAAGCTTCACGAATACTTAACTTTGCTAAACGAAGTAAATCATACCAGGGCCATTTTAATCTGCCTCCTTATCCTATTCCCTACCGAGCTGGATTAGGTAGTCTGCTTTAACCATGACGGCGGTGGGTCTCAATTGCATCCTGTCACAGTACGAACCCAGCAGTAGGTAAAACAATGTCGTTATCACGACGAGTAACTCTCAATCTATGGTGTACGCATGGGGGGTTTTCCTTTGTCTATAATATGCAAAGGTGCGCCTAACCGTTAAACGAAGCTATTTAAGTTCCCATCTAAGCATACCTACCGCACCTAACATGTCATCCGATTCCGTTAAGTCAGATTAGGTAGAGGTAGTTATCAGAATCATGTACAGAAGGAATGCCTGATTCATATGAAATCATGCAAAAGGTATTGAATACGGGAGAAGCTTCCATGTTTCCCTATACGCAAGATGTTCTTACCCGAGGCCGTTGCGATGCGACTGATCTTATTTCCATCCAGCTGTTTTAACACATAGGACATGTTTAGATAAATGACATTGTTTGAGCCTGTCCTTCGAGTATTACCTAGTATTTATATGCTCAGAGCCCCAGCTGCTGCTAGGTATTTCTTGACCATACAAATCGTACACCAAATAAAACATACTAGGCATTATATTACATAGGTCGCTTATCCCAAAAGAAATCTTCTTTTTCTTTAACTTCACCGGTAATAATGTCTTCCGCGGAAACCACACAGGGGGGATCCTCACAAGATACTCCCTACCACGAGAAGCTAAAGAATATAGGAGAAATCACTCCCCTTAGCGCACCATTGATATCTTGGGGTGGACAGCGCGGCAGGTCGCCCAGAGAATATCTGGAAAACTACAAAACCTCCTATGAACTCCCCTACGGGTACAAAGTCGCAACATGGCGCCAAATATTCTTCTGTGATGGAGAGTGGAAGCTGCCTTCCTTTCGGACGCAGCCCGAGATCAAGCCCCTTAGGCCGGACGCGCCAACTATAGTGCTCCTCTTCTACCCGCGACCTGATGAACAGGATGCGAGACCAGTCCATAGGTCCGAATCATACCTTCGACGGATCGAGAGAATCGCCAATATGGGAGAGCAAACTATCATCTACGTCCCGCCGGAGCTGAAAGCTGCCGTCAAAGCCATGCGCGACGATCCGCATTGGTACGTCATCAACGAGTACCCGACCATCTGGGACATGCCCAACAACGCCTACCAGAAGGACAACTTCGCGACCAGGCAGCCGGCGCTCTTCGCGCAGTTCGACGGGTACACGGAGGCGGACGGGGACCTGAGGCCCGAGCCGCGGTACAACCGCGCGCACCACAGCGCCGTGTGCAACGCGAAGGCGTTCATCATGTACGACGCCATCATGCGCAATCCCTTCGGCACCGACTACTGGATGTACGTCGACGCCGGATTCCTGTTCGACGACGGCCCGAAGGACGAAGAGGGCACCCCCTGGGGCGAGCTCTTCCGCGCGGGCCTCGACACCGGCAAGTTCGAGCGGGCCGTCAGCGTGGCGCGCGACGCGGGCGTCGTCATGGGCGAGTACTCGCACCGGCACGGGTGTCCGGACGCCGAGGACGAGTGCTTTGTCAACCCGCGCCGGTCGTGGCGCGCGCGGCAGTTCATCGCCCAGGTGTACGTGGGCAACTCGCTGGGGATGCTGAACTATAGCGTGCGGTTCATGCAGACGGTCGACGACATGGACGCCAACGGGTTCTACACGGGGCGCGAGGAGCTCGTGGTGCCGTTCGTCGCGCTCCGGTACCCCAACTCCGTCTTCTCCGTGCCTTACTTCCGCCTCCCGCCCCGCCTCGACTACCCCTGGCAGTTCCCGATGAAGTTCGTCTTCTCCGCCGTCGGCGGCCCCGAGTCGGTCCCGCCCATCGTCGATCCCATCGCCACCCTGTACTGCAAGGGGAAGGGGTATATCCCCAGACGCCCGAACCTGCGCGCCGGGGGGATTTATGAGGGTGCTGAGGAAAACAAGGAGGAGCAGGAGAGTGATGCGACGCGGCGGATTCGATCGCCTAGTATGACCTTGCGAACCGACTCGTTAGCATTGTAGAAAGAATAAATTAGGTGGACAGTAAAATATCGGAAGCTCTTGGGCTTTTAAGTATTTTCAGAGCATAGCTTAGTTAAGAGATTGTGTAAGTGAAATCAAGGGTTACAGCCACACATAAAGGATCAAGCCAACAGAGTTAGGTAGTCCAACGTATTCTATTCTTGACTTAGGTACATTATGCTACACCGTATTATTATAACATCTCTTTCTTTCAGCGTTGTTGTCTTCCCGATTGAGAATTAATCCATAGGGTTGCCAAAACCACCCACCCCTCTCCCCGGGGAAAGGGGGGATCTTGCGTCACTTAGTCATCGCGTTGTCCGGGAATGAAGCGGAAAGATACCTCGTTAGGAGGCATTTCCAGTCCGCAACCGTCGAGAAGCCTGATTACCAGCACCTTCGTCATCAGTATCGCTGTCATCATCAAGCTCGTCGTCGTCCTCATCGTCCTCCTCGTCGTCGACGACGGCACTGTTGCCCTTGTTACTGTTACCCTTGTTGCCGAAAAAGTTCCCAAAGGCCCCGCCGTTGTTGTCATCACTGGCAGCGACACCGCATTGTCCCTCTACGAACCGGAAGGACACCTCGTTGGGAGGGATTTCTAATCCGCAGCGACCGTCAGCCCGGCAGGTGCCGTCGAAGGTGCCGTCCGTGCATGCCTGGCCGTTAACGGATGATGCTTGGCGCGCTGCTAGGGGTACTGGCTGGGTGTTAGCACTTTCCAATACGGCAAAGTGGTAAAAAGTCGAACTTACCTGCTACAGCGTTGCTGGCGAGGAGGCCGGCGAGAAAAAGGAAAGTGGCCGTGAGTTGCATCTTGAAGGCTCTGTCAAAGAGTGATTATGGGTTGGTTGGTTGGTTGATTAAGAGGCGGGGATAGAGTGAGAAGATAGAGGAAATGAATAAGAATACGGTGTGAAGATGTGGCCGGCACAAAGAAGAATAGAATAAGTTGTTGGTTGAACTGGGAATTTGAGTTGCAGCTGAGGAATTCCAACGTGAAGATTGGGGGGGCTACATGGCTAGATATATCAGCGCCTGTACGTAAGTTGACGGGTTTCGTTTGGCATCGGATGTTGCCAAGACTATGGAAACTAGGAATTGCCTTTAACATACCAGGGGTTTTGGTTGAGAAACGTAACAAATTCGTAAAATACGAGATGATATGCAACTTGACTCTACAGGTACGGGCGTATAGGGAGTTTTATTACATTGCATGATATTATTTTAAAAATCATGCATAACTTTTAAGATTCAAGTTTAAGTCGCGGCAAGTTAACAGGTACTTAGCAAAAGTCTAATAAAGTTCTATGTTGGTGTAGTTAGTTACTAAGAACAAAAAGTGAAGTTCATGTAACAATTCAGTTTATGAAATCTATTATGAATCAAGACGACTGGAGTTGAATTGAGCCCCTAATTGCAACTAAAACAAAGCCTCAGCCATATCCTCCAGGTGTTTCAGAAACCAAGCGCCCTGCCAAGCCGTCTGACCAGAGGCAATTCACAAGGTAGCAGTAACAGCCAAGCACAACTCCGGTCTCCACTGGTCAACATAGATACACCTCCAAAGGGATGGCAAAAGGTAACGTCTCCATAGCCCCATACATATTCTGCAAGTAATAGGTACCTCCCAAGGGGTTTTATATGGGAAATTCCCTAGCCTTTACTTTCTGATCAAGACATCTTTCTTCGCACAAGCTATAAGACTGAACTTATAACGTATTTCTACTACAGAAATTACCTTGTAAGTTACTTGAAGGATAAAGTACCTCTTTCCATGCTTACGGAGGTGTATGGAAGGTATTCTTGTCGTTGTAACGAACTCAGGTTTAATCAAGTCCACCTTGTGTGCTGTTGACTCTTTACCGAATAAGTTATCCAATCAAAGTCGGAATACAACCGTTCTATATATGATCTACACTTTGCAAATACGGAAAGTATCAAAGCCTTTTCTAAAGAGTCTTTTTGGTTACATCATTAAAAATGTAGCATGGTGTGCGTAAAGCAATGATAAGTTGGCGACAACTTAAAAGTAACTTTAACTACCTCCTATTAGGACTTGTTGATATCTATCTTGTATTTAAGGTCAGGATCATAGCTATTGTTGATGTAACACGCTTATGTTTATCAAATCTGAACTAATTAAATGCCTTAGTTGCGTTGGATGTGAGATATTTATCTCTCTTCTTATATGAAATCGTGCTCTAATCTATTCTTCCGGCTAGCGAATCCCCCATAAGTTGAGCTTCGACCACTTCTGTGTCTTTTACTTCCATTCCCACTTCTTATGGCTTGAGAATACCTATGGCCCATAATCCTGCGGGCCTCTTGAGCGCAATTACTATAGTCGCGAAGTATAAGAATTGAGAAGATTAGGTTAGGTAGGTTAGGAGGTAGTTATTAAACTACTATATTACCAAAAGATAGAACGATGTCAACTCAAGGGGCCAGCATTACTATCTTAAGCATGTTAAGAACACTTCAAACTGCATACAGCTTAGTTACTTAAATCTATCCGGTGAATTAACTTTTGAAAAGAGACTTCTGAAGTTTAAAGAGAATAAGGATATGTAACTATGGCCGAAAATGTATAGCGCTACCCGAAGCAAGGGGACTGGTGGTTAATTTCCTCAATTAGCTGGATACGGCATCTTCTCCCTTTCTTCAAGAAAGCAATAGATGCTCACGATGACAATTGAGTCTCTTGAAAATCACTTCAACCGCCTGTCGGTCAACAAGGAGGATGGAAGAGACCGGGTGACAAAGGTGCTTCGCCTCCTGACTTGAGATGATACGTAGAATCCTGAGTTGGTCATTAAACTAATTCTCTGAACAGGCCAAAGCCGCGACAGCAGCATCCCCACTCCAGTCGAGCAGTCCAAATGTCGTCAAACCTGCTCCTCAGAGTCGGAAGCAAGACATCCGCGTAGCCTCAGTGTCGTCGGCTCGGAAAGCCGCGACCAACACGGAGAAATCCAACCACGAGTCCCCCGACAAGCCCAAGCCAGCAGCTCTCATCGAACAGCCTGCCGTGAAAACGCTCCACCTAGGTATGTTCGAGATCGGCAAGCCCCTCGGAAAAGGCAAGTTCGGGCGCGTGTACCTCGCGCGGGAGCGGCAGCATGGGTTCATCTGCGCGCTGAAAGTGCTCTGCAAGCAGGAGCTGCGGGAGGCGCGGGTGGAGATGCAGGTGCGGCGGGAGGTCGAGATCCAGGGCAGCCTGCGGCATCCCCACGTGCTCAGGCTGCACGGGCACTTCCACGACAGCCGGCGCGTGTTCCTCGTGCTCGAGTTCGCCGGCCGCGGCGAGATGTACAAGCACCTACGGCGCGCGGGCCGGTTCGCCGAGCCCCGGGCCGCGCGGTACGTCGCGCAGACGGCCGAGGCCCTGCGCTACCTGCACCGCAGGCACGTGATGCACCGCGACCTCAAGCCCGAGAACATCCTGCTCGGCGTCCACGGCGAGGTCAAGGTCTCGGATTTCGGCTGGAGCGTTCGCGCCCCCGGGAACCGCCGCCGGACGTACTGCGGGACGCTCGATTACCTGCCGCCCGAGATGGTCGATCCGAAGACGGAAGACGGCTCGTACGACGAGAAGGTCGACGTGTGGGCTCTGGGCGTGCTGACGTATGAGTTCTTGGTGGGCGAGGCGCCGTTTGAGGATTCCCCCGTCCTGACTACGAGGAGGATTGCCAGGGGGGATATGACGGTCCCGGCGTTCGTGAGCGCCGAGGCTAAGGATCTTATTCGCAAAGTAAGTACTTCTTACCTGCTTTGGGCTTGTCTAGGTACATAAGCGTTATGTTGTATGTACCGGGTACCTGTTAAGGCTTACACGATTGAAGTTGCTTGTCATTGATCCGAACAAGAAATTGCCCCTCGAGCAAGTCCTAAGACACCCTTGGATACTTGAGCACTGCTCTAAGCATGAAATAAGATAAAGTTGGATTTTGGGGACGATGATCGATTAAGAATTTTGGGGATAAGCCTCAATGATTCTCTCAATTTGTCTTATTATTCGTTTGAGTTTCTGTGCGGGACGTGGTGCAATGAGTTTAGGATAGCGAAGCGTAAAATAGTGAATAGTTAGGTACCTAAACTAAGCTCACATTGAATGTCATTTTATCTCGTCCCTTCGTCGATATAGCAAGGAAACGTTCCCTAAAAAAACATCCGTAGACCCGAAATAGGCTTCATCAGAACGTGTATCGCTACTCCCTAAATGACAGCTCCTGTCCAACACCGAAATGCTCAAGCACAGAATAGAATCCAAACTCATACATGGCCGCCTAATACAAGACTACAAATACAAGGTATCGAACTCCTGGTAAATCATCAAACTATCGGCCGACTAGTGTTTGTTGGCTTAACGACTCCTGCATCATCAGCATCCCCTACCTGAATTTGTATGTCAGTACGCACGTAAATATCGCCCGGTGCCGGCGACTCAATATTTCTTGCCTGAGTGACCTGGCCTCCGTCTTGGAATTGTGTTGGCAAATACGAATCGTTAACTTGGCTCATGGTGTTTTCTCTGCGACCTTGTGGTTGATATTGGATGTAGTTTGGCGTGTTATCATGGCTATTGTCCTTTGTCGCCGAGTTCGCAGTAGCTTCTACAGTGGTTAGGGGAATGTCGTCTTCTTGAGAACAAGTGACTTTAGTGTCGTCGACGGTTGTCTGCATAGTCCAAATGTGGTTCAGGCTGGCGACGCGTCTGAAGCCACGGGCGCTCCGTCTCTCGGAAGAGGCTTGAGCGGCGTTTCTGTCGTAGACATAACTGCTCCCTCCAGCCCTACCTTTATACTTCTTGACGATCTGGGGTACGATCACGGGTAAACTAGCGCACACTACTGCGAGAGTCTCTTCAGCGGCGGTAAGTATTAAGAATACGGCAACCCCATCTGTGGCTGTGAATGAGCAATATGTAATTATCGTTTGGATAGGTATATGACTTACAGCTGGGGTCCGTCTTATCATCAGTGTCGATGAGGAGAACCAGCACGCGAACCAATTCAAGTAGACAGGTAAGTATACCGATGCCAAAGACGACCATGAGACCGCGTTTCTTGTTTTTGTTAAGCCTTAATTGAGAGATAGCGGCCATAGGCAATAGCAAGAGACCAATATCTGATACGAGGCTGAAAATCGGCGGGAGTGACACATGAAGCACACTTGTAGCATCGCAATTACCTGTTAGGTTTCCCGGGACGGGCTTGTGGAATCGAGCGAAATATTGAAGGAAATACCATTGCACGGGCTGGCACTGGAACAGATAGAAGCCCGTTGCGCCGAAGAACCAGAGGACGACGTAAACGAGATTAATCCACCAGAAGATGCGTAGTTTATAACTGGATACTAGGAAAAGTCGTTTGTAGAAGAAAAGCAAGGTCATCTTGATACTGGTAAAGAAGCTTCCCATCAAAACCATGGTGATCCAGATGTGCTTTCCTCGTGTTGTAAATCAGCTAGGGAGTCCAGCATAGAGCATAAGGGGCAAGTGCTTGACCCATACCCTGAAAGTCTTGGATAAGTTCGCAGGATATTCCGCATCTAGGAAGTTTATAGCGAAAACGTGTAAGCCTAGTCCATAATGTGTTGCTACCATGAGGTTCGCTATGATAGCATCGGCAAGGGCCTAATGGGATGTTCAACAGGTGTTAGTACTTATTGCTGAAAGGCAATCATAAAGGGTCATAAGGGGTATAAACTGACACCGCTCAAAATAATCAACACATCCTCAGCCATAACCCGCGAGCGGCTTGATACTGAAGTCCATGTTCCCCATAGCCTGGCAGCGATGGTCGCATTGTTGATGACGAGAAAAACGACCAAGCAGCCCCAGAGGGCGGGCTGTCTAGTGTCGCTAAGGTGAGCCTCTTCCTCAGGGGTCAGCACGAGTTTAACCATTGTTTAGCTGATGGGTCTGATTAAGCTGCTCATAGTCTAAAGGGGCTAGGTATGTAATCATATGAAGCATGCAGTAGATGAAGGAATATCTGGAGAAGTGGAGATCATTTTACTAATAAGTAGCTCCCTGTTTCCACGTCAAGACTCATTTCACGCGACCGTGTATTACTCCCAAGAACGCTGGAGGCTGACTATTCCAAGCCATGTAGTGCTACTCTACGCAATGCAATCCAGGGATGCGTGGTTAAATTAGGTGTTACGAGCAGGAAGAGAGTTACTCGATGACAGAACCTCTTTGGGGTACTCCGCGTTCATGGTAGGAGGCAATCGGCTAGCAGGAAGTAAACATCAACGGGTTGCTGCGGATAGCTGAATAGTTACGGAGGCCCATCACTACAACTATACTAAATATAAGATATTTAGGGCTTATAGATAATATATAAAGTAAATAAGCTACCTAGATAAACAGGTTGAATAAGTAAATTAGATAAGTACCTTAAGTTGGCTAGATAGGTAGGTCGTATAAGGAAGTTGGATAGAGGTAGGTTAGGCTGCATAAGTAGGCTGGATAGGGTGTCAGATGGATTTTCCCACTGCGACAAGAGGTAAGATTGTTGGAGTGCGAAATGTCACTTCGTATTCAATACCTTAGGTGCCTACCTACCTGAGGTATATATTGAGACAGGTAGGCTGGATAGGTAGGCTGGATAGGTAGGCTGTATACCTAAGTAAGCTGATTAAGTGAGCTAGATAGGTTGTATACTTACCTACCTGTACCTAGATTGGATAGAGGTAAGCTGAATAATAGGTAGGTACCTGAAGTTATAGGGATATATTATCAAGCTGGAGTTTTGCGTTGTTAGGTAAGACACGTAAGTTATCGTCCATGCTACGCCAAGATGACTGGGAGACAGCCTTGTAATTAAGTGTCCTTGGTCCTCATGCTTTATCTGCAAGTTCTGGCCATTTGAAAAGAACAGGCTGTTGTTTAAGTAAAGTAAGCGGTAAATTATCAGGAGCATATATATTGTAGGTAGGTTAGGTAGGCACCTATGCAAGGAGAAGTGTGCTTCATCCAAGGAGCTGATTGAATCGTGTTACCCCAAAAGGTGACAAAGAACAAGGATATTCCGTGGACATTATATTAACTACCTAGTATTTCTCGGCAAGTTACCAACTTTCATCCTATATCGGGTGCCAATTACCGCCTTGTGCGGCGAATTTGTTGGTTCGGAGTTGTAGGTGAGAAGGTTTGTTTGATGTAGTACTGATGTCAGAAAATGTCAACCTGTGTAGGACACGTAGGACATGAGTTTTAAAGGTTTGCAGCAGTTCGTGAAACCGTAGGGATTCTAGAATTTATAATTAGATAACTGGTTATGGGAAGGGAGGAGGGAGAATAATGAAAGAAGAAAAAAAAAAGGGGGGCGATAAGAGACGACGAAACGGGGAATAGGTTCCCGAGGATGTGGTTGCACGAGACACAAGTTGGATTAAGCTTTTTTTTCCAAGTGGCGAGACTCGAGAGGGGATGAATAAATATAATGTGCTGTATTTACCGCATCCCCTTACATCCCAAATATCATACCTACCTCTACCTAACCTTAGGTACCTATAATACCTACCTGGTACCTATATCTGGTACCTAACCTAACCTAACTTTAGTTGCCTTGAATGTCAGGTAAGTTGGTAACACAAAGCATACTCAAGGATAGAAATAACCAAGTGCAAGTGCCGTGATTTCCCATTGGTTGCCGACATTAGGTAGCATAGTACAGTTACATGTCTAAATCTCGAGGCAGCTGCGAATCATAGGGATCAGCCCCTGTACTACCCAACTTCTAGACAGCCCAGGGAACAAAGAAGTATGCATTCTTTTTTTTTCTTCTTCTTTTTTTTTCTTCCCTTTCCTTCTGCGAAGTCGGCGCGTCTTGTACTTTGAGCTGCCGACTTTTTTTCTTATTGAATTGGGGGCTTCTGACCTTTGAATATTTCTTTTTTTTTTCTTTCTTGTCCACCCTTTTATCTTCATCAATCCCGTGTTACCCACTGCTGTCCACTGCTGTCTTAGCAGATCACCCGCCGCGCCAAGTTTCTTACCCCATTTATCGTTGGTCCAATAACTCGACAATAGGTATAGGTGGTAACTCAGCAATAACTTGGCCGGTCATGTCCCAAGACAAAATACCCTCTTCTCTCGAGGCGAACGAGCATGCAGCCTCACAACTTAGAGAGTCTCAAAATAGTACCTCTCAAGATGACCTGCACCGCGATGCCAATGTCCCGGACTACACCCCTGAGCAGGAAGCTCGTGTAGTTCGCAAGTTGGACTTGAACCTGATGACACTCTTCTTCGTACTATGTGAGCTATGAATCTAATTCGTATAAGTCCACAAGCTAACAGGATTCCTTGATGCCAAGATATGCTGGCTTACCTCGACCGCGGTAACATAGGCAATGCTAGAATCGCCGGCATGGCCCAAGATCTCCATCTTGATGGCAATCGATACCAATGGCTGCTTAATATATTCTACATTGCCTACGTAGTATTCGAATTTGGGGTCTTAATGTGGAAGATCTTCCCTCCCCACCTCGTCGGCACTGTTGTCGTTTTTGGCTGGTAAAGACTCATGTCGTCCTCTCCAAATCTTCCGTCTGGCTAACCATATGGAAGGGGTCTTATCGCTACAGTACAAGCCGGTGTCCACAACTGGAGTGGTGAGATGGCTCTGAGATTTTTCCTTGGCGCCTTCGAAGCATGCTACGGGTAGGTCGCGAACTCCATTCAAGAAGCTGGCCGTTTTCCAATGCACAACTGTTGCTAATACCTCGCTCATCATCTAGACCAGGTATAATCTACCTCCTTTCATTTTTCTATCTTCGGCATGAGATTGGTTTCCGATGTGGTATTTTCGCCTCCGCAGCTCCGTTGGCCTCCACATTCGCAGGTGCTTTAGCCTACGGTATCACGAGCGGACACTCGCACCTCGCCAACTGGCGTCTACTCTTCCTCGTCGAAGGATTGCCGACTATCCTCATGGCCATCTTTGCCTTCTTCTTCATACCTGACTCCGCAGAGAAAGCTAGATTTCTGACGGCTGAAGAAAAGAGCATTGTAAAATCTAGGGCCATGCGCCAAGTCGGCACAAACGCAAGCGCCAGAATAGGAGGGTTTAAGCTCGCGGACGTTCTACCGGTATTCCTGGATCTGAAGGCATGGCTATGTGGACTGATGTATTTCTGTGGCAACGTTACTTACTCAAGTCTGCCTGTTTTCCTTCCGACAATCCTCCAAGACATGGGCTACACAGCTATCAATGCGCAGGGTCTATCCGCTCCTCCGTCGTTTGCAGCCTTTATGTTCGCCTTGATTACAACTTGGGTCGCGGACAAAACCCAACAGAGATGTATTGTCCTCATGATTACTTCCATCGTGGGAGGAGTCGGTTACATTATCCTTGCCACCGTTGAAACCGTTGGCGTTCGTTACTTCGCCACCTTCTTAGCGTCGGCTGGCGTCTTCTCTACCATCCCTAATATTCTTGGACTGACCTTGAGTAAGTGTTCCTGGAGCCATAGGCTAGGTCTCCAAAGGAGTATTTGAGTAGATACTGACCATCTTCATAGATAATCAAGGTAGTGATACTCGACGCGGAATGTCAATTGTTCTCATCAACTTAGTCGGCCAGTGTGGACCTTTCCTAGGAACTAATGTATTTCCTACGTCGGACGGCCCTAGATTCATCAAGGGTATGAGTGTGTGCGCTGCCTTCATGTTCTTCTCTGCGCTTCTTGCACTCTTCCAGCGTCTACTTCTGATGTGGGAGAACGCCCAACTCGACCGCAAGTACGGAACCAAGACCAAGGACAAAACCACCGCAGAGTCCAAGGACATTGCCACGGAAAACTACGGTCCTAACTTTAGATATATACCTTGAGACCCTTCAGAGCTATGGGCATGTCCTGCAGTTTAGGACTGTTGATTCAATATCCCCTTTCCAGCATAGCCTTTCCATCAGATTAGATTTAGATATAATTGCTGGTCAGATAATTATGGCAGTGAATAAGAACACGTTAAATTATATGGATAATGGGTTTGAAGTAGAGAGAATAGTCTGTTGGTAAAATAATCTGGGGTTATGGTGCCCCCGATTATGCTATGTCTAATTTAATATTACAAGCAGGCCACAGATGTGTTCTACTAGCAGGCCGGTACGCGGATATGATTTGAAAATAGATAGTATTGATAATATTTATTGCTAGATACCTCACAAGATAGATTTAGAGACTCGTAGATGACTCGAAACAGGCTGATTAATCTCAGTTTGGACTAAAGCGACTGTGACGCTTAGCCGAACGGGATCACAATATTCTACGAATATGAAGGCACTAGGTTCTCTATCAGGTATTCCCGTGTTAGATGTCATATACAGAGTGAGTGTCAGGGGCATAGTAAGCAGTCTATTGTAAAGATGTAGTACGCCTAGCTCTCCCACCTCCTTCGGGGGAGATGGCTATCCTTTATATAGAAAATAGACCCCTGCTATATCCACATATCCCGGACATTCTAACTTGAGTACTAGGAAGTTTTATCATGCGTAAGTCCTTGTTATTGATTATTCCAAATTGATTATTATAGATAAAAGCTTCACGCCTTGCTATTCTCTCATAGCTCCCCGTATGGCTGGGTTACCCCTCGAAAGGGGGTGGGGCCGTGGATAGGGGCTCCGCCCGCAACACGATACGATTCGGCGCAACGTTAGTAGACATTCCGAATATATCACGGACATTATCCGTTGCATTTGACAATTTCCCAAATTGGTACGTCATATCTACCTAAGGTAGGTAAATAAGCATTATGGCGTGAAGCTAAAACTTTACTAGCAAAGCATACTGATTCTAGGTAGGCTGGGTTAGGTACTTAAGGTATTGGTACTAACTAACTAACGTCCAACACGCAAGTCTTCTTTAACAACTCCCGTTCAGGGGGAAGGGGGAGGAAGCTATCACTAATAATACTTGGCCCCGGTGTTCAACGGGCTCTTAGGGTCGTACACGTCGGTGGTAATCACGTCGGGGTACTTGACGTCGCCCTGCTTGAGCGCCTCCTCCATGACCTCCATGATAGCGATACTCTCGGACCAGGGGAGGGTGTCGCTCTCCTTCTTGCCGTCTCTCAGGCACCTCGCGCACTCGTCGGCCTCCCAGAACATGCCGTGGCCCCAGCCGTCCCGCGCCGGGTCCTTGGGGATCGGGCAATCGACGACCTCGACCTCGCCGCCGCCGTCCTTGCGCACGACGCGGTACTGCAGCGGGGAGAACGCCGGGCCCATCACCTGGATCTCGCCCTTGGTGCCCTGGATCTTGATGGCGGGCCCGCCGCCGTTATGGCCGTCCGTGTTCGTCGCGATCCGCAGGCTCGTCAGCGCGATGCCCTGCGCGTTGTGCCGCGGGAACTGCAGGATCACGCTCGTCAGCTCGTCCGCCCCCGTCGCCGCGTACTTGTTGACCGCGGCCAGCGTCCGCGGCGCCTCCTTCTCCGCCTCCGGCTGCAGGTGGTACAGGATCTGGAACAGCCACGTCAGCGAGTAGACGCCCAGGTCGAGCAGCGCGCCGCCGGCGAGCGCCGCATTCACCATCCGGTTCTCGTCGGAGAACTGGTACAAGCCATCCGGGTTTTGGCAGTCGAATGAGTTGTCGGCTACGGTCCGGAATGTCAGTGCGGAGTTGTTCGGCGCTGGATTATATGTATAAAAAAAAGGAAAAGGAAAAGAAAAGAAAACGGTTCAGGGGCTTACCGATTACTCGATGTACCTTGCCGATAAGTCCAGACTGCACCAGCTCTCGGATCTTGATGCTCAGGGGGAAATAGCGCGTCCAGACGGCTTCGAGGAGGAAGAGGTTCTTGGCCCTCGCGGTCTCGACGAGCTTCCTAGCCTGGGAGGCGTTGACGGTGAAGGCCTTCTCGCACAGGACGTGCTTGCCGGCCTCGAGGGCCAGCATGGTGTTCTGGAAGTGGTGGCTGTGCGGGGTGGCGACGTAGACGATCTCGACGTCCGGGTCGCTCACCAGCTCGGCGTAGGAGCCGTACGCCCTGGCGCCCTCGGGGGCCTTGACCTTCTCGAGGAAGGACGCGGCGCTCTCCTGGGAGGACGAGGAGGCGACGGCGACCACCTTGTGGGCGACGTCGTGCACGTCGCGGCTTGCGGGGTTGGCAAGCAAGTCCTTGGTAAAAGCTATAATGGCGAGGTGTGAGTATTCTCGTATGATAATTCACCCTGGGGGTTGGTGGTGGATGGGATGGGATGGATGACTTGACTTTGAGCAATGCCACCAGTGGCCATGATACCCCACTTCAGGGTGAAGGGTTGAGAAGCCATCTTGTGATGTTATAAGTTATTATAATAACTAGTCACTCGTGTTTAGTTTTTAGGGTTGCCAATTCACTAATGTTTGAAGTTGATCGAGTTAGGTAATTGCGATATTGTTGAAGATAGGGGGGAAGTCTGTAGTAAGCTTTTATATTGAAGTTGGAGTACTATGTAAAAAGTAAGTTAGGTGGATGGATGTTGGAGTTATGAAGCATCAGCATCCCAAACTTGGTCGGCTAATAAGACTGTGGAACGAACGGTGGTTGTGGAACGGTGGTGGTGAAAGATAGGCCAAGTTAATTAAGGGTGGGGGTCAATCGTTACCTAACCCGTATAACAACCGAACCTATTGGCTAATATGGAAGTCTGCAGGTGTTATCTCAAGGTTAGGTACTTAGGTACTATTGTGTTGTACAATACAATACTTATAATACATAAGGTACCTAACCTGGTAGGCACCTAACCTAGGTAATGCGGGTATACCGTACTATGAGGTAATCCAGGAACCCTTTTTGTTAGGTTACCTTAGGCACCTAAGGTAAAGTACCTTTAGTGTATATATGTACCTAGCCAACGTCGATACCTAATCACATGAGTTGATATCATGTATGTCTCTCATACATACATACATGTCTCTCACGCATACATACATGTCTCTCACGCATACATACAATCTAACCTACCTCCTAGCAATATATACCTACCTACCTAGTATGTAACATATAATAGCCTCATAAAATCTTAAACACGTAAAAACTATGAGATGGCGTATGTGCAACTTCGAGGCTCAATTCAGTCTCTCAGTCCAGTCCCAGTCCAATCCCCCTCCAATTACCAATATCATTATCATCACAATACCCAATTGCGTGTTGTATCATAATAGGTCCGATGCAGGCAGAGGGACTTGCGGAGCATGCTACCTTGATGGGGAAAAGTAGTAAAACGTTCAAATTACTACGGAAAGATACAACTGGATGGAATTTCTCGCACGTTCGGAAAGATCCTACTTGCATATGTGAGTCAAAATGTTGTGCTTTACCATGGTAGTTCAGCTATACTACTACCATTGTAATCGCTTCAGGTAGAGTTACCCGGTCCACCACGTAGCCTTGGACCGCTTCCCCTTCTATTGTGGTTACCTAGGTAGGTAAGCAAAGAATATTGTTAAGCCGCGCCTAGCTTGTCTTGTATTCAGTTAAACCTTATTATTCCTATGTCACGACTATCGAATTCTGATGTAATGGTAACTGTAATGTGGACAGAGGACATCTCGACGACATGGCTAAACATTGTCATCGCTGTCGTGGATCGGACCGTTCGGCTTGTGCTACAAATAAGGAGCTGTCGCCGACGTGGAAGTCAGAGAAGCTGCTTACAGCCGATAGTATTGTCCATTTGTTAGAGGCCAACCTTGGAACAGATTACCTAGGTACCTAGGGCCTACCCGTCTACAGCCTGCCTTCTAGGGAAGAAGGTCGAGAATGGACTGGAGGTATCGCAATGGGCGACCTTTCAGTATAGCAACGTTCCATCTTCAATCTCCTCGTAAGCCACGCGGTGTAAAGTTTCTCAACACAATCATAAAACGTTCACATTACGGACAAATTCACCTAACGCTGACCCGGCAAACTTTCTGTTTGAGACCATTCTCAATGGATGCTAAACCAGCTCCGATGCCAAAGCTGTTATACGGCACGGCTTGGAAGAAAGACGCAACGGCCGAGCTTGTAATCTTAGCCTTGAAGACTGGTTTCAGGGGTATCGATACCGCAGCTCAACCACGGCATTATAGAGAGGATCTCGTCGGGGCTGGTGTTAAGAAAGTAATATCGTTGGGTATAGTAAAGCGGGCCGATCTGTTCGTATGGTGTTGACTTCTCGTCTCTTATCCCTGCAACAAAAAAGTTAACAATCTTCAGGTTCAAACCAAATTCACCTCGGTAGATGGCCAAGATCAAAAACACCTACCTTACGACCTGAACGCTTCCCTAGAAGAACAAGTCCACTCTTCCGTAGCGTCGTCGCTTAACAATTTCCGCTATTCAGAGTCGGACGAGCCCTATATCGACAACTTAGTCCTACACTCTCCTCTTCGTACGCTATCAGACACGTTCAGCGTTTGGAAGGCACTAGAGACATATGTGCCTCACAGAATCAGACAACTAGGAATTTCTAACACGCCGCTTGAGGTTGTTGATTTTTTAAATACCAGCCCTGATATCACTGTTCGTCCAGCGTGCGTGCAGAACCGCTTTTATCCGTCCACGGGCTGGGAGGTAGATCTACGGGGGTATTGTCGAGAAAAAGGTATAACCTTCCAAGCTTTCTGGACATTATCGGGGAACCCACGGCTCCTGACGAGTAGGAGCGTTCACGAGTTAGCCGCGAGCGCAAACGTCGAGCCACCAGTTGCGTTGTATGCACTCGTGCTTGGTCTCGAAGGCATATCGATCTTAGACGGGACAAACAACGAGGCACATATGAAGGCTGACTTGAACGATATTAACACTGTGAGCGAGTACGCACAGAGCGACGAGGGTCAACACGTCTGGTCGAATTGTCTGCATAATTTCAAGAAGCAGATCGGTGAAAAGCAGTAAACCGACTTGTATCATATCATATTGACGTAAGAGGCAGGCGACGGTAGTGAAAAAGGGAGAAGAAGATCAGTTGTTCAGACATCGAAATGGGGAGAGGCTGCTCGGATCTCTTCTTAACCGATATGCGGCGCAATTGCGTCTGTTGGAGTCTTTGATAGTTGAAAATCACAACTAAATATAGACGTGAGGCTGACGTAAATTCGCCAATGAGAAGAAACACATTAGGTACCTATGATACCAACCGGCAATTTCTATGAACCCGTGAGACATTCGATGATGATATGTCACCAAGAATGGAAGTTAGCCAGTAACGGAACATCTTTCAACGCGTCTACCACGTTCAAAACAGCTTTTCTTTCCTTGTTGGCTACTTTGACTTCCATTTGGATCCCTAGCCACCCTGTGGGTGATCATTGCTTTAAATTCCCAAGTAGGCCAGGGCCCATTGTATCAAGGCGAAATTACCTACATGAGGCGAGCAAACTTGACCTACGAATACCTAGGGCCGCCTTCTCATTGTCGCTGATAACATTGACGCAGTTATTAGACGAGATATATACCTTATGCGAAACAGCGTAGAGACAATCTCAGTATTCCCTCAGGGTCTCTAACCTAATCATGGGAGTTCAGGGCTATATGCAACCCTAATAAGGCAACAACAGGTATATTTGTAAGGCTCGGTAAACGGGCCACCACCTGCAAAATTGGCCGTAAGCACTGACCCCCCGGTTAATTGGTTTACGCCGGGCACCTGGAAGGAACCGTTTTCAATGTTCATAAGTTACTTTGTCGAACAACTCCCAAGTTCGAGGTTAGAAGGCGTAGGATGACACAACTACGGAGCTGGAAATATTAGCCAGCTACATAACGTACGGGAAGCTAAAGAATTTATTTAAAACGCCCCCCTTTAACTTGTCTTACGTTTCTTTTCCTCTGTGATAGGAGGGCATCCCATGCATTCTTCTTCTTCTTTTTTAGGTTCAAGCGTATTAGCACAAGGCCAGAATAAATACAAGCCCTGGGCAGGTAATGGCCAGAAAGTGTTACTTATTCTGTTGGACCTACCCTTTTGGAGTTTTCCCCGTTGAGAAGCGGAATAGGTACCTAACCTAGAAGCAAAGTCAGTTAGGCATACAGAATATCGTATAGAACAGTGGCCGCTCAATAGGTCTTCAACACGCCGAAGAAATGTCACGTCGCAGAGCATGAGGTACAGTAGGGAAGAACCTTCGTTGTTCCGCGAGTAACTCTAACTACGATATTTTTGAAGCCAGAGCTATATACAAAACAACTCCTTTGTTCTCGGGGGGTCTCAAGCGAGACTCCTGACACGAAACTTATGTCATGTCACGGTACTGTCCGTGAAGTCCTTATAGGTGGAGATAGCATCGTCAACTCCTCGAGTTGACATCGATCTACCTTCCGAATCCTTACATGTCACAACCTTTGCCAGGTTGATAGAGATACTATTTTATCACTAGGAAGATAGGATGGATGGTCGGTTCGAAGGGACAAGGGTTCCAACAATTGAGGGATTTAAGGGAGGTAGGTAAGTAGACTACCTATCTACCTAAGATAGGTACCTATGTTACTACTATCTATAGGTACCTAGCAAGGTTGCCATGGCCCTGATGGGCTATATGTAGCAAGGTTTTATTGAAATATTGATATTTTATGTAAAAGAAAGTTACTTTCACGATGCAGTTATTTACTATGTAACTGTATGCGTTGGATATGCAGTTAGGTAGGTACCTGTTCTTTTGTAATTAGCACTTTGAGAGTATTTAAGTTAAGTGCCTACCCAGAGCTAGGTAGGTATTGGTGTATAATAAGAACGAAAGTAAAGACCTGATCAAATTTATTATTGAGTAGTTTGTTCTTAACGAAGACTGGAGATTCACGTGCGCAAATGCACGCAGAATGGTAGTAACTGTTTTGTTAATAGTAGTACTTTAACATATGCCATTTAGGACTTAAAAAGCAAACTAATCTTATATCTGAATAAAATATAATAAGTTAAGATAAGTAGATAGTATAAGTTATTTGTTATCATTGATCATGTTTATTTGCTTTCATTTTAGAAGTTACCTAGGTACCTGATCTCATCTTGAAGAGAAACTTTCCCTCGGGGCTTTAAGGGGCTGTATATGATATCTAACTTTCTGCATGTTAATGACTTAAGTAACTGATAAATAATACATTATTAGAAACTATCCAACTATTTTTTAAACGCAGACAGAATAGTATAGACAGTAACTACTGACTATCAATGCCTTAGGTAACTAATAAGATATTCAAAAGAAACAACACGGAAACAATTTTACTGTCGCACAAAGGCCAGATCTAGACATCATCCGCATCGTAAGGTGTGCAAGTCAAGTGTAGAACATTTACACAGCCTACCTGTATATAAGTCCGCTGGCTTAGCTTATAAGTACCTAGAGGTAGGTAGGTAATTCGCATTTGGTACATTAGATTTACATGTGATGCACATAATTACTATGAATCACGAAGACATCTATAAAATCGAGGTACTAAGCACTCATGTAAATAGGTATGAGACATATTCCACCGTCTTGTCAGTTTAGCAAGGAACTCCCTAGTGGATGTTACAAGCAACCCACCAAACCCTGGAGGCTACATCTAGCTATATACCGAAAGCGCAGTGATCAGTTCTAGAATCTAGAGGTATAATAAGCACGTGCTCTCATCTTCGATTTAGTTCTGGAACATTAAAGCATCTTCAAATGTATTTGCCATGAGATTTTATTACTATTCGTTTAGAATACTCGTGTAATCTAGAAACAGTGTAGCCAACCCCAAGCCCTAATGCTGTTAAAGGAGTTATCAGCATCAAATATCGCCTTACTTATTACATCAGCTGATAGTGAACTTGGTTATCTCAAAACTTCTAGCAGTATTTGAATAATGAATGAATTAGGTATTAGATCATAGGAAATACGTGAACAACGTTATGCCGCCGGCCATAACAAAGGGTTTACCTATCTAGTTCATGGCAGATTTTCCACAATCACCAACAATAGACTTGGCTTAGGAGATCAACGCGCTCTACACTAAAATTGTGTAAAATATCTCTCCCAGAATTTCTGAAATGTGACATCCCAAAAAGGTACTAGTATGCACACCGATCCTTGTGATTGGAGAAAGTTTTGCTCTTGTTGCTCAACCACTTGATAATAGCTAAGATGTCTCTATGCCCGTCACCATGCCTGTGCCACCGCTAAGAACCAGAGTGGCAATGTTCAAAAAAAATTTTGACAGTACGAATTTAGAGATATCGTATTTGATATCATCACATCGACACTTCGCGGGATTTGCTAGGTGTCGCATTATCACTTCTTCAGCGATCAAATATCCCGTCGAGAATTCGCCCAACCCCTCCTGTTCAAGTGGCCAAAAATCTCATAAGCGGGTATTTCCGACTACCTACCTACCTATCTGAAGTTCTCGAAGGGGCATTCAATTTTTCAATGCGATCATGATCGCCGATAGCAGTAAATAACCAATTGCGAGTACGCTGGCCCGCGGTAGATAGCCCGGCAGCAAAAGCATAAACATCGGTGAGAATGCGGACGGAGCCCGCTGACGTATTGGATTGCTGCCAGGTCGATAATACCTTTCGTGTTATACCCTAAACTTGATATGTATCATGCTTCCAGACTTCTTCTTCTGTAGCTCCTATTATTGTCACTTTTTTTTTTTTCGCCGTCGCCGTCGCCGTCAACCATCTGATGGGACCACATGGAGTGATATTACGCCACCGCGGAAGGATGTATTAGAGAATGGCGACAGAGTCGTACTCGGTTGTTGACCGCCTCGTCCTTGTTACTGTGATGGTGTCTCCTCGACCGGCAGAACCTTGGCTATTACAGCAGCGGCAGAAGGACTCGCGCCAGTTGATCCTATTAGTAGGCAGAACATCCTACACGATAGGCCAAGCGAGCTTGGAACATGCCACTGTTTTCAGCTTTTCAGGCATTACAAACAATTTAATCATACTGGTCACTATCATCTGTAAGACGTCAAAGTTGACAGCTGCTGTGTCTCCATAGGTGGTATAATAGTACAGCAATGATACAGCAATGATATGTGCTTCCGACGTAATAACGCTTGCAGGCGGCATTACGAATGCCTATGAGAACTTGCGGTACGCGTAACTTACCCCTTTTCCAGACTCATTCGAGAAGCTGCTGATGCAACCACCGATTCTTGATGGTTGGTTGAAACCAACCGGTGCCTTTGTATAACATTAACCATCTATAGCCACCAATAACCACCTACAACCACCTATCTATACCTATTGGTTCTCCTATACTTCTGTTCGGTTTGTGTAAGTGGTTGGTAGGCGTTTCAACAATCTTCAAAGGGGCACATAACTACCTTAACCTACCTACGTATTCACAACCTTGGCACTTGGCAAATATGCACCTACTGCACAAGTCCTTGATTTTTTAACTACTACATAGTACGTAAGGTTGGATCGCTTGGACCTGACTCTGCGGCAATGGTTCCAACCAGATCTGGTTGGAGGGAACCCTACTAGCTTCTATCACTTATTACATAGTATAATACTTTTAAGTATGCCGGTTAAGAATCTGCTTCCGCGGCCGATCTCGTTCCCAGCAGCGAATAGAAAACTGCGACGTCTTGTTCCCGGTCCCGATCTCGATTTGGGTTTGGTCCGCGCATGGAGATTCTCGTCATCGTGAAGCGATACAAAACTACCTCTACCTCATACCTAGGGGGTATGTACCAGGTAGCATACTATGTATGTATGTAAGGAATAGTTTCAAAAATCGCTTACGAGAGATTGTCAATAGGCGGGGTATTATTAGAAAACATTGAGGATGAGGATACTCCGTGTTACCTATACGTTAATTTGTTATAAGAGGTACCTAATTTTAGGTGCATACCTTATATGAGTGCGGGATAACGCGGCACAGGTACCAATACCTATAACACAAAGTAGGTACTTAAGTACCTATGTAGGACCTAATGTGCAATGCTGCATTGTATAAAATGCAGTATAACGCAGCCCTCGAAAATATTCATATTTGATGGAAATATTCTCTGCCTAAGTACGTCAAGTGTCCTCGAAGAAGGTAAATGCATTGTTATAAAATCCGAAAAGAACATGTTTACATGCGTGTCTCGGTATTCTAAGGGGCCCCGGGGGGGTTGAATTTTGTCGGTGTTGCGTAGGACGGGAATGTTAGCTAATAGGTAACTAATAATTTTCTTTTTTCTTTCTTTTATCTACCTATTTTTCCTTTGTGCGGCCCCATCCATGTCCCCATGTCTCATGCTCCATGCTCCATGCTTTCCCAGGGTCCGGGGGGGTTTGGGCAAAAGAGGGGAAAGAAAGCTGAGCTGAGCCCTGCAAGATCTAGCAAGACCTGCAGCAATAAACTGAGTAGGAACCAAACCGGTTCGAGCCGGTCCTTCGGGCACGAGCCCCGCTTTGACAAGTTTGACACTGACAACTTAGGTAGATTAGGTACATAGTAGAGATACACAAGATGAACCACAAACCCAAGCCATTTAAAAAACGCATCCCCACTTTTGGATCTCGAGGCGTTAAATTTTTAGCCCAAGCACTTTACCTTAGGTTAAGTAGGTACCTAAGTATTTTACGTATACGGTACTTGGATACGTGAAAAAAAGCCATGCGGAATCGTGGTCTTATTCCCCCACTTTACTCGATGTTTTTTTTCCTTTTCTTTTTCTTAGGTACTTATTCTCGCTTTATGTTACTAGGTATAAGTACCTAAGTAGCTATTTGCATATACTTATGTTAAGTGAATAGTACATTGTTATCCTATGAAAATATATAAGGTACTTAAAGCTAATATCGGATAAAAAGTTACACAAACTTTATATTAGTTGCATACTTTAGGCAATACAAGTATTATACCTATAGGGCTCTTAGTCGCAAAGCTAAAAAAAGAGAAGAAAAAAAAGTCCATATAGCGTGTAAGTATACCCAAAGTTAGGTACTTGAATACTTTCCGTGTCTAATAAGAAAATCCTTCCGTCTATCTCATCTTTCCCATCCACCCGTTTTACCCATACACATCCGCCCATCCATCCATGATCCATCCATGATCCATTCATCCATCTCATTAGGCAGGTAACCTAATATATCAACGATCTGGACCTTCGGACCATTGTCAAACACCCCCCACTCGCCCGCCAAGTACCTCATCAGGTACATCAGCTTGACCGGGTTCCTGGAACCTTCACCTCCTTACCTTATCCTAACGACCAGCAAGGCTTACAGTACTACCGTGAGAACCTATCCGGGAAAAACATATCCGTCAAAATATAGACATGATTTATGTTTAATCAGAGATACCACGTACCTAACACATCATAGTAAGTATTTTGTACCATACTTTGTCTACGCTGTCTACCCTTGTTCTCCTTTGCCTATACCCACCCAGTTCCCAAGGTTACGAGGTAACAATGTATACCTGCATCTGTATCTGACTTCTCTGCCCTTGTCCCTCGGTCTCGATTTGATCACAATCCCTACACGTACGTGTACATACATAGTACAGCATATATATATGCACCATCCAGGTTGCCGCCTTGAATCTATACCCACACCCCCTTGGTTCTTCCTTGCCCCTTGTCTTACTTTGCCCAGATCTAGCAGCAACGGAAGCAGCAGTAGCAGTAGCAGCAAGCAGCTTACACGCCAGCTAGCCCGATCAACCAATAGCCGGCGCACCACCTTGCATCGGCACCGGCAGCAACTAAAACAACTGCAGAAAAACTTGATATGAGCTGTGCAGAATCAGAAAGTGGGATGGGACGGCGGTTAGGCCGTAAAGAAACTAGCGACGATCGCGCACAACTCGGCGCCAGCAGCAATAGCGCTTCTCTCTCTGCTTCTTGTCCTTCTGCAGTTGCCGCTACGGCTGCCGTCGGCAACTCGCCCAGAGAAGCTGTCACTCCTACCGGTGAACAAATGGCCCACCACCACCAACGAGAGGGGCAGCATCAGCGCCAGGTGATGCACGACGATACTGCTCCCAACAACTCCTCCACCTCCACCAGTTCGCATGGCGCGGCTATACGGGAACGGCAGGACCGCGTTTCCCCAACCACCGCTGCTCCAGCTAACTATCCCGGTTCCAGCCCTAACGTTGGCACCGACTCTGTCGCTGCTGTAGCTGCTGGTACTTCTAGCGCTAAGGACGCGAACGCCGCTGAGTCCTACGAGCAGCAGCATGTGCATAGCGTCTACGAGACCATCGCATCGCACTTCTCGTCGACGCGACACAAGCCGTGGCCTTTCGTCGCTTCTTTTTTGGAATCGCTGGCCCCTGGTTCTGTTGGGCTAGACGTCGGCTGTGGAAACGGCAAGTACCTCGACGTGAACCGAGACATTGTAATCATCGGCTCGGACCGCAGCGCTAATTTGGCGCGGCTGGCCCGAGACCTCAAAGTGGTAAAGGGAACAACGACGACACCAACGACACCAACTAATAGTGGTGCCGACGTAGCAGGTATCGCGGACAGCTTAGCGCTCCCATTTGGCGGCGCGAGGCGACGCGTAGACTTCGCGATTTGTATCGCCGTCGTCCACCACTTGTCAACGCGGGAGCGGCGCGTCGAGGGTGTGCGCGCCCTACTCGACTGCGTCCGTCCGCGCAGCGGCAAGGTGCTAGTGTACGTCTGGGCCCTCGAGCAGGGGACTAGCCGCCGCGGGTGGGACGAGGGAACTGCAGATCAGGATCAGCTAGTGCCGTGGGTGATGAAATCGAACAAGCCCAAGAAACAGAAGAAAGCTGAAGAAAAGGAAGAAGCTAGCAACAAAAAAGAAATGGAAAAGGAAAATGGCGAGAGCGTGGGCGCTAGTACGTTCCAGCGATACTACCATCTGTATAGAAAAGGGGAGCTGGAAGAAGACGTTCAGGCAGCTGGAGGTGAGATCCTAAGCAGCGGCTATGAAAAGGATAATTGGTGGGTTATAGCAAGTCCTAGAGGAGAGGAAGAAAGAAAACAAGACTGTTCGCCGTCTATAGAAACCCGATAGCGATTAATGTTGTGTATCACGCGCAGGGTTACACAAGGAGTAGGCAACAACGGTCTGAACTCTTTATTTTGGAAACAGTATTAGAATTATACTGTACGTGCATCGTGCAGCGTACGTTGATTCATACATGGCCTCTGCCTATTCTTATTCCTATCCCCTCAACCCTGTCCTAGTAAACGCCCGTTACTACTAATAACCAAACACCTAGTACCTACAAACAAACAAAAAAACAAAAACAAATAAAAGGTAACTACCTGTAATAATAATCATAAAATTCATAATAATAGGTACCTATGTAAAATTATTCAAGTCATTACTTGGTACCATACATTAGGTGCACATTCACGGAACACCCCTCCCCTCACCGTTTGATTCTCTTCCTACCGCCACCTTGTCACATTGGTATCTCCCGCCGGCCTTTCTCCCATTTCCCGTTCCACGAAGCAGCCACCAATACTACTACCACCACCACCACCATCCCCCTTTTCAGGTAAGAGGTAAGTAAGTAAGCAAGTAGAATAGTTGTAATAATGAGTCGTGTAATATAGCCTCAGGTAACTACAACGCGCGGCTCTTGGCTCAAGACTAAAGAAGAAGAAGAAGAAGAAAGAGAGACGAACCAGAATAGAGAAAAAAAAAAAAAAAAAAGAGGGCAGTACCCGAAACCAAGTTAAAAACAAACGACACACCGGAAAGTCCATAAACGAAAGAAAAGAGAAAAAACAACGGTAGTAAACAAGAGAGAGAAAAAAAACATCTTCATGACTCATCCCTTTTGTAGCCCAATGATTTGCCAATGATAGGTATGGAAAGGGTAGGTAGACACAGGCCGAGAATAAGATACTAGAAAAATAGAAAAACAGAAAAACAGAAAAAAAAAAAAAAGCATTCAAAGAAGGTAGATCTGGTTCCACCCGTGAGCAACATCCGGTTCTTTTCCACCCAAAAGTCCAAGTCCAAGTCCGAATCCAAACCAGTCCAACCCGTATTGTTGTATCGATCCATCTTTTATGTGTGTATTTGCGTTTGTGTGTGTGTATGTGTGTGTCTCTGTTTAGCTTTTCCCTTTCTTCCCGTCGTCAATACATGAGGTTCCCAGTAATACATCTGATTCTTTCCAATACAATGCCTGTTGCTGCTCCGGTCACGATGCAGTTATTCTTTTTTTTCTTTTTTTCTTTTTTGTTTGTGTTTGTGTCTGTGTTGTGTATTTGTTCTGTTTTTTATTTCTTATCCAAAAATGAGTCGACCTGTTTCACTCACTGTAGGTCTTCGGTCGCCCAGAAAATGGATAGATAGAAATCGTTGATAAAGGGGAGCTTGATTCGAGACCCCTAGGTGAAGCCAAATAAGATAAATAAAAGCATAGTTATGCGTAAAACTCGTGTTCTGTCCTTTTCTCTTTTTTTCCCTTGCATTGGCCTAGCGGGCACGTTCGTGTCGTGGAAAATTCGTAATGTCGTAAGGTTCTGGCCGCTGATCCAGATGGTGACTCCTTCGCCTATTTATATCTGGAGAGAGATTATTGACCTCCGAGCCCCTGCGTCGTTTCGGACCAGTTAGCTCTACGGAAGGATAGCCCAGCGGTGTCATCATATACGACCCGGTTGGGCTTGACGCGGAGCTAATACCGGGGCTCATATTAGGGGGAGGAAGAGAGTATGCGGGCGTACTATAACGGCTAACCACCGTTGTGAGCTCAGCAACTCCTGGCAACATTGGTAGTGATGGCGGGGTTTGTGTTTGAATAGGAGCTAGAGGTCGATATGCAAAATTTTCGTGCTCTTGTTCCGGATAGATGTTAACGTGAGGCGGCACGCTTTCTCTCCTGGATGCGAGAGGCCGACCTACTGGTGCCGTCCCTGCACGGCCGTAGCCTCGTCCAGACCCAGCGTCGCGAGAAACGTTGCCTTGCGAGTGCGAGTGATTATGTCGTGAATGGGCCCTAGAGTTGCCTCGAGATCCCTCCGATGTCGACGTCGCCAGAGTAAAGGGCACTGTCACACCTGCACGACGTCGCATGTCCTGTTCTCCGAGTTGCCAATGCATTGCTTCTGCTGCCCGCCACGGCATCGCCATCTCATCTGCAACCTTAGCCCACATCTCGGATTTGAATCTGTTTTCACCTTGTCAGCTTTTTGAAACTCTTCCACCTAATAGACCGTTTGCTGGTAGCACTTGTTCCAAGCTGAATTTATTATATATTTTTTTCTACTTGAACTGATTTCACAAAACCGTGCTTACCTATCATAAAGTCTTGCTAGCTTATTCTTTCTTTCCTCGTCCCACTCGCTACGCTTCTCAAGGTAGTTTTGATAGTGTAGCCGGCAGCTAATGGCGCTCCTCCCAGGGAGCTTCTTGGAAATGTCGTCCCATTTCAGACCACTTCCTCGAAGTTCTATAATTTGGGCGTCCTCTTCACTTGACCATTTGCTCTGCCTCCTGGCAGGGGATTCCGACGTGTGAGGTGACATGCTGCGCTTTTTAGACGTACTGCCTGCCGAAGCTGGTCCTGGTCCTGGTCCTGATCCTGGTCCTCCGGGCTGTGGAGAGTAATAAAATGGTGGCCCGCCGCTAGGTGTCGAAGTTACAGTAGCCGTAGTTGCGGAAGATGGTACTGATACGGATCGAATGTACTCGGGAGGATATGAGGAAGACTCATCCGAGTCGGGAGCCTTGAGGAGGTAAGCGATATCCACGGTGGCGGTAGGAGCCGGGAAAGCTTTGGTATGGCTGATGTTTATAGGAGCGCCGGGTCGCGCTTGTGGTCCTTAAGGGCTCCGAAGAGGTTATAGGTCGTTTTATCTCAACACAGCCTGTGTTGTGCTGCTTGGTTATCTGCCAAAACTGCCTAATAGCGTTTTGGCTCTGTTTGTATTGTTTTATGTGGACAGGCAGTAGCGAGTCCTCAGCTCTTTCAAATATGGGTTCTGAAGTCCGAGAAGAAGTTATGATGGTTTGGTGTTAACGCCTTAATGCTAGACGAGCGAGTTTTGAAATTGTTAATACCAAGTAGAGAACTAGGTGATATTCGAGTTTGAAAGGGGTTTCTCAAGTATGACTTAGAAGCGAAGGGGAAGGGAAAGTCCAGGAAAGCCAGAGCCCCAGGTAAATCAAGCGTGATAATGGTGCTTTTGCCAGTGAGTTATGACGTGTGATTGGGTATTTCTCTTCAGCCAATAAACGAAAGCACAACAACCTAGGAGGCTTTGGATAACGAAGCGCCTCCAGGCGGATACGTACAGTACTTTCAGTCAGGTAGATGTCAAATATTTGGCTAGCACGAAGTACTTTCTCTTTTCATTCATAATGTTTGGCCTATGGAGTTATTACTATAGTGGCAATGGAAGTACTATAGGTCCACGTTGGGGATGCGCAGTGAAATTTGTTCTTGGACGGACGGGGAAAACAGGAAAAGAAACGCTACAAGAGGGATGCCTAGGAGAGCTGGCAGAGAGTGAAGACTTCTGGTTGATGGGAGCGGCGCGTGGTGGTCAGTGGGCGAGCCCTTAGCAAGGGTAGGGGAACAGAGGCCGTTAGGTTAGCAGCCTGAAGCTCAATGGTCAACTAAGGGGTGTGGGGTGTGAGGGTGTGAAATTGAAAAGGTGTGGAGACGATAGACACCGGGTTTTCTGCGTTTATAGGCAATAGGCAAGTTGTGTGAGGTATAATAGAGCCCAGCAGTTCGTGTGTGAGTTGGGTAACCTCACCGACTATGCCAACTCAGAATACATACCGTCTGTTGCCCTCCCCTCCCCCCCCCTCCCCCCGAAGGTACCTGGAAAGGAGGGGAGGAGTTAAGTTAAAAAAAAAAGTGACAAGTTTTCAGGTGATACACTCTGAAATCCGAAAAGCTTCTAGAGACGCAGGCGCAGTGGATATTCATCTGCCCGTCCCTTAAGAAGACATTCTCATTGCAAGTCATTTGTTCGACTCGTTGGCCATGCAAGCTGGTTGACCGGGGGTGTTAATGGAATGGCCACGACATTCATGCATGACTTTGCAGAACAAATCATCACAATTCCCATGCGATTTTGGTTTAGCACACTAGGGGTAGCTGCTGAATCGGCGGATTAATGACGCAAATTGAGAAACGAACTGGAGAAAACATACGAACGAACGGTGTTCGAGAGGATCAGGGCGAGCGAGACCTAAGGGACACCTAGGATTGAAGCATCCACACTTCTAGAAAGGGTAGTTTATCGGCCTCGGTAGGAACTTCAAGGCGTTGCGGCGCCGATGCTAGAACGTGATGAACGGGCCCAGGATGTAGGGATGTAGACTGTAACATAATGCTTTTTTTTTTGAGTCCCTGCGCGGTATCAGGCCATCCGCATCCAGGCACAACAGGTATCCTACCTATCTCACCACCCAGGACCGTTCGGGGCTGTCCAACTACAGTTCCCGGGGCTTAAGGACCTGAGAACCCTTTGACGATCTATTGCAGGCTAGCTCGTGGGGCTTGAACGAGATCGGTTCGGAGGAAGTAAGTCCCTGTCGAGCGATACTACCAGACATGCGCATTCCAGAAGCTGCAGATGAACAGGACGGGTGACGGTGGCAACTAGCTACATATTGCTAGGTAGTCATGCAGGTATATAAACCGCGGTCCATGGAGCATGGGACTACATGGGACTACATGGTCCGAGTGGAGATGGCGAAACCAGACTACCATACCTATCAGCCCATGTTACTGCCCACTCAAGGGCAGGTTAGGTTCAAGTATGTATGAGACGTATAAGATGTATGAGATGAGGTATGTATGAGGTATGTACCTAATGTAGCTACCGCTGATGTGCATGTGTGGATACGATACGACATTGGGCTACCTGGAAAGGCTTGCGAGAGGCTTACGAGGGCTATGGAGCTATGGAGCTAAGGGGCTAAGGAGCTAATGAAGAACGGCGTAGATTCGGGACATACCAGTACCGGCCGGACGGGAGAAGGAAAAGCAAGGTAGGGCTTTCGTCCGGTGTAGGGCATTCCCACCCAATATACCTAGTTAGTATATACATATATCAGCATATATTACTTACATATATAATAAAGTACCTTATGTAGGTAGTTCTTTGTATCTTCATGAACATGGGTTATTGATGTGATATGTCTGGAAGATGTGGGAGTGGTATTAGTTGTATTAGTTGAGATTGGAGCTTGTTGATATGGAACCGTATAAAAAAGGAGAAACGATGTGGCATATGTGCACGCGTGTGTGGGTGTAAAAGGAAAAAAGGAAGGGAAAAAAAAAAAGACGTAGTAGACGAAGAAGGTAAGGTAGGTATTGTTTAAATGATGCGTTCGAGGTTGCTAGGATCAATCTGTATAGTGTATTACTGCACTATGTACAATGTTATAGTACTTTTAAGTCTGTATTGTACCTTCCTTACTGTACTTAGCTCTTACCTTGTATTATACTATACTATTGTCTTGGTTGGGTTAGGTAGTTTCCTATACCTACCTTACCGGCAAATGTAACTCAAGTATATGTAGTACCACGGGTAAGTGTATACCTACATAAGAGACCACACAAACGCATTATAGGTACCTGTTAAAAATTATAGGAGGTATTTTAGTTTAAGTACCTGGTAACGTATAACGGTCCACTACACTAAATTTGAACGACACTAACCTTATATATCTTAGTCGCGGGAGAAAAAAAACGACAAAATTGGAAGCTGTAACTACCTTACTAGTAGAACACAAGACCCTTGTTTCGTTTTTGGTTCTCGCGGGAAATGGGGCTCTCTTCTCTCTCTTCAACGCAGGTTGCAGAATAGTTAAAGCCTGACGTCTGTGCGCTTTCACGTTTTGCTGAGCCAACCCATGGGGCCATGCTACATGTTACATGCTACAGGCTACCTCAGGCCCTGGTTCGTCTCATACTTAGTACAATACGTATTAATACATACGATCACAGTTAAGTAACATCATACGTCGCCTGTAATGAGATTCGGGCGCCTATCCTTTTCTCATGCTTCTCAGCTGCTTCCTAATCTACTACATACCTGGTAACCTACGATACCTACCTAGTTCACTCCGCCTTCGTCGTCATAGGCGTCCAGAGAACAAACGTTTCCGGGTCTCCGGGAATAGCGATCTGGGGCCCACGAACTGGCGGTCAGCAGCCCAAGCATGCATGATAAACATATATAGACATCCCATACGCCTACTATGTACTATAAACCGCATACGTATTTCTAACCCATCACATACTTCGTATACCTACCTATCCATCCTGAAGCCTGAATAGATGGACATGGTCATGACCAGCACCTAAGTTACCGGTATCTAAACTTGGGTGAACAAGCTGTGCTGGCCTAGTTACGTATTCCTCCTCGGCTTAGGTACCTATTTTATCATTCCTCCCTTTTCTATTATTTTCTCTTTTCCCTTCTCTTACACGTCAGTGCCAAGAAAGGTAGGGCGGTGCCGAACTTTTGTTTTAATGGCGTGCATGGGGGGGAACAACTGCCATGAACCATGATCTTCGCCTGCACCGCATCACAATAATTAGAAAAAGTTGGTTTGGGTCTCAATTTATCATGCCTGCAGATACTATGTACCTACCATGTATGATACTTATGCTTGTCAAAGCTCTTAACCATGCGCCACAAGGAGGAGAGCTCGCGTTGTTTGTTTGCCCTACCAACTTTTGATAGGATGGAAAGTCCCTGTTAGGCTGTTCCGTCTTTGGGCTGTCTTATATTTCCCACCTCATCAAGTGGACGGGTTTGCTACGATTGGACCGTGGATCGCGTGCGCTATACTTAGAGGACAGCTATATCTGAATTCCATATACATACACAAGTTCGACGACCACCCCAAAGGGTGCTGCGCTTTAATTAGGAAAACGGTTAATGATTAAAGACAAATCTGAAATACTTCCGAATAGGTATAACTCTTGTCTATATAATAAACTTATTATTTTTAGCTTATAATAATAAGGGTCGAAATAACCTCTTATTAACGCTTAAAATTTGGTACGCTATCCTTAGTCTTGCCCATTTCCTTAACTAAAGCGCAGCGCCCTTTAAGGTGCTCGTCGAACTTGTGTAAACAGCACTTACCTACGTACCTTATGTAGCATCCATCTCTGCAGGATACAATCATATTGTATTGCCTGTTTTTTTTTTTTTTTTTCGAGTGCATAGATATATGCGAGTGTTGCAGTTAGCATAATCTACTTTCCTGCAGCTTCACTATAATTACCTAGGTAGTAAGAGAATCGTGGTACGTATACCTCTTATCCCCTTCTTCTGGACGAGAGCAACATTTCAACACATACTTGTACATTCTTACTGCAAGTACACTCACGACTTGCATCCATGCCTACTTATCTAAATACCTGGCTTTGTGCTCAACTCGGATTGGTAGAAGAAGCGAAGCGTGGGGGCAGGAGTGGATGGGGTTGGTGAGGAGAAGTCAATCCGTTTACCGGCTCATTTGAAATGTTGCTGCCCGAACGAAGCGGATCATACCTACCTAGGCGTTCTTATGCCTGCCCGTTTGTTAATCAATCAACTAGAAGCGCGTCACAGCCCTGCTCAAGCTTAAGGCACCTAGGCGCATGTCAATCTCAACATCCTACTTGTAACTGCGAGAAAGCGTTGGACGAAGCTGTACCTAAAAGATGGCACCCTGAAACAAGGACACACGTAACGCTTCAGAATAGTAGTGCTGTTGGTCGTCTATCGTCCAGTCGTAAGTCGTGACAGGGCGTGTGCACGTGTGGCCGTGCCAAAGCCTGATGGACTAGTGGGCGTGTAATGATCGAAGTCAAGTGAGGCAAGGCATATGTATGTACGTATTCTCTACCCTTTTTGGCCTAGGGTTTAGATCGAACCAGATTGCTAGAAATTAGATGGGCCAGTCAACCCAGGGACCGTCTAGTTGGGCTCATAGTCCCCAACTTCTCAGGTACCAATGTGTCCGATAGTTCCTTGCCCATATCCCATGGAAAACATTAGACTTCATCGTAACCTAGGTACGTCAGCAACCTTAATGCTCCAGGCTTCGGTACCTGCAACCCGTTTTTGCCCGGCCCCTGGATAGTCGTGTTAGCCTCACATTGATGGTTCGGTTTGGTTGTCTCTCCTCCCGTTCATGCTACCGGTTAATACCCGTCTAGTCGCCCTACCGTTGGTTTCATCCATTATGTTCAGCCGTTATTATACCGTGATTGGGATGGCTCTTGGGTAGAAGTGAATCTTCTAGGTGACAACCTAGACGTGACAAGGCGCCTACGAAATGCAAACTCCGTGACAGGCCAAATGAACAACAGTCAATATGCTGCCCGACAGTTAGACAAGATGTTGACGTTGTCACTAGGTAATGCCATTTTCGCAAATAAGCCCACGCTAAGGCATGTGCCAAACCACACGGACCGAAGGCCAATAACAATACGGCTATCGATTATTGCCAGGTCGGGCTCTAACAGCGGGAAGGGCTGACCGCCCTTGGGATAGCGGTGAACAATAGCGTGGATGCCGGATGCTGCCGGCAGGAATAACGCATAATTGCCTCCACGACGAGGTTCTGCTGCTCATATTAGATACACCCACATTCGGGGTTTGATGCGCTCATTCGATACTCAAAAGCCAAAGAACGTCTTCGATATATTGGTAGAAAGACGAATACTGAACCCATTTAGGGCTGCAGGATGAGTGAAAAGGGAGAGCAACAAGGGTGTACAATACATTAGGGCGGGCGTTAACCCGGGCTCGGGTGGCGCAGTAGAACCGAGATATGACTTGTCAACTTTGATTCTGTGATAACCGAGATTTCGAGGCAGCAGATAAACATTGTTTGCTTGGGACTCTGGTCTTAGGGGGTGCATTAGAGCCCGGCTCCCGGCTTCCCCGCGAAGCCCACAGCCCATAAAGCGGCTAGACATCCGCGGCTCGCCCTAAGAATATTCATAGATCTATTTGAAGATCGTCGGTTGGCTACCATAACTATCAACGCATAGTAAGCAGCGAATCATACGTGGGGGTAAGGTAATAATGGAGCTGCAATGGCGTACCATTTCCATAAATTTCGGTTTTCCGGATATAGGATCTCATGCTGGGTCGTAAAGAAAGCTCGATGAGGCCAGATGCGAGGAGGCCATATAGACATATGGGCAAATACATCTGATGTCGCTGAAGGCTGTCGTGGTACCCGGTGAGTTGGATCTCCAGGTACACAGACAATGATGCAAACGCCGTTATCCAAATCATTGGACCCTACTCAGATTCGCGACCCCTTGTTTGTCCTACGTGACAAGCGACTGGATCTCGGGTACTGGCTGGCCAGTTGCAGGCGTCAGTCGGTAGCCGGACGGGAACAATTGACACTTCACGATATTAATTCTCATTTTTCTTATGTGACGTACGAGTGTCAATTATCCTGTACTTCTGTCGATTTTGGAGTTAACGCTGAGTGGGTTAGGTAGATGTGCATGCGGACGCAATCAGAAGTGCGATATGCAAGATTGCAAAAAAAAAAAAGAAAGAAAACAAAAAGCAAAAGAAAAAGTAAATACCAAGAAGCCAAAAAAGATAGAAAAGTTTGGAAAGGGGGGATGTTGGGGGTGCATAACTTAAGGTTGTACAATGCCCAGATAGGCATCTTCTATGCAAGTGACAATTGACAAAGCATCATGGCAAAATAGGAAACAGCTTGAGAAGTTTACCTCATACATATAACCTGTCAGCCCAGTTTAAATCATAAGACTTTCCCTGCATTGCAGGTAACCATTACCTAGGTACCTAAGTAACAGTCAATGTACTGCCTACCGGGTAGGTACCTCATAATGAGATGTAGGAGGAGGTAAGTCCTACCTACATAGTCGTACTTCGTACTACCTTTTTATGTTAGGTACATAAGCCTTAAGGTACCTTAGGTAATGTGGAAACTGCTGTGGCTTGCAGGTTGCAGAGTGTGGCGGTCTTTTTTAGTTACCGTTTCCCCTTGCTACAGCCTACAGGTGACCCTTGCTGCCTACTACCTCATTCTCTTCTGATCCAAACTCCAAACTACATCCCCCCATTCTTGTGAATGCCGAATACATCAACGCGCCTACAACGGAAGTTTTGCCTTCTTCCATGCAGATATTGCCCAACAGTCTCGTGTTCTCAACAGATTACCGAGTCTAGCGGCAATCTCATTTGTGTGGCCCGAGAAAAGCTTACCGAGCTGCTGTGGGGATTGAGGCTTAAACCGTTGCAAGATCAGGAGCCTCACTAGCACTCTCTTTCTCTCGCGCGCGTTGTACACACCACTTCTTACACCGTGTGTAATTAGAAGATTGGAAGAGTGGGAGAGGGTCTGCCTGATCCTATTGAAGCTTAGAGATCGTCCCCCGTTATACGCCTTTCAAAATCGTCATCATCTCGTCTAAGTAGTACTACCGTCTAGGCGAGCAATGGCGGATGTTCCGTTGCAAGTCATCTCCGAGAATTCAATCTCAGAACGACGAATCACTCCGTCATGGTCGATCACTCAACTGAAAAGGAAACTTGAGCCTATCACGGGCATTCCTCCTTCATCTCAACGCATTAGCTTGAAAACTGCCTCGAAAGACTCCATTCCAGTCGAGGCTGCAGATGAAGATGCTGTGCTTTTATCGAGTTTCCCCCTATCTGCTTATGCAGAACTGCATGTAAGTAAGCTGGTTCCCATAGACGCGTTTAAAGTGGGCAGCCATCGAGCTGGTCATTGCTGCCGCGGCACTTGATCCTCGTCGATACGTGTCATCCCACTAGTCGGCTGAATACGCCCGCATGTGTCCTATCTACCATCATGCACAGCAGCGAATGACTAACACCACCGTCACCAAGATTGTTGATACTCGTCCAGCCAGCGCCAAGCTGAACTTCAATGACACGTCAGGCGTTGAGAAATACATCATGCCCCCAGAGGAATACGAGAAGAAATCCGACTCGGTCTTGGCGTGGAAAAAGGCCGAAAAACTAGGCCGCTTCAACCCAGATGCTCCCAGTTTGGAGAAGGCTAAGATCGACGCTTTTGACTTTGAAGTCAGGAGCAGGGGCATAGAGGTAGGCAAGAGATGCAGAGTTGGTGGTGACGACACCCGTAGAGGAGAAGTGAAGTACGTCGGGGAGGTAAAAGAGATCCCGGGCTCTATAGGTGCTTGGGTTGGGGTTCAACTTGACGAACCAGTAGGGAAGAATGACGGTAGCATCGGAGGTACCAGATACTGGGGTACCGAGTCTACGCTCAAGCATGGTGTGTTTGTAAGGCCAGAAAGGGTCGAAGTGGGTGAATGGCCTGTGCTCAATGATTTGGAAGACATGGAAGAAATATGATATAGTTGAGCATCTCATTGTCTGTCTACGTATAATCCGGTGTAGCTTCCATAGCTTCCATAGCTAACACACAAAACCAATACGAGTATTCCCACCAGCGTGTTCACTTATCTATAAGGGACGATACCAAAGCAATCAGTACAAAATAAGAAGGTTCGTTTCCAATGCGGAACACCCAGTCGCTACTAAACTACTTAGGTAGACTTGATTGTAGGAATGAAAATGGGGATAGAAGTACTCTATAGCCATCATGTTCTGGGATAAAGTACTTGATGCTTAACAAACGATCAGTCAAATAACTCAAATATCTTCTGGTTATATCTGCCCCGAGCTAGAACATACTTAACCCCTCAAAATGGTGGGGGGCAAAAAAAATACTCCAGAGCTAAAATCACATAACCAGATTCAAAAATTGATACTTCTTCATTGGCCCCAACAATTGTATAGAACATTTGGAAATCTTTAACCAAAAAAATATTAGACTATTAGTTAATAGTGTACCTAATATAGTTTGGGCATACTACCTAAGGTACCTATTGATATCTCAGGTCTTGTATAAGTGCTGTAATATACTTAGTTGAGCGCGTTCTTGGGGTCTTGTAGAATAAGAACGCCAACTTATGTAGCACATTCCGTCGTACATCTGGCGTCTAAGACACACCAGATCTCTGCGTAGAAAATGGATGTAGTCGAATCGTACATATGCATTCTAAGAAGATTAGATTCAGTGCCACAGCATTGCCGAAGACACCGAGAAACAACAGTGCTACCTACATGAGGTCGTACCCAGGAGGAGGGAAAAGGTGCTTGTAGGACAGTAATTTCGAAGGAGTGGCATTCAGCTGACTCGGACTAAAAAAAAGACCAGTACTCATGATTCTCAGCTTGTCAAGCTGTCCAATTTGAAATATTACCTCACCCTCACCTGACTAAGACCTGTGAGGACCATGTCAGGTGGTTATACTTCACCTCATGTTATAATCAATCGTAGAGCCAATCAAAACCCCATCTTAGTTTCACAATGATCTAAGAACTCTCTAGCACGGGATATCTGAATTTATGTATATTACGACTTTAGAATCAACGAGGTACCTCTTGCAATGTTACAATGATTATATATCGGTTTAAGCCTCAAAATGAAATTATAAATAAGATAATAGAAACTATACTAAAATATTAAGAGCCTCATTAAGCCAATGCAAATCAATTCCGTGGTAACAATTATGCGGTAACAACTACAAGGTACGAAAGCGTGTCCAGCTAAGCGTAGTGGACCTCTTTTAAGTGGTGACCTCAATGGAACCAACGGGCATTCAGTTGCACATATTGATGTAGTTACCTAAGCTATTTACTGCATACCTACTATACAGAGGTATCTAGGTTTCGAACACGAGGGCCGTGCACTTTCCCATAAAGAAGTTGTGAATCAGATCTGAATCTGACATACGTACATAGGACCAGGGTCTTAAAGGTGTTTGAGGTTTCCATATTTGTAGCGCCTGCCAATTTCAGCCAGGAATATATATTAGCTTCGGTATTGTACACCATGGTCTAAGCCGAAATCCGACCCAATTACAAATACTCACGACTGGAATAAGGGAGTGATTTGAAAGATGAATTAAAATAATGAACAATGAAATAATTCATGAAGAAAGGTGGATTAGAAATCACCACAGTGTAAAGATTTACCAAGGAGGTATTAACAAAAGAATGTCAAATTCAATTTATACTAACCAACTATAGTGCCGGAATACTCCTCGAATTTTACCCCAGAATACAAATTTGGTACGAGATGGCTAGGTACCTAATTATGCGAGTAACCTGACTAACAATAGCGGGGGTTGTAACAGACAGCCGAATTTTTCATGCAAGACAGCTGATACAATAGCTAGTTCCTGCTAAACTTGAAAGTTTCTTATCAGCTTCCGTCTGATACTAGTAATCACAGTAATCCACCATGTCCGTCTACATGTCTGTCCACGTATTCGAAGGGCTGTGCACCGGGTAATATCATTGTTGTTAAACCTGCCAAGATGGCTTTGCTTTAAAATAAAGAGGGGATCAAAACGATGTTCGTCTCGAAATGTCCATATAGGTGCATATTATTATGATGAACCATTCATAGAGAATAGCAGCACCACTTAGGTATCCACTTATCTCTTTGTCAAAACGGTACCCTAGTAGGTAGTTATTTGTATTCTAAAAGAAACCTACTACGTAAGGGAGAGTTAGGTAAACAAAGCATGCTGGACTAGGGCTAGTGTCGTTGCGGCTTAACCTAGGGAAGTTACGACTAGTCGTCAATTCGATCTTGGCATCCCAATCCCGTCAAATCCGTTAGGTGCAATGCCAGAATGGCTTATGCTGCAACCGTCGGGAAACCACCTTTTCCCCACATCCCACCCAACTCTCTATTTGTCACTCCAGTCACTTCCAAATCAAATCATCAACCCGAACGCCTTCAACCCGAACATTATTCCTCGAATCCCCTTGTGCGTCGACCGAGGAAACGCTTAAAACCTCGCGCATTCCCGCTAGCATTGTCGAATATACCCGATTCTCCTAATGATATCTGTAGTGCGTGCCGAGCGCTTATTGTCAATCGAAAAGAGAGAGAAAAGCCACAAGTTCCAAAGAAGAATCGTCTGCTCTCATGCTGAACGGTGGTGAGATGCGACACCAGCCCTGCGTGTACGGCGCTAGATAGGGCTGTCCTCATACAAGGGTTAATATACTTTTCGGATTGATTCCTGCTTCTTGCCGGCCTGGTTCCGTTTCCGTTTGTTTCTCTTTCCTGCAAAATTCCACAACCGCTGGCCGATCGTGTGAAAGTCAACAGTAATCCCAACATGGCGACGTCGACCGTCGCTACAGCCGCCAGAGCGGTATACCTTCTGTTCTATATCACTTGTATTGTTTCCGTCGTATCCGCCCAGGTAGCTACCACAAGTCCGATGCAAACCCTTCCTAGCTCTTACGAAGAATACGCCATGGCTCTCCAGTTAAATTCCGCGTCTGGTCCTGTCCTGATCCCTTACAAGATTGCCCCTTTAACAGATAAGGCAGGCTTGAATCAGAATAGAAATGTTTTACAGGTATAGCATTGTTTGATCCCATTCTGTCCACGCCGCACAGCTAAAAATGCATGACAGACTTTCGATGTGGAAGGCCACATGGCCATCGTGGATGAGAGCAATTATAATGAACTTGATGACAATATCAAAGATGCTGTTACCTACATATCATGCGATACGACTACCAACAACTCCTATATCACTCCCAATGATGTCTTGAATGTGGTCATGAACAAGCAACCAAAGGCTATATTGCTATTTAGCACTTCCGAAGGGAGCTGTTGCTCTCTTAATGGAACCGATCTGCCATTCACATCTATCTGGACCATAACCGATCAGTCAGATGCATGGGAAATCAAAAATCAGACTGCGGAATATACGGTAGTTCATGCAAGAATATCAGGGCCTGATCCCGATGAAGAATCCGACATTGGTCAATCACAGGGCGGGAGCAATTCGGCAGTTGCAATGAGCATTTTATACAGCATTACTGGTCTGATTACTCTGCTATTCCTTATTATTATCGCTACCGGAGCGGTCCGAGCGCATCGCCACCCCGAAAGGTACGGCCCGAGAGCTAGTTACGGCGGAAGACAAAGGCAGGGCCGGGCAAGAGGTTTAGCGCGAGCCGTTCTGGAAACACTCCCTATTGTGAAGTTTGGAGATCCTCAACCTGTAAAACCGGATCCGGAAAATGAACTTGAGAGCATTTCGGGAGACCGGCAGCAGCATTCATCGCCGCCGGCACAGCACGAGTTGGCACAAGGCAACGTAGAAGGAGGATCGTCTCTAGATACGGCAGCAAAGGCTACTTCAAATTCCATCGAAGCCCCAGAGGCCGGCCCATCGCAGGATAACGGAGCCATCAATAAACAAAGTGAAGATAACCGCCTCGGCTGTTCTATTTGCACTGAAGACTTTACGGTTGGAGAAGATGTGAGAGTACTCCCTTGCGGCCATAAATTCCACCCTCAATGCATTGATCCATGGTTGGTCAACGTGTCTGGCACCTGTCCTTTGTGGTAAGTCATCAAAATCATCGTAGTCTGGCGTTCCAAAAAAACTAATCAGCACGCAACTAGTCGGCTCGACCTTCGCCCACATGAAGAAGGGGAAGGAGATAGCGATGGTATCTGGCCATCGATTCACACTGATCCAGTCAACAACAATCCTGTTGACAGCCACTTAGCTCCTCCACCCGAGGACGATGCAGAAGCGTCGCAAAGACGACGAAGGTCCCGACTCCTAGATTGGAACAGGTTGCGCCATGCTACTGTAGACGAGCGTATTCAAGCTCTTAGACAGTATCGACAGACACAGGGCGTGTCAGCCGAAGACCGAAATCGACATGCGAAATTATCAGACCGTCTACGGGAGAAGTTTCATATTCGGACAAGGGCTCACCCTCCGAGCGACCTACCATCCACAAGTGAATCTGCGGCTTGAGTACGCACTGGTACTTCATCAGGGATACCAACTCTTTTCCTGTTCGGCGTGGAAATTAATGTACGATGCAAGCTACATAACTGTGATAAATAATGCGATACGCGGTTTCAATGTGGTTATGAGGTGATGTTATAAGAACTGTAGGGGATGTTGTACCTCGGATAGAGCGGCGTTCAATCTTGTGTGGGAAGTTTAGGTATCAGGACAACGGGTTGCATTGGCTGGCGTTGGTGGGTGTTGAGCTGTCTACCTGGTTTGCAATCATAAATCTAGGGTTGTGCGGGCGTTAGGCGCGAAAGAAGCGGTAGTTTTGGAGCGAGGCGGCGATGGACATGACGCCTAAGGTACAAATATTATATCTTTTTTTTTTTTTTTTTTTGGTCCACGCTCTTCTGTGTCCGAACTGTTGCAGGACAGGTCCGCCTCATTTAGCATTATAGATATTCACTTTATCGAAACGTCGACTTCCTCAACTAGGGTACCTCTTACAGGGTGCTGTGTATATTCGTAATCCACGGCCCCGTATAATCTATTACGGCGGCCGCGCCACGGATATTATCCACGTAAAGAGTCAAGTGAAGCATAGCTTAGCTGCGTAATACAGAAGTGTTCCATGTGTTTAGAAGTAGACTACATCTTGCCTAATACAAGCTCCTATCCTATAGACGAACTATCCCGGTTGCCTTGGGTATGTTAACAGCTAGTAGAAATTCGTATTATTACATTCCCCGGTGGCGAGGGTAAGAGACTGCTTACCTTAATGTGGGTGTGCTCAGATTAGGGAAAAGGGGGTGGGAAAAGCTTTAGGTTCAGAAACCTAAACGCGTCGAGTTCTAGCTGAATCAGGCCCTGCTAACCCGAGTCTAAAGTCGTAAGCCGTTTAATACATAAGTGCGTCGACACGGCCATAGACATGAGCTTGAAATATATGTGCTGATATGTTGGTATGGTATTCGCGTAGAAGGCTCGACGCACGAGATCTTCATGATACTTATTAACTGTAGCGTTCACATAAGAACTTAGGGGTTGTGCTATCTGTTCGTCATGACATCGACGTAGATTTTATCCGTAGATCTCAGTCAGTAAGTAGCTCAGCCCAAGTAGTCGCCTAAGTTCCGGTAGGCTAGTAAGGAAAGCCATCCTCTTTTCCTTTTTACCTCTGGTAAAAAGGAGGCCGTATTATTTTAAGTTCGTGTAAATCGAAACATGCCACCTATAGCATGTTTCGTACCCTCGAGTTCAGACAACCCGACAACCTTATCAAGGCCGCTATGGTAGCCCCGGGGCCAACAGATTGAACTCTATGTTATTATGCCTCGCTTCCATCTTTCTACCTGTCCTCTTGTGGCCAACTCCAGTAAATCATCCTTCCCCCCTCTCCTTTACTCTTCTAGCCATCCATCCATACCATTTCCATTCGCTAACAGCTTGACATTCCCACAATAGCCATTCTGCTAGGTTGTGCGCTATCAGGAACGTATGGGATAACTCGATATGGCTTCGCTTCTATCACTTCGCGACGACGCGTCTTCGCCGCCGGTTCCCTATACTAGGCCGGTCGCCGGTACCGTTATGAGTGTCATACTCTCGTTCGCTGCAATTTGCGTCCTGTCGTGCTTCCTCAGTAAGCAGGCCATCTTACCTATACTGTTCAGTTCTCGCGTAGGCGTATCCTAACACCAGATGCAGCACAACGGTCGCTCGCCGTGAAGGCATGGTCACGGCTTCCTCTCGCTACACTGCGTAAGTCCAACTTCCCCAAAGTAGAGCTCTGTACTATCTATGTATCAATAGTTAACACTGTGTCTTTTCGTATTGCTAGTCGTATTTACAATCTATGCTGATTCCTGGGCCTTCGTTTTCGGATCGGGTATTGTCGACTTTGGCATAGGCGTCGACTCGAATCTAGGTGTCTGCTCGGCGGCTATCTTGCTGTGCTTATTCTTCTACGTGACATCCAAAGTCTGTTCCATCCTCACTCTCCCCCCTACGTCCATGTACTAATATTGATGTAACAACAGATTGTAAGAACGCAATTCGTATCAAAGTAAAGAAGGAACTATACTTACGTTTCTATCCGGGCAGTTAATCTACATCTTTCAGGTCGAAAAAGCTGTATGTACACAGCCTAGCCCTCCTTACTTTCCCAAAATTATAGATATGGTCTTACTCGAGTGGATTAGTTTCTTGCCCAAGGCGGCGTAAAACGGCGGGTCGATTCGAAGCTCTACATCTCTAATTTATTCGGTGTACTCAGTCAGTCTATATCCTATCGGTTAACTACCTGTAACGAGGCTTGCTTACTTCTGGATAGCTATTTTTGGGATCATATGCATCTTGACTTTCGTCTAGTAAGTTCGGAGAGAAGACTGTGCAATGAAAGAGGAATTTATCACTTGATCTAACAACCACTACACAACAGCCGCAAAGCACGAATGGATATGGGGCAGTGCATTGTTGGCATAGAGAGACAGGCACTGATTCCGCTCATCACCCTGGATGTTGTAGCAAACGTATGTTTTCTACCTTGCGTGGTTTCAGTCTATGGGACACGAGGCTAAAGAACAGAACAGTTATACATCACGGCGTTATTTTTGAACCCATTATGGAGTAAGGCTTCTTATCACCATACTCGAAGTTGATTTCTCGGTTCTTCTCAACGTAAGGCGCCTTAGCTAACCAACCGCCTTGACATTGCTCGCTAGGCATCTACTCGATCAAGAGGCTCTCCAATTCGCCGGATAGCTCCCCAAATCTAGGCTCTACAGCAATACGGACCTTCATCGGCGCTCTATGTACTACCACCTCGAGTGTAGTGTAAGTGGTCTCTTTGCAGAACAATAACTCGTGTAGTCTCAAGAATGTAAGCTAAGAGGATTACTACCTACTTAAAGGAACCTTGTAGTCTTGTTGGCACTGGATGGCGAGCCAGGATGGGTATTTCTTACATGCTGTAACGCAGATAGTAAGCCTCCCCTCCCCCCCTTTTTTAACGATCCATCATTACTACAGCAATATTGCCAGATTCTACGGCTTGGAGTGGGATACACATCACCCCTAATCTGCCCGCTTGTTACCATCCTACATTTCGCAGGAGAGCAAGACAGCATTACCTCGGTAACCATCCAACTAACTAGTTGACAGTCCTGTTCTCCACGCTGGTTATCCAGTGGGTCACATTACGCGACGACGCTACAAGCGCCGCTGCGTCCTCGTCTCCTCCCTCCCACCCACCGGACAACGAAGCGGCGGATCGTCCGCCCCCACGCGCACCACCCCCCCGACCTCCCCGCCAACGCAGCCAGCGACTCACCATCTCGCGCCCGCTGAAAACAACCAGTACGTCGCAGTACGAGCACATCTTCGGGGACCTCGAGCCCGACACCGAGACCGACGCCGTAAGCGCGAGCAGCGCGTCCAACCACAGAGCCGGGTCCTCCTCGCGCTTCGACGAGGACAACGACGACGGCTTCCGCGCCTCCATCGTGTACGACGGCCCGGACGGGGATACCAGCGACAACAGTGCGGGGAACGAGAGAGGCGCCAGCAGCAGCGCGTGGACGAGCCCGCCGCGGCCGCCATCTGCACGAACGGACGCAAGGACGGACGGCGCAGCCCTAGGCCTAGGCAAATCGCGTCCTCCCACCCCCGCAGCGCAAGCGCACGGGCAAGCGCAGACGCCCACGCGCGAGGGCGCATCCAACGTCTCGGCGGCCGTGGCCGCGGACCTGGAGCGGATACGGCAGTACCGGGGGCGGCGGGGGGGCTGGTCCGCGACGACGGTCACGACGTCGACGTCGCCGCCGCCGCCGACGCTGACCTCGATACCGTCGACGTCGTACAGCCTCGGGCGGGCGCCGCGAGCTTCGCGGCGCGGGAGCGCGCGGCGCGAGTACTACATCAGCCAGCTGGCGTTCGAAGACCGAGACGTGGGAGGGGGGTCGTCGTCGTCGCAGTGGCACGAGCTCGTCCAAGGGAGGGGGGAGGCGGCGGTGGGACGCAGCGAAGAGGGGAGGGGCGGGGAGAACGGCCGGAGGGGGGCGGATTGGATCTAGGTAGGTAATTAATTTACGTTAGGTACCTACGTACGGGGGGGGAGAGAGAAAGAGGAAAAAAAAAACACTTAGTCAATCAGTCAGTCAGTCAGTCAAAACAAAAGCGGAAAGAAAAAAGAAGAAAAAAGGGGGGAAGGAGGGGGGAGCAAAAGCATGTGATCTATGCGACGACCGCGGCATCCTCGCATAACTCGGAACGAAACAAAAATCTGCAAAAAGAGAGATATGTGTGTCAGTTAGTTGTCAGGGGAAGAAAGGTCAGTTCTTATGTTATAAGAATTCGCATGGCCTATTTTCGTGTGTTTTACAATTATATAGTCTCTCAGCAGGATTTTTATAACAAGCAAGGTTTAGGTAGTTAGTTAGTCCCTATAGGTGGTAAGTAATGTCTAATCTAATGCTTCGCATATAATAAATAGTAATAAATCGCGCGGGTGAAGGGAATGATCAATTCAACAATCAACAGAGGTACCTAGACTTACGGATTATACACACGTAAATTTAGGTAGGTATTGTGTGTACCTCGGTACAGGGCTTACAAGTTACCCCTTACGAATTTAATATTACGTCACCGTCTCCCAACATTCTTTTAAACGTGTTGTTCAATTAGAAAAGCATAATAATTCAACGACAACTACCTCCTAAACTACCTCCTATGTAGGTAGGTAATTAATGCTGCTTGCTTATGAGAGCATAGGGCACATTGCACATGCGAAACAAGAAAAAAAAGAATTAAACTAGGTAAACCACTGCAACACATAAGAAAGCTTGAAAGATGACTTTCATTTCGTTGTTATTCATTCGTATCTTCATGAATCTGCCTTGATCCGTAAGATATCCCTTTTTTCGGCGCATGTTGACACAAGTTTGGTAAAGCAAAGCAGATCCAGATGGATATCCAGCGGGCTCAAACTGGGGCGAGGCCGGCCGAACTATGAATTATGTACAAAGAAGTGAAATATCGAACTTTTTTTCTTGTGTTCCCTCGCCATGCAAAATTTCCGTTGTTTCCCCTCCTTTCCCCTCCTTAAACACGCCAAAAATGAAGTCATGAAAGAATAGAAAATTGCTATCACTCGAAGGAAGCTGTCTTAGATACCCGCGAAGATCTTGCCGAATGAACTCAACTGCGTCGGCGAAGACATAAGGCTGCCTTGGTTGACCATGAAGTACGAGTACTTCTCGACGAAGCTGAACTCATCACTGTCGAGTCCCTCGGTGACGCGTCTCATGAATTGGTCGACATCGCCGCTCTCTGCCGCGAACTCGGTAACCCAGACAGGTTTGCCCTGGCAAGCGTCGTGAACATTCTTGATGTGGTCCAGGAAGAGGCTCGCACCATCGTCACCTCCGGGTCCGTACCAATGAGCAGCGCAGAAGTCAACTTGGCATTGGCCACCGCAAGCATCGAAGAAATTCTTGAGCCATTCAATACCCATACCCGGGCTCTGGCTGCTCGAGATGGCGGGAGCACTGATCTTAGCCCTGCCAGCATACTTGTTCATATACTGCTTGTGACCGTTCGCAGCGTCCAAAGGAGACATGTTAGCCTGACTAGGGATATCTGGCTCGTTGAAGCTGAGAAGGCTGTTGGATCCCGCGGCAATGGCAGCTTCGGCCTTCTCATCCCAGTTGCCGGAGTGATCAGGTGCGGGAGACCAGAGCATAGGGTAGAAGGCAATCTTGGCTTGCAACCCACCGGAATCAGATCCCCAGTTGTACGCCCATGTGATCTTGTCGGTCTGGCTCACCATAGCCTCAACAAGACGCGGGTCATTGTACGCGGCACCTCGCTTGCTGACGGGAGCAGGTGGCGGTGGTGGAGGAGCAGGCGACTCTGCGGGAGGCGGTGGAGGAGCAGCAGACGACTCCGCGGGAGGCGGTGCAGGAGCAGCAGACGACTCCGCGGGAGGCGGTGGAGGAGCAGCAGACGACTCCGCGGGAGGCGGTGCAGGAGGAGCAGACGACACCGGAGGAGGTGGTGACGGGTCCGCGGGAGCCTCGACAACCGGTGCAGGCGGCGGCGTGGGGTCAAGGCCGGCAGTCACAGTGTGGGTGACCCACTCAGTGACGACGACAACGTCAGCGTATTGGTATACGACATCCTTCTGGGGGTGCTTGTGACGGTGGACAGGGCCGGCGCAAACCTCCTGGACCGAAGCGACGGCGGCAAGTGCCAGGATGCTGAGCTTGGCGTGCATCTTGGACTAAATTCGCGAACGGTAATGAGCGCTAGTAATGGTATAAGTGATGTTCTTAAGTGTAATCGATTTGACGATCTCAAGTTGTGCTTTCTTTTTTTTCGAAGGTCGACTATACGATTTCCGTGGAAGGAGTGTTAAGTTGCCAGCAGACCAGTCAAAAGAGGGAAGAGACGACGTATCGGGCGATATCGTCTAAAATGAATGAAATTGTCGAAGGGAGAGGGGTCTGTACGCGCTGCGTATCGGGGTACCAGCGACAAGGCGGAAAGCAGGTGGTGCAGTCTATCAAAGACGCAGAAGGAATGATGCGAGTTTGATGAAGAAGTCAGTTGCACCCTTGGACAATAAATATTGGTTTGTAGTTACGGCCTTGAGTGTGCGACGTTTGACGAGGGACAACACACAGGTCGTAACTAGGTATGTAAGGTGGTTAGGCTGCTATCAACTCGATGCCAGTCACGACTCCAGGTGAGGCAGTAAAGCAGTGAGGCAGTGAGATGGGATAGGTCGAACTGGCGACCTTATAGACGAAATGCACACGAAATGAGAAATGAATGTACGAGGGTTAGAAAAAAGAGTGGTAATTCTCGATGGAGATAACCGAGAAGAAAAAAAAAAGGGTGCTGAGTGAGAAAGGAATGAAAATAGAGGGTCTGTGGATGGAGTTTTATGTTGCTGATGGCTGTGAGTAACTGCCTGGTGCGCAGGGCAGACCTGAGTGAATCAATGTAAGTGTGTGTGTGTGTGTGGTACTTACTGTACCCTGTCGTACCTGCCGTACCTGCAGGTTCATCCAGCAATCGGGATGCCTGTGGGGCAAAAGGAGGGGGGGTGACAGCTTACAAGGAGCACCTTCCACCCTTTTTAGTGGCTAGATTCTTCTAGCCAACCGCTAAGCCGGGGTTCCTAGCGTCTTTTCAGCTTCAGGATATGCTATTTAGAGCCGGACTAAGCGCCAAGACGGGTAAGAATCGTACCAGGGCACGCTAAAAGATCTCTTGGACCAGAGTTGAACCCGATTAACTAACGCAAATCGACTTAAACATTGACGCTGTCAGTTAACCTACTATGTACCTAACCTCCCACCAAGTCCGGCAAGTTCAGACGAAAGTCAGCTCAACCCCATGGCTTCCTATTGGTGCTCTAGGATCATAGTGTACATAGTATTGACTTTGCGATTACATAGTAGACGTTGGTACCTGACATAGGTACGCTGGATATTGTACATTGATCATACAAAGTACAATACCTTCGGTACAGGCAGGCTATTCGTTCTTAAAGGCTATTACAATTGGAAAGGAATTTTCTTGGCAGCCTTTGATAGTTATACCATCACCCATGATTCAAACATATTTCTTCCTTTTTTCTGGGCATTCCCTTCTAGATTCATTTTACATAAACAGCCTCATGCTTCATTGCTAAATATACCTAATTTGCCTTTCTATGTAGGGAAGGTTCAGCAAGAGAGTGCTTAATTGATTCCTATTGCGCCATGTGTGCCATGTGTGCCATGTTTACGAGGACTTCGGTACCAAACCTGCCAAACAAATCTGCCAAGCGTAGGAAACCCACCAATCAAGAACTAGGACCACCCTACATTCGGCTAGGGTAACATGTGCAGCTGCTAGAGCTGCAGGAACAGGGAGGATTCCAGGGGGTTGTCAGAAAACAGTGTATTAGTGTATAGCCTCGTACTTTTTCACTAGAGTTCCAACAAGAAATACGCCGCAATACATCTCAACATCCCAGTAAGAATCATCCCTCCTAACCCAACTTCTTGATTCGTTCTAGAATTCGTCGCAAATACATTGTATCCTAATTCTATCCTACTATAGTAGTTCATGGCTTACTTTAAAACAGTATCAGTCTTCACGATAATCGGTACCGAGTTCTATTTCAAATCACCTTGCCTGTTTGGTTAATCTTCGCAGAAAAAAAAGGGACATATTTTTCAGCAAGATGCTGTGGCGGTTTCAAGTACGAAAAAAAGTGTAGGTGCAGGTCCATGTGCAAGGTCTACGTGCAGATTTTAGTGCTTTCCCAACCCTGATTCTATACGATTCGAAAGACGACTCGATCCACGCGTGAGCCGTGAGTGGCCCGTTATGGCAAGCCGACCGAGAGATGCTTTTGTGCTTTTCCGCTCTTCTCCTGATTCCGGCGCCACCGTTTGCTTTATGCCTTGCTTCTTCTTTTTGAAGATATATGCTGCCGCACAAATGACGTAGTTGTGAGACGGGAGAGAAATTAGTCCCCAAGTAATATCGTTACAACTAATTGCGGCACTGTTGTTTCAATGCGTTTACAATGCGCTGTAATACAGATTTTGCGGGAATCGGCATTATAATGTATTGTTATGGGCTGTTATGTCTACCTACCTACATATGCCTATCCATACCTATGCCCTTGCTCCCCAAGATTCTGTGCCCCTTGTCCATTGCAACGGTGCATCAAAGCTTGGCTCTTTCACTCCCCGGACGCTAATTGGGCGATCTTCGATATTAATAGCCACCTCGAATTGAGTTAAGTACCTAGCAATAGCCTATTGCGACATCAACAAACTTGATCCATGAGTAGAAATATGAGATGCTTTTTACCTATTTGTTTTTTTCTTTAAGCTAGGAAGTGGTTATAGGAGGCTGGTTTCTCCCAGCGTCGAAACGAGCCCGTTTGTAAAAGAGAAGCTAGATTACTTTATGAGAGACATGTGGCTCAATCTGGCGACCTATCAAATTTCAGAGACGATGGTCAAATTTTTTTTGAGTGCGCTGATTCCCTGTTACAATTTCTTGATGCATAAGCGTACAAGATGATGAGATTTTACGGAAACAATTCCTCATCAAGTACAAACAACGTACAGGGCACCGCTTAGGCACCGCTTAGACACGTCACAATAATATAAAAACTCGGTGGCAGACCCTTTCTGAAAGGTAAGACAAGAAGCATAGATGCAAATAGCTACCTAAGGAAATATATATGTATATATATTTATCAGGTACCTTATATCCAGACTGCCGCCCATTGCAGATATACGTTGATAATATTTACAACTTGCCTCTTTACTAAGTTTTTGTTTGGATAGAAGACGAGATGAATCAGCGATATTATGAAGCCTGCAGTATACCTGTTATGTTTTCATATTTTAGTAAATAGATGACATATTCATCCGCGCCGCGATGCAAGTTTTGGCACTGTAAAACTTGAGGATTCACGACTACAACGCCCGATCTAGGTAGCACGCAGTACATAGTATGCTAAACATTACATACCTATCACATGATAACCGATAACAAATGCTCCACTCGTTCCATCTCTTTTATCGAAAGTCATGTACTTGAATACAATCTAAGTGCGCACATGCCTTATATTGACGGTGGTTGATTTCGCTTGGTGGGTCGCTTCCTTATTAGGCAACTTCTCAGAAACCTCAGTTAAGGTTTTAAAGGTCACTACTAGGTATCGCTACTATCGCTACTACTTCTTGCGCAACAAGCTAAACAAGAACAAATCATCTCCATAGCAAACAACCTTTCAACATAAATCTCTGGTGCAAATACAACAAATATCTCCTCCCTTTCTTGTTTTAACCCGTTTTAAACCCGACTGCCTAGAAATTTTCACTCCTTTATGAATTTCTTCATTAACTTTCCCGGGGTTCAACATCCTTCTCCATTCATCAACCTAAACTAAAATCGGCTCTGCATCACCTTCAAGATTGCCGGCTCATCAAATCATTCAACTTCTACCTATTCGCTCTCGGCCCATTCGATTTCCGGTCCGATGTCTTCGTATAGCAACTATTCCGACTCGAGCTGCGGCTCCGATACCGAGTCGGTATCTTCATCAGTTTACTATGCTGAACAAGAACCATTTGTCACGTTTAGAAATCGTGTCCTCGACTTAGCTCTTCACAAAATCTGGCCCGATGCCACTGTGGACGAGATCACCATTGAGCGTATGATGGGAGGCGGATTCAATCGCATCATCGGTATATCTCGACATTCAGCTCAGCAACCGGACAATTATGTCCAATACATTCTTCGCGTCCCCCGTTTTTCAGATGAGCCATTGGACAGTCAAGTTGGCACGCTGCATTTTCTGCAAAAACACTACAGTATTCCGGTTCCGAAGGTCATTAATTTCGACCACACGGACAATAATGAGCTCAATTCTAGATACATGATCCAAAACCGCGTTCCTGGAGAAATTCTACTCTCAGCATACCCAAAACTCACCCATGAAGAGCGGTGCAAGCTTGCACAGGAACTTGGTCATCTTTATTCCCAAATGCTAGCCACTACAAGTGCAACCTCTACTATCTTGGTGCCGCCTGAAAAAGAGTAAGTTTCCCCTAAAGCAGTAATACAGCAGCGTACGGAGTTAACAATGATTAGGGACATTCGAGATCCTCCTCTTCCCCAAGATATCCATAAGATGCTTGACGTCATCTTCAAGGACCAGAAAGCCGCCGAGCTAAAAGTCCGGCCCAATTCCATCATCCAACCCAGTCTTCTTGACCAATTCTGCGAAATGGCTGCCGAGTTGAAAGATTATGGCTGGTTTGACGACTGCCACATTTCTCTAGCGCATCTAGACCTGGAGCCGCGCAACATACTGGTCAATCCTACATCAGACGCAAGCTCTCCTGTTATTTCTGCCATTCTCGACTGGGACAGCGCGGTTTTCGCCCCCCAGTTCATGTGCTGCGAGCCGCCTCTTTGGCTATGGGCATGGCAGGATGAAGAAGAAGAGGACGAGCGTACAGGCAACGAGGAGCCGCCAACGCCAGAAGGACGCGAGCTCAAACAGCTCTTTGAAGAGGCGGCTGGTCCAGACTATGTTCGATTTGCATATAAGCCTTGCTATCGGTTGATGAGAGAGCTTGTTCACTTCGCCATCCGTGGTTTATGTTCCAATGAAGACTACAAGGAAGCCAGAAAGATGCTACAAGAGTGGGAGGAACTTTATCATGATGAATCAAGCACTTATGTTGATAGCGAGGAGGATAAATTTTCAGACACAAGTAGCGGGATCACTTCGGTGGAGGATGAAGGGTCGATTGATATCAAGGCAGAGAAGGGCTACTTTACTATACAAAACTATAGTACTACTGCTTGGTCTGGCGAGGGTGTCATTATACAACAGGATGAGAGCACTGGTGCTTGGGTGGATTGGTAGATGCAGAATTAGTAATTCAAGTACTTGATGTTCTTAAACAGAATTTAGCAATACCCCTAAGTACCTCCTATCATCACTACTAAGCTAGGAATATAGTGACCCATCTTAAACGGTAGCCATGCACTTGTAGCGTTGCCATGTGATAACAGGTAAAAGAGGTTGCTTAGGAAAGTTCGGGTTGCTACAACAAGCAGTTGCCAGGTGCTGCCATTTCCCAACACAGTTTTATTAGAATAAGGCGTGACTTCCTCATAGCGACCACCATTATTTAGAATCCACTAGTTGTTAAGATTCTTTTTTTTTAACAATATTTGCCAAAGTTGCGCACTTCCCGCAACTAAAAGCTTTCAAACACTGTGCTTCTTGTATGATTCACAGCACTTACACGTTTACTTTAGGTACATATTTACGGACGAGCTTCGTAATGTGTCATTCCTATCAAAACATTCTATTTTCTTATTATTTAATAGCTGCTTGTGCCTCTCCCCGATACAATTGTTTCTTACCCATACAAGACACTACTTCGAACGTCATTCCAAGAACTCAGAACGATATGATTGACCCTGACTTCACACGATTACGACCCGAGGTCTCACTCAAGAGGTCCTTCGCGAATCTCTTACGCACTCTTCTACGGTCCCTATTAACGATCCATACGCAACTTAAGTTGTTGTCATTGTCTAGACCAAGGCTTAAACCTTCATCCTAACAAGGTACGAAGAGACTCAATTGCTGGTTACACCTATTTGCTTGATGTAAACCCCCTTGTCTAACTTAATATGGTTGTTTAGTATTCACCATGAAGGACCGCAAGTCTTCTCCTCGTCATCACTGCCCTCTGCGGAACGGGAGCAAGGGTAACTGTCGTCGGCTGAATGGTTACTGTTCTGCGCATCAGATAAAGTGCCTTCGCCACGATACTATCCATCTAAAGACCGAGGTCTGCGGGGACTGCGAAGTGAGTACCTACCTACCTACTTAACCCAATCCCCGTCTTCATTATTATCTACCTTGGGTAGTTATTCCTCATTCAAACATTCGTACTAACAATACGCGAATTACCTATAGGCCGAAGCGGCGGCGGCGGCAAGAAAAGCAAAAGAAGATGCTGATAATCTCAACGGGGGTGAGGACGGGAAGAAGGGCAAAGACAAGGATCAGGACAAGGGCAAGGGCAAGGGCAAGAAGAATAAGCATTAACCTGGTTTACAACGGTTGTGATCTTTTTTTCTTGTCTCCTCGCCGTTTAGGTTATTCGGGTTAGGTATTTGGACGAACGAGTAGGCCCAATTGGGTACCTACCTTGGTATGATTCATTTCTAGGAATCAGGATACAATTCCAACAAAAGACCCCCGACAGAACTGACTTATTCTTGATTATAAACGTGTGTTACAGTACTGTCCTTATATGTGGTGATACCTAGTTGACATCATTCTACCTTTGGTTGTCTAGAGGTTTGATAGCTATCTTCCGAACCCTTACAATGTGTTAATAGTAAATGTTGCTTTCAACTTCAGTTGAGTGTTACCGTATTACGAAAATTAATTAGATCATACTGACGAACAATCCTCTCTAATTTCTTGTTTCTATTCAGAGAATATACTCCTTTCCCCTTTTCTCCTATTGCGTAACGACAATTTCAACAACTACCATAGACTTACAATAGTTGTTATATACATATACTTCGATGTTAGGTAAGTAGGTAGGTAGGTAGGTAGCTATACGTTGTCCTTAAGTTGACTAATATAGCTGAAAGTGCTGAAATCCAACACAGCTTAGGATCGTAGTCAAAATGACCAATCAGATATCGTTCTTTTTACGCGACATGATTGGCTGGACGAGCCAGCTGAGGCTTGTCTGTAATATGCTTGGCAACTTGGCAAGCTGGCAAGCTAACACTCCCAACTCATTTCAACAGATTTTTACGATTCTTCAAGATTCATCTCTATGAGGTTTTATTCTCTATATTGATTCCAACCTATCTGTGAATATACCTGTTCAGTCAAATCGCAAGCAGCTCAGACAATTAGACAAGGATGAGACCGTTAAATCCAACTCAGCCTAGGATCCTTCCACGGGTCAACACGAACAGTGAAGATAACTTCAATCACCTGTGTTCTACTTCTGATGAGAATGTCAGTTATCCAACCAGAAATGGCACTGCCGGCTCTTCCGTTGCGTTAAATGACAGTTTCGGCATGTCGAGCGACGTGTCCGCAACGACCGCTCTCGCCAGGGGCAACTCAGCTCAGAAACAAAGACATGAGCGACGGGGTCACACAAAGAGTCGCCGCGGGTGTTACAACTGCAAGAAACGTCGCATTAAGGTATTCAGGACTTATGGCTGGTGTGTACCTAACCATCGTGAGTCCAAAATGCTAATGCTTAGAAATGCCTAGTGTCAAGAAACGCTTCCGGCTTGCGCACACTGTACAAAGACGGGACTGAAGTGTGAATATCCGGCAGTTCCCCAAGTAATACACCAAGTATGTGAAGCCCTTATGAACATTGTCTGCCACAAGGATAGTTACCAACAAGAGTATAGCCGCAGCATCAGGTCCCGCTGTTCAGCCTACAGGATATGCGGTTCTTCCAGCATTTCCTGTTGGCGTGCTTTCCCCATCAGCCGATAGGGAACGAATACATATGGACTCACGAGATCCCATGTCTATCACAAAATGTACGTATCGCAATAATGAAATGCGGAATTGTAGCATTAATTAGTTGGGAAATATTAGTACGAGTATCTCATGCACGCGATATTAGGCCTCGCGGCGTCGGATCTTATGTCGCAGGACCCAAGTCTGGTCACCTTCGCGATGTCGCACCGGCTGAAGGCAATCAAGGCGATTAATAAGACGTTGAGCAATGTCCCAAAGTCAAATACCTTCGAGGAAGGTAATGCACTTAGTATGTATGACCTCTTTTATTATTAGCCACCCCTATTTCTTGGGCGGACAGACTGGAAAAAGTACCTCATAACCCCTTTTCACTCTCACATGAGATAGCATTTCCCCCTATAAGCTACCAAAAGCTAGGAACGCCACTCTTAGACTCTGCTGTTATCATAGACAAGCCACAGATACAGTCTATTTTCACACTAACTGGCTTCTCCTTAATCAGTTGCAACCTGCTTCGCACTGACCTTCCAGTCCGTGGTCCTCGAAGACGGGATGGCCGAATTCATGACCTTCTGCCGTGGTATTATACTTGTGGCGATCCAGATGTGGAAGTGCAACACTAAATTCCTCTTCCACAATCTCCACGAGAACGAGCCCGCCGCGCTCCTCCGCCCCTTCATAGAAGCACTGCCCCCTATCCGCCGCGACTGGGTCGACATGGCTGTCTCCAGCATCCGGGGGTTAGAACCCCTATGCGGACACGAGGTCGAGTCCGAGTACTACCGCCTGCTCCTGGACATGGCCACAGCCCTGCGCGAGTCGGCTTTCCGCGCCTACGAGATCCTGTGCAAGCACTACGGGTGGTGGATCCAGCTGCCGCACGCGCAGTTCCAGCGGCTCGTCGACCCGGAGAGCCAGACCTGCACGCTGCTCGCCGCGCACTGGATCGCGGTCAAGCAGATCATGGCTCCGGTAACCGAGACCGAGCACCGGCTGCGCGCGCGCGAGCCGCAGTTCCAGCAACAGCAGGAAGGCGGGGACGAGAACAAGAAGGACGGCAGTATGAATCGAGGAATGGTCCGATGGCTCAGATACCTCAACCGCCAGGTCGACGCCGAGCATCGGCGCTACAATGACTGGCCCGTATGGGTCGTGGAGCAGCTCGACAGGGACCCGACGTTCTTCGGGAAGACGTTGCGTTGATCCAGACCACACTGTTAACTTGCAATATCTTACGTACTTGGATTTCCGCCGAAATAAGCGGTAGGAGGTAAGGGTAAGTAAGGAGGGAGCAACTTATTAGGCCGGCTTACTTATGAAACCGTAGGCCACGATAACAGCATCACGGCATTAACCACAAGTGTTTAGGCAGAAAGAAAAGAAAAGAAACAAACCAAAGCGAAAGATTACTACTAGGGAGCTTTCTACTTCAAGTTACGGGCCGTCCCTTGATATACCGAAGGAGCGGCTAGGATACGGCATTAGCTCGGCATGCCGTTCTGGGATATTTCGCCGCTGCTCGCCGCTATGCAAGGAATCACGATTAAGCTTATACATCCTTTCCCCTTCTAAGTAGCATCTTTCGCTGCAATTGCTCAACTTAGGTAGTTTATCTACCTACCTACCTGTAATGTAAATAGCTTCATCCATCCCACCAAGCACAAATCCGCGGGGGTTCCTTTTTATAACCGGGTCCTCTTCTAAACCTTACCTTAAGGCTTAGAGGGACTGGAGGTATCGTACTAACGCAACCGGCATCCGGATCGGATCATGCAACAATAAACCCTGTCTGACGTCTACCTAGAGGTAATGTAATGTCTAATATAATCCCCGTCCTGTATCTTAGGTATCTTATCCTATCCGGGAACAAAAGCCACCCCCACCCCCCCGGCAGAGAAAAAGAAGCGAAAAGAAGAAGAGATAAAAAACATTCGCGTCGTCGTTGTCGTCGTCGGTTCCCGAATGCTTATCTACATAATACCGAGCTGCCAGGACTATCAGCACAGTCTGAGTCTTACCTTACCTTGCCTTACCTTAGCTTACCTTAACTTACCTTAACTTCCTCATTATCTCTCCTCTACATAGTAGGTATGTATAATGTAATCCTTCGCTCCCCCAATCCTTCGGAGGTTGAACAATGAACTATGCACGCCACGCCATCGCGCGGCACAGCCCCATCCCCCCCCTCTCCTCCCTCCACACATGCCACTATGTAGGTACCTAAGGTATTACTCGTTCTTCTTGCTTACCCGAGTTCCATCGGCCGGACCCCGGACCCCGGACCCAAGCCCCTAGTAGTCTGAACTCCGTCCAACCCACGCATGGCTTACGCCACAAGTCCTATCTCTACTTCTCGGGATTACATAGGTTAGGTACCTACATACGTAACTCAACCTCGCGGAACGAATGAAAAGGTCCCGATGACATACCTAGGCACCTAACGCATCCTGATCCTGACTAGATAGATACAGATAGCTAGACGAAATTGATATCGCATAAACCCTGCTTACGTGTTCTGTCGACCTTGGGTGCAGTGCAATGCATGAACCAACCCTTGACTATGTGCTTACTTTGCAGTAGTATACGGAGTCAACCCGGATGTCATCTAGATAAGCTTTCCTTTTTATATATTAAAAAAAAGACCTAGACGACTAAACCGGAAACGTAAAGATTATCTACCTCCTACCTACCTCATATATACCTAGTAGGTTAGGTTAGGTAGATACCTGGCAATGATGAGTGAGCGACGGGGCTCTTTCATCGTATACTACTTCCACGATAGTGACAAACAAGGTTATCATGTATCATGGGCAACAATTATCATAGTTAATCTCAATGCACTAGATTCACTTCGCTTCGCGAGATCAATATTGTAAAGCGTATCCAGACATGTAATGTAATTAGCAAATTTGTAGACCCAAGTCCGAGTAAACATGCTACCCATTACATCTGAACCACTGAATGGATTATTATATCTAGCTAACCTGGCTATTCTTGCGTTCTAAATCGTTCGAAGATGCCTTCCTAACCGAACCGCCTCATCGTGTCCCTGAGCCTGACCCTCAATTCCTACAAGGGCCACCTCCGCTGAAAACTACCATGACAAAAATTGAATCTAGAACGCCTTGCTCAATCGAAAAATGAAAATAAAAAATATGGAGCCACCACGTTTATCTCTCCCGTTCCGCTGTCATGCTCGACTGGGGCACAATGAAGGCATCCAACTCTAAGTTGCAAGGCTGTAAAGGGTATTTACACAAGGTAAAGAAGAGAAGAGTGAAGTAAAAGATGTAGTAGCCCCCCTAAAAAAAAGAAACGAAAATCAAGGGGCGCCAACGATGTTAAGAGTAAGCCTTTGCGCAAACTCGCGTGGGTTAGCAACAAAGGCAGCAGAGGTGTTGATAAGCGACGTCCCGCAGGACATCAGCGAGGGAGCGACGCTGACCAGCATAGCTCCAAGGATGAAGACCAGAATCGGAATCTGTAAATATCTGTTAGTACTAGTATTCCAAGAGAAAGATACGGTATCGTATGAACTTACCCAGACAAACCAGAGCATCTTGTCACTGCTTCCCGTCTTGAGCCTTTGGGCGTGCGCTCGTTGTAGATGCTCCTGCTGTTCCTTGGTGATACTGTGTTTATGCCCGATCTCGAGAAGGGCAGGAACTTCTTGCGTTTCTGGTGCTTCTTTTGCTTGCGATGATGTTGACGTCGCTTGGTCGTAAAGAGCGGCGCATTTCTCGTCAGCTATAGCCTCAGCAGCAGCGGTGGCAGCAGTGGCTTGCTTGACATCAACATCGCTTTCCGGGAAGATGCTGTCGTATGCTGGCGGAGGGCTCTCCTTGGCGCCAAATCTGGAGAGATCCCACCACTTACTATCAGCATCTCGCTGTGGTTCATCGTCCCCAGATTCGGAGCGCTGGCCCCGGATGTTAGGGACGAGAGAGCTGATACGTTGCATGACGGGAACCGCGTATAGATAAGCATGGTAATCTGGGAGTACACTTATAGGCGAGAGGGCTGGCATCTGTGGCATTTGCACGTGCGGTAGATTTTGGAAATGCATTGTCATGGAATTCTGTAATTGCTGCAATTGTGCGGTGAATTGGTCTCGAAGGGCCGTCATTGCTGCGGTTGTTGTTGCGGGAGGGGCATCACTCCTGGTAGGTTCATGTGGCGGGGCATAATGTGGGAAGCTTAGCCGCCTTACGTTCGACCAGTCGGCGGTCTCGTCATTCTCGTTGTTTTGCACAGACGAATCATCGTAGTCGTCCTCGTCATCATCGTCGTTGTCATCGTAGTCGTCGTCGCTACTGTCTTCCGAAGAGCTTTGACTTTCTAACATGAATTCCTCACGATGTGCCGAAATCATTGAAGACGGATCCCATAATGACCTTAGAGAGCTGGCACTATTAGCCCTGCTGTGGAACGAGCCATTGCTTCGTGATCGAGAATGGTTCTCAATCTGCCGGAGAACCCTAAGCACATCATTAGATCGAGCAACGTCAGCTGGCGTAAGACCAGAAAGACTCCGCATATTTGGATCAGCCCCTCTCATGATAAGACGCCGAACAATCTCCTGGTGTCCATTCATCGCCGCCATGTGCAAGGGCGTGAAGCCACCCTTATCACGCACGCCTACATTGGCGCCACGCGACAATAAGCCAGCGACAAAGCGTACAAGTCCGATAGAACAGGCTAAGTGGAGCATAGTTTGTCCGCTTGCCCTTCTCAGGTTGATCTTCGCCTTATTAGCGCTATCGTCCAGGTCAATCAACTCCAGAATACGAAGAAGACCCTTCTCTACGGATTCCGAGAGATCCTGTTCCAAGTTGTTGAAGTTTGTATTGGGAGTTTGGCCACCAGCCCCTGGGGAAGGACCCCAGGCACCGCCACCTGCGGGCCCGTATATGATATTTCTAGCGATATCCGCAACATCTGCCATCTTATTGCCCAGTTTATTGCCCAGTACGGTGAGAGCTGTACGGATTAGACGATGTTCATCATCGTCGACGTACCTAAATAGCGGCTGCTGATTACCGTTGAATGAAAGTTGAGGAGCAACGCCCGGTTGCCGGATCGAAACCGGGACGATTCCGGCGCTAGAAGACGGCGGCAGAAGACAAACTAAAGACGTCTCTCCCCAGTAAGTGGTAGTAGCTGCTCTTTGTTCACCAAACATGACCTCGAGGCCGCCATTTGTGAAGCCGCTACCAAGGATAGTAACCTCGACACCTCCCGATTTTGGGCCTTCGCCAGGGATAATCTTGTATATCATCGGTTGCGCCCTACTTGCGTTCACCATCGTGGGCGCATTGTATATATTCTGGCTAAGCGAGCCATGAGACATGTTTTGTAAATCATTTCTTAGTCGACTTGGGCTAGGTGCACGACTAGGATGAGCCGAGGACGGTGCGGAAAATAGTTGAGATACCGGTACATTATCGACGCTCATGTTTCTGCTTCCTTGTGGGAAGCTAGTCTCAGCGGCATTACTATTGGGTGTAGGTGGCCCTATTGGAGTTTGATATTGTTGTCCTATATTATTCAGGTTCGCCTGCTGTCCGTTGAATATAGAATCTGTGGACATTGGGAAGGCCCCCATGTTTGGTGAAAACGGTGATGTGGCTGCAGAAGTAATGTTTGATTCATTCTGAGCTCCCAGAGGTATTGCCGATGGCGATTGTCCTGTCTCGAGTCTGGTCATCGCTAAGCCAGTGGGGAACTTTAATGATCCGCTTGCTTTCCTCTTCCTAGCTGTAGGGCCAGAGGGACTAGTTGGTGATTCCTGTCTAGACATGACACGAGAGGTAGTAACAGGCATAGACGGGGAATTGTGGCCCTGGAGAGAAAACGAGGTAGCCTGTGGCAATCCCTGGGCATCTGGAATTTGTGGCGACGTGCGAAATGGCTGTGTCGAGGGTTCCATATGGTTGATGTCCATTGCTACTGGAAGTGATGGTTGGTCTAGAACAGAGTTCTGCGTGGTCGATGCTGCTGGAAGGTGTGTCTTGTGATCATCGGTTATCATAATCGAGGATGAAATCTGTTGGGCAACGACATTGTCCTTGTAATCTTTGATTGTGAAAATAACCTGGAAGCCCATTTTCTCCCCATGATGACGGCAATAACATGCGATACGCATCGGCGCATCTACTTGGACTGTACCATCGGGAACTGAGAGGTCAGCTAGCCCAGCTCCCGTTGGGTCGACCATATTCGGGGTGACTGGTTGCCAATCTTTGATTTCTTGCGTGTTAAAAACGATGACCCGCTGATGCTCGTATCGATTCCATAACTCATCTTCCTCTGGCTTTTTGTGCTTTTTACGACTAGCTCGTTTCCGTTCTCGAGTTATGCAGCCAGCACATATTCTTACTTCACCACCGTTCTGAGGCTTATTTTCGTCATCTTCGCCTCCATCTTCCAATCTTTTCAGACTTGTAGAGTCATGTCCGGCTACGGCGGCCCTGCTGAAAGCGCGGCGGAGTTTTGCTGGGTCTTGCATAGCACTAGTACAGACTAACATAGTATAGAGCTCGAGCATGTCGGCAGACCGCGTCGCAGCGGGCTTTGCCAATAGCTTAGGTTTCGAAATTGTATGAGTTGGTAAGTGCAATCTCTTGATACCGGGCGGGAGCGCGTGGATAGTAAGCTTGATCGGGATTTGGGTCTCGACCCGAGACTTGAGAGGCGTAGGATGAATCACCAGCCTTGGTCGAGGTAAATTTGCCAACGCTGGGTGAGACGATAGAGGAATCGGTGCATTTGCCGCATCTCGTCGAAAATGTGACTGGGAAACTATCCCGCTCGCCTGTGTATTCTTTGCGGGCGACCATGACTTTAAAAGCTTCTGCTGGTTCGACATAGCACTAAAATGACCTAGGATATTATCAGGGGAGGGTGAGTTGTTAAGCATTGTTGCGGGAGAGGTTTCCTGGCTGAGCATCAAATTAGCCATGGGTGAGCTTTCTCTAGAGCCACTCGTTTTTAGCCCGTTCATAGACTTCGTTATAGAATGTTGCTGCACACTAGTTAGCACGAACAAGAGTTGTCGTATGCGGGTGGGAAAAGAACGGACCGATTGTGACTTATGATGGCCCTTGATTCGCTTCGCAGCGGGTGCGTTCGAGATGGAATGTGCTACTACAGGAGATTCTTGCATGAGGCCATTCGCTGCCGAGCTAGGACTGCTAGAAGCGCTGTCAAAGTCGAAAACACGGGCCATATCCATAGCTGTAGGGTCTATAGTGTCGAGCATATAGCTGGTGTCGATATGCCTGGATTCATGTTCGAGATTCCAGCCCGAGAAGGGTTCATCCGTCATCATGGCCTCCGTTGAACTCTGGCTTGTTTTGGCGGAGTTCGAATTGCCGCTTACCCGGGAGGAAGAGGAAGATGCAGAACCCCGGTGCGAAGGGAGAGGTACGGCTCTATTAGGGTTGGCCGGGTCCGACTGGCCAAGGCCGGCTGAAAACACCTTCGAATCTTCATAGAGGCCCGTGTCTAGAAACTCGCTGGTTGCAAAATCGAATAGATTCGTACCCGATGTATGAGCATCTTCGTAGAACTCGAATTCATTGCTAGTGGCAAAAGAGGGAGGTAGCATGCCCGAATCAGAAGCGAACTGGTTCGTCCCACTGAACGGGGAAGAACCAGAAGTCGTCATGGCCCAGTTCACACAGTTGCTATGTGTGCCGAAGAACAGGGTACTATACGTAGGTTGTGTCAGCGCGTTGAGCAGAAGTTGTGATCCGACTGCAAAACCAACCAGCAAAATTACCCTAGACCGTGCCCACACTGGTGACGTATACACCTAGTAGCAACTCCTGATAAAGAGATGAAAGTCGAGATAAGCGTCCAAAGGGGCGGTATTCCAGCGAGTTCAAGGGTCGGGGGATGTGGCAATATTCCCTAATTTACAGCAACATGACTCCTCTTTTTAGTTCGAATTTCAATTGAGGATGATTCAACGAGTGTGGAACGATGCACCCTATATTTTTGAAAAGTCGACTTTCTAATAACGGAAGTGATATAATAGTATAGTTGGCAAGACTCGATATGCGGTCGATAATTCGAAACGTTTCGTGTTCGTCGCTTGGGTTCGGAATAAACGTGCCGAACGGTGTGAAAAGTTGCGGTAAGTTAATATAGTTTTTGCTTTGTTAGAAAAATACAGACTGCGACGTAAAAAAAAGAAGAAAAAAAGGAAAAAAAAAAAAAAGAAAAACGTCTAATTCGCCTGGTTATGAGAATTTTCAACAGGTCAAAACACCCAATCAATTGAAGACGATGCGATAGGAAAAAAAACGGCGATGAAAAATAAAGGAAAAGGAATGAATGTCCTAGCCGTAAAGATGGCAGTGGTAACGGAACGTGCGGTTTGTTGACTTCAGATTTCACCAAAGACCGGGATGGGAGTGTGGGATGGATGATTTTAGGATGGGAGAGAGCGCAGGCGGACGTTTCGATCAAATCAATTTGTCCCAGGTCCCAAGATGGAAGAACCCTGACAGCCTAAGGATGGAACCCGACCGGGGGCACAACTTAGAACTTGCAGTTCTGGCAGTACATCAGGCGGTACAAGGCTACAAGCACCCACAGGGTTGGAGTGGAGAATTAAAAGACGGTCGAGGTGTCGAACGCAAGAGGGGGAGGTTTCGCTCGAATGCGCTAAACTTATCAGACTAAATTACCTTACCTAGACCTAAGAGGTACTAATTAATAAGAGTACATACTTCACTGAAGTTGGAAGTTCCAAAGGTTGTGTGCGGCAGCCTACCCCCGGTGCCGGTAAAACCGGGGTTTTCCCAGCGTGGGAAGGTTAAGTACATTTTAAAGTATCAGGTATGTACCTAGGTGCTCTCTCTATCCCCGATAATTGTTAGTGGCTTAGCAAGTCAATCTTGATGTAGTAATCTACCTAGGTAGTAATCTCGCTTAAGACACGTGTAACTAGTGTAACATGACCACTACTAGACTTGCTAGATTATAATCTTTTAATCTTTTGTTAGTGTAGAATCTTGAACTTGGACTTTACACTCTACACTCACTAACCTTTTTCATCTGTCGTGTGCTCTTCCATCCTTGTTCTCTTCCAAGCTTAACTTTTACACACTTATTAATGCCATCATTACCAGATTATCAGATAAACCCAATTAAATTAAATCATCATGCTTAAACCTCCCGCGCTTACTTAGGCGTTTATATATACTTCTGCCAAAAGTCACAGTCACAGTCACAGCACGCAGAGGTAAGTAAGATAGCCTCAGATCTGCTCAGCTTTGAACGTTCCAAATCCAACTCCGGTCATCGGGGATGGTTTAATGCTGACCACCTCGCGGGGTTCTTCGCTTACCGTAAATGTAAGTATACCTAGAACGAGATAGATATTCTTACATAGTACCGTCCAAGGACGAAAGAAAAAGAAAAAAAGAAAAGCGAAAGAAATTACCTAACTACATAGTAGTCCTAAGATAGTTACTAACTAGTTATTAAAAACTATTTTCTTAAAACACCTTTTTTTTTTCTTATATTTCTCACGTCTATACGGTGTATTAACTACTACTAACTACATCATTCATTTCTCATCTCTTTGACGTTGCTTATTAGGGTTACAGGCTTCCAAGGCCGATTCCTGTTCCTGCGTCCTCGTCTGGTCTCCAACTGGTTCCCCAGACTGAGCTAAGTTTATCAAGGGTCCTTATCTGATAGATAGGTATCTGACTTATTACATACCTAGACCTATATTACAGTCTTATACTATGTAGAGGGGCTGATGACTTCTATTCTATTCTATAGGTGGCATCCTAGTTCAACTAGTACACTACAATGCACACTACATTTAATGACACGCATTAGGTACACTTACACTACAGCCGAACCTAAGCAAAACCTCCTTTCGTCGCTACTTATTATCCACAACCACTACTCCATCTCCTACACTCCCTCCGGAAGGTCCTTTTTTCTTCTCCTCTCTCTGACGACATTTTACCCTCCTCGAGTTTTCTCATCCAAGCCAAGTAAGCGGTTCCCGCTTCCATGGCCGTTTCTACTTCTTCACAGAAAAAAAAAAAAAAAAAAAAAAAAAAACAGGTGCTGCTACTACTACGCCTTCTTCCGTCTCCGCCTATCTCGCGCCAACCCACGCATCCACGGGGAAACCCCCCGATGGCAGAACACCCTTCCCCGTTTATCTCCCCGCCCTACTCAAATTATGGAGGGTCACACCGGGCACGATGAAGTCACGTTCGCAATGGCAATACCTACCTAACGTAGGTAGAATCAACCTTCTCCGTCATCGCTCACGATGTCGTTTTTGGGGGGGAGGCAAGGGCGGAAGCGGAAGCTTCGAAACATTATACTCCTCCGCTTGTAGAAAGAAAGACTTGGCGACGACCCTACATATCGTTGTCTCTTCGTCTATGCATCTTCGGAATCATGTGCACGTGTCGCAGTGAATTCAGACCTCCCGAGTCTCTCTCTCTCTCTCTTCTTTTCCCGCTCGTAGCCACCGGACAATTAGAAGTCCAGTCTAGATCTAACCCCGTGGGTGCACGACATACCCCAGAAGAACGCAGAGCACGTCGACGTAAGGTAGATAGCGATACTTAGACTATACGAGATATCTCCGTCGTCTAGATCTCTATACATGCCTAGGTACCTAACCTAACATAACCTAGATTAAAATCATGCACCACTTCAGTCCGGTCCCGCTATCTTCTTACAACAGATCTACCAAGGTGTAAAGGTCGCTGTCTCGGCGCCAGTTCGCATAATTCAAAGAGGATAGAGAGACTCTCTGAGGTATACACGGGGACTGTTCATTCATTCATTCATTCGAAGACCTTGGACAGAATAGTAGTAGTAGTTACGGTTTTTTTTTTGTGGAACTTGCGATATCTATCTATCTTCTTCCTCCTCTTCTCTTACAAGGCCGGCTGGAATCAAAATCAACCTTGGGAAGCTAGTTAGCTACTAAGGCGAAACAGAGGGAAAGACCCTTGATTTTCCCCCCTCCCCCTAGGTAGCTAAGCCTTGCGCAACGCTACAACAATCAGTACTGTACAACAATAACAGCCCCCCAAGGCGCCCAATTACACAAGATATGATTAGATGATATGCCGCATTTGGCAAGATGGTGGCTTAATAGCTGATTACACACATGTCAATTGAGCCGATTCGGGCAGCAGCTTGACTTTTGAGTAAGCCGGGTTGTTGTGTGATTTGATTACTGTAACCGTGACCTGCCTACTAACTAACTACTGCCTGTCGGACATCCGTCCGATGTTGTAGTTTGACATCGCCGGAGTCCGAAACACGAATGAGAGGAAGTTAGCTAGGAATCTTTGAATATTTACGATAGGTACATCCTATCCAGAACATAAAATAATTGGAAGAGGAGAGCTGATGTTAATCTACATGGGTAGCGACTAGGTCGCCGAACGAATTTTAGAAAAAGAATATCTATCTATCTACCATGAAAAGGAAGCCCCATAGGCTTCCAAAGTAAGGTGGTATTGGAATAACTTGACTAAGTTGCTCCCATGACTTCGCTCCTTACTCTGCATCTTTTGTCTACCATGTCACCTTGCTTATTGTCCCGCTAGCGTATAGTAAATGTGTAGTAAATAGTTAAATGTGTTGGCTTTGCGCTGTACTTTGGCGGAGATCGTGCTAGAGTAAAGAGTGACCAAGAAATCGCTAATGAGAGAATGACAAATAGTTCACGACTCGGTTTTGGCATCTCTCTTAGGCTCTTAGGATTCTCTCGACGACGATTCATCAGGGAAGCGAATCGTGCGGTTGTGCAGGGTAGGTGATGGCGCCCTGGGAAGGGATCCTTGCTCCGTAGGTTTCGGGCTCACTTCGAGGTCATCCCGTGGCTTGACAACTTCAACAGCGTCCGTTGTAGTCTCCGTCTGGTCTCTGATAATAGATCCGCCAAGCCTATAGACGGTTGGCGCAGATACAGAACGGGAATCGGCAGGAGTGTGAGTTCCTGTTCCATCCCTAGAACGGCTCCGCGGAAGAATTCGCGCACCTATTTGGAAATGCAGGTCCTCCGGTGTGGTCAAATTCCTTGAAAGAGTCCGGGGTAAGTAGACTCCAAACTTTCCTAGGGGAATGCTGAGCCCATGGACAACCTTACATGCGATGAGTATGAAACCGATACCTGTAGTAAGATAGAAGGACATTACTTACAATGCTGCATATTGCCATAAACCAAACCAAAACTGACACACTTTCCTTGAGGTGAGCTACATCCCACCTCGGCGCGCTTCCGTTGTTAGGATTTAGTGTATCAACGAATTCTAGCGTGACGTATAAGTAAAAGATAGCCGAGCACCCGATTGGCCCGAAGAAGCCCATGAAAATCGCCTGTCGAAGACCGTTTATCTGGTGAATTTTCTTATAAAGTGTTAGGATGAACGGCATACGCCGAAATAGTAGTATTAAGATTCCGAGAGGGATTAGGCGATAGATTGGAATGATACTATTATCTACGAAACTATGCCACTGCGTGATAGATATACTAGGTTAGTGCTTGTCATTGTGCAAACTGATTCGATGTGGCTGGTTTAGGAGATTCGTTCTGACAAGAGTGTCCTATACAGTAGCCCCAGATACCATATACGGCGGAATGAAACAGAAAACACGGCATATACATACCGGGCATACTGCGCCATACCACATGAATATGGTTACGTTGAGAAGCATGTCTATCGTCGGTTGCAGAGAACTAGAGACAGAACGAATTGTTAATAGAGAATTATGCTAGGGCTGGCAGGCCTTTCTAAGGAATGGATTGACGCATACTAACAAATCGTTAGTAAATATGACAGAAATCTATTCAGTCTATATTGATACGAACCTCATCGAGCGTTTCTAAGCGGAACCAGTCGTCCCAGGTAAAAACATTTCCGGCGATGAAACAGGCAAGAATATCGTCGCTGCCAATCATGCCGCAAGTGCCAGTAATGAAGAGCGCGAGCGAAAACGCGAAGACGAGGAAGCTTTCACGATCCACGAATCTGTGTTCTTCGCAGAAGTGAAGCAGCTCCTTGGCTATCCAGCCAACTACCGCGCCATATATCACGCTGAGAAGGATAGTATAACCCCAAGTCTCGCCAAACCATAAGCCTATTGCGAGGCCAGCACCGCCCTGCTCATTAGCGCCACCATCGCCGATGTACTTGATGAGGTATAAGGCCAAGAATAGGAACGGGTAGCCGAGTCCGTCGTTGGCCCCAGACTCGGCGATAATTATCTTCTGGAGATCCTTGGGAACATTGTGGTCAGCGAATCTCCCCTTCACAATGACATTGGATAGCACAGGGTCCGTTGGCGTCACGCAGGCTCCAATAGCGAGAGCATGAAGGAAGGGCAGGTTTGGCACTAGACCCCAGACGAGCAGACTAGTTATTATCCACATCGCCGTCATGATCGGCCCTAGAAGTAAAGCCAGAGGTTTCCATTCTTTCTTCAAATAGCGACTGGGTAATTGAACTCCGGCTAGAACAAGCTGGACCCCGAGAACAAGCCGGGTGAAATATAGCGTCTATGACAAAGTATTAGTTATGTCAACTTGAAATTACAGATTGGGTGACAGAGTTCATAAGTGCTACTTAGCACAGAAGAAGGTAATAAATAAGAAAGAGCACCCTGGTTAGATCTAAATCGAAGAATCTTGAAGGGTGGCTTACGATCGCATTTAAGTTTTCTTCCGAGCCTGCATATTCAAGCGGGCGGACAAAGTTGGTAGCGTGGGGAGAGAAGAAAAGGCCAGCCAAAAGAGAAATGACTAAGTGAAAGCCGTCAGCCTCCAATTTCGAGCAATATCTACGTAATAGTAGATGGACTATCATAATGGATATGGCGATAACTCACGGGCCTCGGAAAGGTAGAAATTCTCTTTGAGCAGGTAAGACACCAAACCGAAGAGAGATATCCACCCTCCCAACACACTAACAACAATGTTGAAGTTGGTAGGGGCAAGAGTTGGCATTGTTAACCAGATAGTAATAGGTTTATAATAAATACCTAAGATATCGAATTCTGATAGCTTGGAAACTATCAAGTAACTCCCGAGTCGTCCTTACAGCAGCGTAAGGCAAGCAAGCAGTGATATGCCGGTGAAATAAATGTTATTGAGTCATTTGGTTCTGAGGTAGCTGTATTCAACGTAGAACTGGCCGCCACCTTGGCTTCACTTATTATAACAAGATGATTTGAACGACCGCGTCACTCGTACCGTAGCAGCGAGTTTGGCTTGCAACTTCTTCTGACAGAGGTGCGGCTCTTGCTCTATTGCAACAATCGAGATTCGGTTTGTTGATTTAATTATGAAGCATCGGCCGGGTTAATGTAACTTGTAACTTACGATATGGAAAAAAAGAAAGAAAAAAGACGTTACTACTGGTTGAAAGCAATGCAAAGTATGTTTATCGGAGTATGGATCCGCGAGTTGATGTAGGGAAGAAAAATACTAGTGTAGAGGGGAGATGACGCACGGCGAATAAAATAAGGGTTCTACTAACTCCACTATAACTCATCTGCTGTGTAAGATCCGAGGTACCTATCAAGCTTTCCTTAGGTAGTACATCTTGACGAATAGGAGCTTTATTCACGTTGCACAACCTAGCAACAACCTAGCAAAACGGGTTATATTTCTATACCCACCTAGACCTACTATGAGGTAGTTACCTACCTAAGACTCAATTATTTTTATGACATAGCAAGTTACATACAACTCATATATCTATTCAAAGCACATAATGTAACTAGCAAATCAAATACTTATTCTAAAGTACAAAATGCGCTACATAAGTATTCAAGGTGGTAATCCGGTACGTGCATTTGAAAGCTATCTAAAATCTAAACGGGTCTCTCTGATGGTGTTGCTTCGGCTGTGTTTGCCGTGCCTTCAACTGTTTTTTCATTGGATAACCCAGTTGTGTTCGCTCTTCAAAAGTACCTAATAATCAAGTTGCCGACATAACATCGTGATTATTAGCTCGGTGATATATAGATGTATCTCGCTCATGGACATTTCGCTAGGTATGTAATATTGATATCGAAACCAATCAACGTGAAAAAAAAAATCATATTAAAAGAAAGAGGGCACTTCATATACGATGGATGGTATCATTGATCGCTACCCGGCACTAACATCGTGAGCCTATAGAGGGGCATCTCATACCTAAGCGATGTTCGGATCCTGATATGCAAGTCATCGTGATTCAACGCGTTCATATCAGTTGTCTCGCGCCGTTCACGGCGAGCTCGTCTGCCGCCACATTGCCGGCGTCCTCCGCATGACCCTTTACCCATTGAAAGTATGTTTTTGTCCCTGCTTCGGTGCGCTCGTCGATCTTAGACCGGATGGCTTCCACAAGGTCTTTGTTCTTCACGGGTCCGTCTTTAGTCTTCCACCCATTCTTCTGCCAATTCACATACCACTCGGTCGCGCAATTAATCGAATATTTGCTGTCTGTGAAGATACGTATTTTTTGGTCGATCGGTACAGTTTCCAAGGCTCGGAGAATGGCCGTTAATTCGGCGCGTTGGTTTGTCTGTGGCTCGCCCTGAAGGCGCTCTGATATATTTCTACACAGATACGTCAGTAAAATGAGTATTTAAATCGACTTTATAGCAATTACCTTGCGTCGCCGTGTCCAAAGAAGACACCGACACCAGCTGCAGCACCAGCACGACCATTGGCAAGACTGCTGCCATCCGTATAGACATGCTGGACGTCCTTTTCATCTTCAACTTTACCGGCGTTACCGCCTGCCGCCTTCTTGCGCTTCTTCGAGGTAGGTTCACCACCTTCATCTCTTAAGAGAGCCTCTTGTGCAGCCTCGTTCCCATGCGTCCGTATGTATTCTATTGCACCCTCGCGAGTATCAAATCTCTTGTACTTCGGGCCTTTCCATCCTTTAATAGCGAGTGATGCCGTGTCCCAATCGGTATAAACTCCGGGCTCTCTACCGACAGCTACCGCATAAAATCTCTGTTCACCTGGGGGCGCGGCAGACGTCTTCTTGCCAGCCACGTAGGCCTCAGCATCCTCTCTACTGAGAAAGGATTTATCTATAGGATAATTATTAGCTTCTTCGTTAGCACTCAGCCGGCGTTTGGCTCACCTACAGGAAGCACCTCTGAATCCCGCAGTCTGCTCCTGGCATTCGGCCCAAGTCAAATAGACACCCGGATTTACTCCCGCTCTTACGGCATAGTATTTCTGAGCATTGGCATCTATCTTTCGTTTCCTGCTGGTCTTGGCTGGGGTCGAAATGGCAGGCTGCGAAGCCGACTTCGACGTTTGACCCTTCTTCGCAGAGTTCATCGGCATATTGAATATGGGAAATGGTATTATATCTTTATAGCCTAACGCGATATCACCTGTCCATAGCAGGCTGTAGAATCCCGAAGATATAGTGATGTGTCGTACTTGTTCGAAACGCGCGGCTTTGTTACGGAAAGCGGCAGAGTGAGAGGTCAGTGTGGACGCAAAGGTGCGTGTAAGGCGGTGTCGGAGTCAAAGGAGTATCATTTTCATTGAAGGCGAGTAATTAAGAAACTCCAAGAGAGGGTCAAAGATGGCGTCCGTTCTCGTCAAAGCTTATCCAACTTGTTCTTTTTTTTTTTTTTTTTACAATGCGAATAAAATCTAAGTACATGTAAGTAAGTCTTGGAATCTTGGAGTCTTGGGGGGGAAGAGGGGAATCGCATCAAAGCAGTTGGCTTCAGTCCATTGCATTAGGTACAATACCTACATCAAATACACCAAAACCCAGCAGACCTACCTAAGGACCTACCTAAGGTAGGTACTAGGTTATGAGGTACCTATCTAAGTTAAACGCTAAACCTAACCTGGCAAAGGCTAGAAGTATTTCGTACAAGCCTAGGAGGTACGGGGGATTTAAGATAAGATAAGACCGGACGCGTTTTTAGTTCTCATTTGGGAACGCAGGTAATCCGTATTTTCAATAAAAGAATAATATCAATATCTTGCGATTGGGTATAGCTTAACATACAATACGATCAAGCGTCTGTCCCTTCTCCCCCTTCGCCTCCCTCCCCCAAAAAGAGAATAATAATCATACAACGAATAATCCTTTGACACCTCCATCGTCCAAATCTCGATGGTCCAAATCTCTCGCCTGTGGTCATCAGGTTCGTGTCCCAAACTTATACATAAAATGCCTTGAATAAAAAGGGAACATATCATGTCCTTAGTGTAGCTCCCTTCATAACCATGTAACCATAAGACGCCGCGCCTTTCAGTAATGCCAAATTCTGACAAGGGGACTACCTAATTCCTCTGCTTGCCTCAAAACCAAACTCCATGTATGCGGAAGGGGGTTACTGAAGGATACCTCTTATGCGTGTAGGTGCGGATCTACTGTCAACTTCTCGATACTGTCGGATTCCCATTCCCAGCCCAGGAGAGTCCAGTTCAACTCCTTGCGCCAGTGGAGTCCGAGGCCTTGACCTCCACCACACGAGCCTCCCCCGCAAGTACCAGAGGCTGCGCATGCATCGTACCCTCGATCCTCCGAGCTCATACCACCTGTTAGCGGCATGCGATGACGAAAGACTATCCTGCCCATTCGAGAATGCAGAATGGCCATAGCACACATTGTGCACGGTTCATGGGTCATATACAGCTCAAGCTCGTGGCAGAGGTAACCATCAGGGCAAGGATGATCTCCGTCGAACACCAGCTGCTCGTCACTAAGTAGAGGCTTGTCTTGGAAAGCCTCAAAGTCCATAACCTTCTGTGTTGATTTGGGTCGATCTTCAGCCCTCACTAGCTTCTGTGCTACCATGCTAATAGCCCTAAGAGCCGCATGGGCCATGGGATTTCCGGTAAGTCCGGTTCTCTCCATTTGATGCCAGCGAGCATCGGCCGCGATAGCAACAATCTCGGTTGTCTCTTGTGCCTCAGAATCTGGTTTGGTAGAGTCCTGGGCGGGAGCTTCTAAGCTTGAGACGTCCGATTGCTTGGCGTCGCTTATGACGCCATTAGGTCCCCCAGTAGCATCGCGAGTAGTTCCCTTTACCTCACCGGCAGCTCGAGCTTGGGAATTGCAGTTGTCACCTTCGGGTCCAGTGCCCTCGCCATTGGAAACCTCGGACTCTCCGGTTCCTTCTTTGGGTGCGGGTTGTTTTCCAGAATCGATCTTTCCAGGAATCGTACGCTTAACGATAACAGCACCGATAGGCTCGCCGTAACCAGCTCTCTGTGACTTTTTAGCGACCTGGTGTGCCAAGTTCATCCATATAGAGGCATCGCGGGACATGACAGCCTCCGTTCGAGAGATAGTACTTGGATGAGGGCCGAGAGGGTTGTTCTTCCTGTAGACAGTCTGCCAGAACTGCTGTGACCACATGTTGGCCTGGACCTGAGAGGTGGGTGCCAATAAAGGAACAGGAATGGTCCTCACAAAGATGTCATCCCTAATGTCATCAATGGTGGAGAGACCCTTCACTAATTCATCATATGACATCTCATTCTCAGGGCCAAGCACGATGTAAAGCCAGTTGGATTTTCCGAGATGGACCTGTCGCCCGTTGCCTTCATTCATGAACTGAGTCTTGAGGTGAGGTGGTATGTCGGCAGGTTTAACACACCGACGCAGGTGAGGGAGGTTCTTAGCTGCATCATCACCAGCTAGAGCTCGGGCAATACTATATAGCGGGCGGTGTTAGCAAGTAGTGTAATTTGTAGGGGAAGGCATCTGGACTGACTTAACAACATCATTAGTAACTTTATTGGGAGCTCGGGTGACATAGGCTAAGCCGAGACAAAGATTATCTCTTAGCTCGAGAATAGTCTTGAGAGGTACTAGAGTTCCTAAGGCAATATCGGGAGGGATAAGATGTCGGGAGACGGGGTCGAGCGTCTCGACAACTTCCTTCATGGAATCGCTCATAGCGGTAACCCCCGAGACAAGGCGTCAAGTTTAGGTGCTGAGCTGAGCGGGTGTGTAAAAGTGTGGACTGCTTATTATTATAAGTGCAAGTTGGGGGTCGGGGAGGTGGGAAAGGATTGCTGTCGAGGCAGGTAATAAGGCAGGCAACAAGGCAATTAATTCGTTTGAGGCTGCAACGTCTTCAACGAAGTAATTAGGGCAATGACTGACCGAAATCCAAAGAATCAATGGATCTAGGAGCATGGGATTAAACCAGAGGATTGATCAAAAAAGGTATCTGTTCCTGTGCGAATGAGTGAGAGATCTCAGCATTATGCTGGAAAATGGAGGAATGCATAGACTGGTAAAGAAGCATAGGTCTGCGCTCCTCGTGGAAGATGCTGAAGGGTTGTTTTGTTTCTACTTTGGTCGAGGAAGCCAAGAACGACGCGATTTGCGGGTTGATCGAAAAGCGCCGCCCAGTTTCGAGCTGTCGCAGTTTCTATTAAGGCTATGGGATCTCAGGATACTTATATCAGTATTTTGCATGGGGGAGAAAAAATCAGAAGAACTTGTAGTTGCTCTGTTGCTTCGGCGATTTCAGTTTGGAAGTTGGCTGTGAGTTGAAGTTGCGAACTTGTGCAGGTATTGTACAATACATGCTAACCACTTGCCCAGAGATAAATTTCTTAGTGGGGTTTATCGATAAGAACTCTACATATTTCAGGGTCCTTCTATGCGTAGATCGTCTGTCATAGGTAACCTACCAGGTACCTTAGGTAGATACCTAATGTAAGGTAACTATTGTGCCGGCTTTAGCACAAGCACAAAAGGTTGAGTCAATGAGTGTACCTGCATGTACGTACTAGGTATAGGTAGTACGTAGGTAGCTCAAAGGACGTCAAATGAATGTTCTACATTATATGAATGTATATGAAAGGCACATACACAATATAATACCAGGTACCTACCTAGGTACATTATAGGTATGCCGCTTGCTGCAGAGTGACAGCATCTGTAGTCATGTGATTGGTCAATCCTTTCAGTCACTCTCAATATCTCCCGTGAAACATACCTAAAGGCCAACCAATTGGAATTTAATTGAGTCTTCTATTTATCATTGGTCTACATCCTTTCACGTTTTCACCCTTCACTCTTCACTCTTCACCCTTTGCCCGATGCTCGTCTTAATATATTACATTTGAAATATTAATAAGAGGTTATCCCAATATTTGTTGCATGTTAGAAGAGGAATAGAAGCGATAAAATCTTATAAAACTTTATGAATATTAGAAAATATTTTAGAACATATAGAAATATCACCTCCTTGGAAGTATTTCGCATTATGTCTTTAATTTTGTCAATGTTTTAATTAAAGTGCAGCACCCCTTTTAATGGTGCGTCGTCGAGTTTACGTTGACAGCACTAGTACGTAAATACGCCTATCTAATTAACATCTAGAGGGGCCTAGCTTTGGAGCCTCATTTTCTAGCCCTGAGTCTGATAGCGTGAAGATTAGGGCCGACTCTAAAACTCGTCAGATGAGCATGGCATGTCAAAGCCTCAAAGTTATGATGTGGAGATAAGAATCTGGCAACGATGATGAGCCCAACTATAGTACGATGGTTAAAAAGATAGCATTGTATTGTACGATGCCGTGGCGCTGTGCTCAGGTGAGTTTGAGTTTGATGGGTTGAGCATGGTTAGGCATGGTTAGACTTCAAACTCCATCAAGGAACCTCAAATCTTGAGACTCATATTCTCCACTCCTGTTTCTTTTCCTATAGTACACCTTCTCTTATACCTGCTATACCTACTACGCTTACGAAAGTGCCTTCTTCCGTCATCGAGTAAGAGCACACACGGCCGTGGGGTTTCCTACACCCACCCACCAACGAGGCTGGTGGTTGGTATATGTTAAGTCTACGCGCGAAGTATGTTACATTCTAAGCAGCGTCACCCTTATCTAATCTAACCTCTAAACCCCCTATTCCCCCACGAATGCTGCGCTCCTGATCCAGCACGTGGACTCGTAATTTTCTAAGGTGATGTTTGTGAGGTATTTATTGGAAGACGTCCGTACACTAACCCACCTACTTAATAGCTCAAGACACCGTAGACAATGCATTATTGGCACCGCTAACCAAGACACAGGCTATAATAGAATGACATGGTCAGCATCGCTTCCCTAGCTTTACGTTGCAGTACATCGCCTAGGTTGCCTGCCCGACACGTTGAAGGAATGGGCGCAATGAACACGATAGATGTCATATGCAACCGCCTTAACCATGTGATTAGGTTTAGAGGCGGGCTAAAGTAACAGTTTTTAACCTTTAAGACACTGCATACACCTGGACCTATACTACGTAGTAAAGTTGTAAATCGCAATGCTGCTCAACAAAGTGTGGCACAAGTCTTAGAACGTCAACCCCACGACTATTGGATCTAAGAAGTACGCTGATCTTAGATCGTGAGGGGTTTGCTGGCTAGTTTGATAGGCGTTCCTTGGAGAAACATTGGGGTATCTGCTTTCAGCCCCCTCGGGGTTGGTCGGGCGTGGTTCATTGTCCGGTAAGTCTCCTATATCATTTTCTATATATCGAAATCCAAAAAAAAAAAAAAAAAAAAAGCCTTCGCCGAGACGAATCTCCGGTAAATTTCTCACCCTGCATATGAGGATTAACTTATATGCTTACATCCGTCTCGGCGCCGAGGTGAAGACAATAAAAATTAACTTGGGAATTGGGGATAAGTTGAGAGATATCGCCAAGTTTGGAGTTGTGGTTGGGTGGGTGCAAGGGGGGGACAACCAGAACAACTAGAACAAACAAATCCGAGACTCGATGAGGAAATACGTATACCTACTTAGGTACCTAGGTAGGTAGCGAGCAACTTGCCGGTCTTCGCTCTCTTATGCTTTAACGCTGGCGAAACAGCTTTTGTATGTGTAATCCCCGTTGCGCGATAATTACGTTGCAGGTTCAATATCAGCGAATCAGTAGCAGCAGCACTTACATGACACGCATCCTAAAAGCCTCTTCCGGTCGCAATACCCCAAGAACCAATAACAGTTATTAGTCTAAACGGATACGATTGCTTTTCATAGTAATTTGTATATCTATCTATTCACTAGGTTTAAATTTTATGATTGAACCTACTATGCTAGGTACCTGGTATGAATGCGCGGTTTATTAGAAATATTACATACTCGGACAACCTAATTTTATACAAAGGCACATCTATATACACTTACACACAAAAATTTACTATACAATGACCCTCTCCTCTCCTCTTCCTCCCCACTGGCTTCGCAAATTGGATTTCTGTAAATTGGCGACCACTGCTTTAAGTGCCTACCTATTCAGTCTAGCTTTGACTCTTAGCTCGAGCACTACCTAACCTACTAAACCATAAGAGATTGTTACATCCTATCAGACCTCGCAAGCTGTCTTAACTCCATCTCAGCCATCAAAGCTTCGAAACAGCAGGGACACGCAATAACAGGCTGCTGTGCCCGACCAAGAAACTGAGCGTCTGGGATTGTCTAGGTATCTTGGAAGTGAAAAGATACAGCCTCACCAGCAACACAGCTTGTCTTGGCCTCTCATATCTCTCATATCTCAGAGGTCTGCCAAGATTAAAATCGGGCCAACTGTTGAGCGCAGCCCCCATGGTGGACAAACAGAGCCTTACCACATATTACGACGACGGGCAGAGACGTGTTAACGTCAGAACGTTAAAGGATCAGGCAAACGACGCAAACGACACAACCGCTAGAAACAAGTCAGTCTTAGGGCCAGTCTTAGAACGACATCATAAAAGTCCACAACAGCCCACTTGCGCCCACCTCGATCGACCTCAATCGACCTTTTCCACCCTTTCGACCCACAGATAGAGGAGAGGGAGCCACTATTTCTATTGGCTTCTTTTTCTGACAGGAGAAAAAAAAAAGGTGATATCAGAAGATTTGAAACGAGGCTTAAGAAGACTGAGAGAAAAAAAAATTATTATTAACCAGGTCGGTTACCTCGGTCGCATTATTCTCGGTCTTCTCCTTCACCTTCATCTCGAGCATTGCAATTTTTTTTATAAAAAAAAAATACCGTCATCGATCTCCGATACAGTTTCATTTCACAGTATTATTTATTCTCACATCTTCCCACGTGCGATTGGTACGACTTGTAGTTTTTTTCTCTATCGGAACTTGGTTAGGGAGCGACGTGAGGTGGTGAACTGATACAAATATTTTATTAAATATTATATCAGTTTATCAGTTTATTTATCTTTATCTTTATCTTTTTTTCCTACAGTACCGAAAAAAATATTAAGCGACCTTGTTAGTGCAGTGCCAGAAAACCGACAAGACGGGTACGACGGTTAGGAGTTCCTCTCAATTGGCAAACGCAGTAGCCTTTTGGGGCTTTTGGGGGCTTTTCGGGGGGGTGTGCAGCAACCTACTGCACAATTACATTCTGTTCCAGCATTACCTTACCTTTTAGGTCGATCCGATTTGCCGATCTCGCAGCCTCCCACCCTCCTTCTAGGTAATATTGAACGGTACTGTATCTCTCGGTACTGTACCGCCTGCAATACCGAGCAATCTATCAATCTACCAATCTACCAATCTATGCTAAAAAAACCTTAAACCAGCTGAGGTTAAGACCCTGAAAAGTCTGGAAGCAAGACACCTGGAAAAACTTAGCAACTATGACGCCCCGTCTTCACGTAAAAGGAACTGGTCCTCTGGGAGTTGTTGCGCCGTTTGACTGCAGCAGCACCAGCAATTCCATGGCACATCAATATTCTCTTGGCTACCAAGGTACGTTCTAATTACTTTCAATAACTACTTTTACTATATCACTACTTTGAAATATTTCTTTTTCTTCTTTTTCCCCTCTTCATCACATAGTATATTACATTGATTGTTTCCCAACACTCGTGCATAGTACCCTTTTTCAAGGTTTCTTTTCAATTCTCCCTGTTCGTCGTCACCAGTCCTAAAAAAACACACGTCAAGCACATGTCACATCAACCCACCTTAAAAATCACTTTTTAATCCCTGTTTATTACTATAAGATTGCATAAATAGCATCGAAGCCGCAGCCGCATTTCTTTACTTGGCGTTCCAAACTCGGTGCCCCGATAATCGGTTGCATTTTGGTTTCATTTACTACCTAGTATTAACTACGAACACTTAAAACAACTTATCAACTACTAACAACTGCCTCTTTTTTTCCCCTTCCTTCTCCTTTAGATCACAAACCCATACGCAGACTATCACAATCGCAACAATCCTCGCTTGCTCGAGCGGCGATGAATAATCATCATCAGCTTCACGTTTCCCACTCGTCGATTCCTCGGTCTATACCTACGCCGCCGGAGCAAATCATTGCGACTGAGTCTGATCCTCCCATTACAAGCTTCGATGTCGCCCCAGCGACTGTTGAGAGAGATGATGCATCTGCATCACCACCCACGCCTACTTCTTTAAATGGGGACAGTCCTGCATTATCTCACAAAGGAACACCTATCCAAACTGGGCTCTTACCACCTACGCTCAACAGCCTTCCTCATGTTAGTCTTGGTCCAGCTGCGCATCCCTCTGCGCATCCCACCGCGCACCCCTCGTCCCTGGCTAGTGCGCTCAGAGCCCTGAATGAAGGGCCTAGCGGAGGCGCCTTTCATCATGAGTATGCGCCTTCGTCTAACGATTCTCCCTACACAAAGAGTATTTCCTCTACTGCTCCGACTTCGCCCCGAATGTAAGTTTTCCAATCATCTACTTAATTAATCTTCTATTTCGAATGTCCAAATGCTAACTACTTGGAATAGTCCTCCCCTCCGACAGAATTCCGGTTCCCAGACTCCTCGAGTTCGTCCTCATGCGACAACCCTCAGTATACCTGGCATGACTCGATCGCTTGTTTCTCCTGATGGAAGAATTGCCGACCGAGATGTCGCTGCAAAACTTGTCATTATTATGGTTGGTCTGCCGGCAAGGGGCAAATCATATATTACGAAGAAGCTTCGAAGATATCTTTCTTGGCAACAACACAATACTCGGATCTTCAACGTCGGTAATCGAAGACGTGTCGCGGCTGTAAGTCCGCCAACCATGCATCACAAAGATAGCTCCATGGATATGCCAACTCCTTCGACGACAATCTTGGTTAACGGTGTTCAACCACCAACTGATTCCCCGGCTCGGAAGAGGTCTTCCCCTCAGGATCAGGATGACCCCGCCCCAAAGCCTATGGATCAGTCCGCCAAATTCTTCGATCCCAACAACGAGCAAGCGTCGAAGCTGAGAGACGAAATTGCCATTGAGACCCTGAATGAATTGCTAGATTATTTAATCAGTGGTGGGGGCTCGGTTGGAATTCTCGATGCCACGAACAGCACAATCGAACGCAGGCAGAAACTCTTCGATCATATCAAAGCTAGGGAGCCCCAACTTGGCATTCTGTTTATCGAGAGCGTCTGTAAAAATCCTCAGCTCCTGGAAGCCAACATGCGCTTGAAACTTTCCGGTCCTGATTATAAGGACAAAGACCCCGTCAAGTCATTGGAAGATTTCAAGGAGCGCGTGAAGGCCTACGAGAGTGCATATGTCCCCTTGGGAGATTATGAAGAAGAGCACGAGATGCAATACATCAAGGTAAGAAAGAGGATGGAAGCCTATTATATCTCAGCAACATATTAACTCGAAGTGCAGATGACGGATGTCGGCAAGAAACTTACCCACTATGGGCTAGGCGGGTTTCTCAGCAATAGCATTGCCAACTATCTATCTTCTTTCAACCTATCGCCTCGACAAATATGGATTACACGTCATGGCCAATCCACGGATAACAAACTGGGCAAGATTGGCGGTAATTCCGAACTGACTGACCGCGGGCACTATTACAGTCTCTGTCTGTACAAGTTCGTCACACAAAAGCGTCGAGAATGGTTGGTAGAGCAAAAGAACAAGATTGCGCAGGCATCATTCCCTCCCGTACGGGGGGATCAGTCACCGCCTTATCCTGATCTCAGCCGCGAGCTTGATGAGAAGAATTTCTGCGTGTGGACATCGATGTTGACACGCAGTATACAGACGGCCGAGTACTTCGAAGCAGACGAGGATTATGACGTCAAGAATTGGGAAATGCTCAACGAGCTTAACGCCGGCAAGTTTGAAGGCTTGACATATGAGGAGATCGCCCGTACTCACACTGATGAGTATACCAAACGCCAAATGGACAAGCTGCAATACGTTTACCCCGGCGTTGGAGGTGAAGGTTATCTCCAAGTCATCGGCCGTCTTCGGGACATGGTACAAGAGATTGAGCGAATCAAGGACCACATCATGATCATTGGACACCGTTCTGTATGTCGTGTCCTAATGGCGTACTTCATGGACCTCACCAGGGACGACATCGCAGACCTAGATATGCCATTGGGTATGCTCTATGCTATTGAGCCCAAGCCATACGGTATTGAGTTCCACGCGTACAAGTACAACGAAGCGAATGGTTGGTTTGACGAAATCCCCGACTACAAACCGTCGAGAACGGTGGACCGCAGCGCTTAAAAGAATCGCGCTTGGCATTTTTTGATACTTTTTTTTTCCACTCATCGTCAGTGTAACACTATTTTTCATTACTATGTTATTCAGTCAAAGATGGCAATGATACCACGAGAACCGGCGGGTCACTTTTGAGAGCATCCGCTTTTTGTTTTTTACGCTCTCGTCTTTCCATATGACTTCCGAGTGGCGTGTTTTTTTCATACGAAGGGGGAAAAGGGGGCGAACCGGGGGAACCGGGATTTGCATGCTTCAGGAGTTTGGACGGATTGCAGCACAGCACAGCACAGCACAGCACATCAAAGCAAAGGAGAGGGGTGGTAAGGGTTAACGGCTATGGACGGATGGGATGGACAGCATTCTTCGGCCGCGGCAAGAGGGTGCCCTAACGGCTTTTTTTTTTTGTTTTTTATCTTCCCTCATCATTTCTCTCGGTCTCCATCGCGAGCCTTTGCGACGTGCTCACGGCCACGTATGCGCAAACCCTTGTATTGTAGTTTAGTCTAGTTTAGTTGACGAGCATTGGTCTCGACGTAATAAATAGTACTATTATATACCTGTTAGGGTTGGCTGGTGCCAACGTTACTGTTATGCTTTGTTTTGCTTTTCGCTCGGAAATGAGTGCTTATTAACAAAATGCAAACTTGATAATATCTCTCGCGATTTAAGTAAGACCAAGGCTGACTTAGTAACTACGGGAAATGATGTAAGAGCAAACGAGCTTCCAAATTGTACAAGTACAATACAGGCAGTACGGTACTGCAAAGCCGTATTATTACAAATTGCTATCTGATCTCTGATCTCTGACCTGACTACCTAAACAACCTCTTAGGTTATTTACCTGTCAATCATAAGCAACATCGACAAAGCACAAACAACATTTCACATTTCACATTGAGCCCTCGACACCAAGTCATACATATATGCTATAGACAATTCTTTAATTCAAGTGTACCTCTCTCTCACTTACACCTACCTACCTAACTAACCTAACACGAGTTTGTGTAGATAGTTTTAGGTAGGTAGTAAATAAGGAGGGCAAGGCAACACCAGGTTCATGATGCTAAGCTAAGCTAAGCTAAAAAAAGGGGGTTTTATGAACAATTCATTCATCCTGAAAAAGAGTAATTTCATTCCATATCGTCATCACAGCCGTTTAATTGCAGCTGGTTTTTCTTTTCAAAACAAAAAAAAAGGAGTTATAGAAACAACCCATTCGTCCCTAATATTATTACAAGTGTCTTTTTTTCTGCTTTTTTTTGAGTGCAAATCCGTTCCGTAACAAGCCGTTAGTTGGTTTGGTTGGTTGCCTTTTTATAACCAAAACCACGACACAGACACAACCGGGGAAGAGAAGTTCGAGGGAACACTATGTATGTTAGTTGTTCATCTCCGTAACAATCGTTGCGCCCGTCGCCTGAGAGGAAGGTGTTGCTTTTTTTCTGTTCTTTTCTTTTCTGTTCACACGAATGCCGCGTTGACGTTGACGCCGGAAAAAATAATTGTATAAAGTCGATCTGGTTTCGCAAAAGAGGTATATCCATCGCCAGTTTTCCATTCGAAATCCCGGAACGCAAGGTGGTATTGTTGGTTATTGGTATTTGTAATGGAGTAAACAGGAGGGGGAAATCAAGAAGGAAAAAGTCGTCATCTCATAACCAATATTCTTTTCGTCATCATTAAGGAGGAAAAAAGAAAAAAGAAACAGAAAGGAAATTCGTAACATAATCCGCCCGGAATGGAAATTAAAACGCCGCGCGATTTCCCAGTAAATGGTTCTGTGATCGCTTTTTCTGCTTTGTCGTATCAATCATAATCATCATGCAAACGAATCCAGAAAGTCGTAAATCGTGGTGGTGTTGGTGTCCGCTTCGCTTCTGCCGCTTGGTTAGTTGTCACGGGGAATAAAAACCCTTATAACGCCTCTCCGTAAAAGCAGTTGGCCGCCGTGTTCTCATCTTGGTGATAATAAACACGAGGCTTGTGATAGCTGTATTGATCTGGGATGCGCGGAACCATGGGAATGCCACGGTTTACATCGGGCACGATGCTCAGAGCAGTGAGCTCTCGTGATCGTAAGGGGGATGCATCGGGCTCGTCATTCTGGTCTTCCATAGAAGAACGGTCTCCAAGAACTTCCCAGTTCTCGGATTCTGTCGACGAAGCCCGTGATCGTAAGGATGATGACTTGCCACGCTTTCGTAGTCTACCAGCATCGCGGCTGCTATTGGAGAGAGATCTACGAGGAGGTTGGGGCTCAGCTGATTCAGCTCGTCTGCCCACCGCCTGTCGAGGTGCCGATGCCGATGCCGGTACTAGTATCGGTGCTGGTACCGCTACTGCTACCGGCACTGATGGTGGGGATGGCGATCGTATGCGTTCGGCTATCTCCTTCAAGTATGAAGCACCACGGGCGGACGTCGTGGGCGAAGGCGGGAGCTGGAAGACGTTATCCGACATACGTAGATCTTTAAGCGGAGTCGGCATCTTGCGTAACTTCTTTGCCACCCTCTTAAGCGGTTCGACAAAAGATGATGACGTAGACATTCCGGGCGCCTCGACGCTCGTTCGGTCTTCGGTGTCTAATCTGCTGCGTTTGCGGCTATGGAGAGTAGGACGTTGGGTATCACTGGTGCATGATGCACGCACTGGCTCGTCCTCTGGCTCCAATGTTTCCATTCTTGGTCCGTCAAAGCTCGCCTTGTTTAGGCTCAGTGGCGATCTAGGCATCCTAGCAGCCTTGAAGAATTTAGTCGCGTCTAGAGAAGATGTACGCGGCGGGGGTTGTGGAGAACAAGGTCCAGAGCCTGGGATGGAAGGCATCGGTGGTGTAGAATACCGGTCACGACCACGGCTCCCTGGAGCAGCGTGGCGTGTGGAGTGTATGGCATGAGCTTGAAAGAAGCCGCTCGCCATCAGTTGGTTGTATGATTCCAAGACATCCTCCCGCGATGGGCGGGTGTTACCGTTACCCAAGTTAGGTAGATGCGGGATGTTGTACATCTCGGAGTGGGATTTAGCAGCTCGAAGATGTTCCGACCTCAGTGCTGCAGGGGACTGTCGCTGGATGGGCTCCTGAAGACTCTTATGCTTTCTCACTTGCTCCATCTTATGCGAGCCAGTGCTGCTCCGAGAAGAAGAAGAGGAGGAGGAGGAGGAGGAGGAGGAAGAGAAAGAACTCCATCCTAAGGCATCTCGAACTCGGCCGAAGAAGCCCGTTGATTTCCTATGAGTAATAGTATGCTCTTCTATCTTCGCTTGCGGAGATAGATTACTCTCAGAGAACGGGCGACGTGTCTTGCGTGCTTCTCGTTGAAATATGGACGGCCCGGCGTAGAACTGCCTTTCGTACTCCCTGAGCTGATTAGGCCCGAGGAATTGTGCTGGCGGTGCAGCGCTGACTCGGTCGTTCATAGATCCCTCCACGAATCGTGAAGTAGATGGACGTGAGCCGCCATTTTGTGTTGAGGGCCTAGAGATATCGAAGGTATCGAAGGCCATAATGGCAACGACTTTGATGAGTGCTGCTTCGAGAAGGCAAGTCTGGCGACTAGAGGATTCATCAGAGGAACGTCACGAAGAGGAGAAAAAGGGAAGAGTTAAGTTAAAGCTGGGATAGGATGGGATGGGATGGGATGGAATGGGGAATGTTTACATTGTCAAAGCTGCAGCCAATCCGTTGCTACCCCAGCTGGAATTACAAGTGGGTCGGGGGGCAACCGAGTCCTCACATGCAAACCTACCCACCTGGTACCTATGCAAAGCCTACGCCGAGCTAGGCGAAGTTAGGCAAAACTAGGGTTAACTATACGTTAGTCGAACGGGTTAAAATGAATTTTAGTTATCAACGCCTTGGGACGCTTAACCTACCTTGGGAGGTACATGAAACTACCGGGCAACCAGAGCAACCATGAAATTAGCTAGCACTCCCAAATCGAGCATCAATTACCATAAACGAATTGAAGGACCGCCACAAGAAAAGCCCTTTTGAGGCAAAAGACAAGTTAAATTGTTTCGTCTTTTTCTTTTTGGAAACCGCTTAGGGAAGAATCCCGAGAAGAAAAATAGAAGGGCTGCCAGCTTATGTACTTGGGCCGACCATGTGCGATATTGGGAGGTTGGATCACTTAAAGCTAAGTAAAGCTGGGCAAAGCTGGGTACGCCTATGGGGAGACTTATGGGGGTTCCGTTCCGTACGCTGAAATTATTTGGTACACAATGCAATGGCCGCCACTTGGTAACAGTTCATACATACATTAGTTCACATATCTCCAAGCTAAATCCATATTTGGTTCCTATTGTTTTGTCGATCATAGCCACAGAATAAAAACTCGGACAAACGTGCATGACGATAATTCATAGATTTGTTGTAATTGTCCGTGTATGTGTGTTAAGAGGTATACTACCTAGGTATACAAATGCACCGCTGTACTCACTAAATCCCTATTCAGACACGTAAAAGAAAATCCGAAGCTAATTCCAACCTAGGTAATAACGGGATTGTTGATATCGCCAACCGTCAACTGCCAACTCATCGGGGTATTGCTCTACAGTCATTGCTGCGCCTTCGGTGAACCAACCCCAACAGTTCAGCACCGTCCTGTAACCATCTGCCTCGTTGAATGCAGAATCCTGTCATCGTAGTAATTTCTAAGCGATCCAATGATATAAGTATCTGTGTGCGAAAAGGGGGGAAATGCGTAATCACCGCAAAACATCCGGTAGACCAAGGCCGATATGCTAAAGTAATGTACGTGATGCGAATGAGTGGTAAGGTTAAAAAAGAAGAACGAGAAATATGAGAATGAAAAGCGTTGCTTATCAATCAAGTACAGCCCTAGAGTATATACAAAAAGCAAAATATAAATGTCATGGGCGCCGCCCAACACTCAACGCCGTCGTAGACAACCGACATTGTTAGGAGAAACGTCCGTAAACATGCTAAAATCGTTACGCCATGGAATCGGGGAAAGCGGCTAGTCGTTGTGAGCCGTCGGCCCGCCTGTAGAACGGTACCCCGGCATAGTCTATTGTGGGACGGTCGCCGTTGACATTACGGCCCTGTTGAGAATTGGTTGAAAGTTCGTCAATAGAGCGCTTCACAGGCCGAGATTCAATGTGGGGATACGTCGGTCTAGGAAGTGCTGATATCGAGCCGGAACGATCGGGATAATAATTCGGGGCCATCTTCGGGCTTGCAATTATTGAAGATAGCGGAGGTATGGGTCCCACGGACGAGGAAGTAAGTGGCCTAGCAGGTGCTCGCGAGATAGGATAAGGGGCTGCTGGTTTGACAGAGATCGTGGAGTAACTGGAAGAAGATCTTCTCCTAAGATCCTGATCACTAACTGGGGATTCATAATGAGGATAGCCGGGAGGTGCATAACTGGGCGACGGCGGCGGTGGTGGGAAATTGGCATTTTGAGGAAATATCGATGCTGCAGGAGACACAGGAGTCGATTGGCTAGAAGATGGCGTAGGTCCATAAGGTTGGGCGAAACCCCCATTTCCACCGTGTCCAAAATTCAGCATATTCGAAGGAGCTTGGCCACTTTGATACAACGGCGGTGGACCGTATTCAGCATTGGAAGGGCGTCGTGGATGCTCAGGTGCATACGAGGCCCGATCCATACTGGAGTTACTCATGGATCGAGCACGGTAGGCCTCCGGTGTCTGTGTTCTGTGTCTCTGGCGTCGGGCATACTCTTCTTCCGCATTGTTTTCATATTCGCTAGCGGCAGATGCTTTGGTGTCGCGACGTCTCATACGTACATCTCGTCGAATTCGAACCCGGCAGCCTTGCTCAGCAACCGTACGACTCAACGAGGTACTCTCGGTTAATCCAGGGAATTTCTTCGCACTATAAACGATAAAGTCGGTTGACCTAAGGTCCATTCGGTGGTTGGCATTCCCTGCGCTAAGATCTGACATGCCATCATCGGGGTCCTGAAGAGGTGCGTCTCGGTCCTGGTCTTGCTCCTCCTTAATCAACTCGTACAAACTGAAAACCAAGCGGTAGCGGCCTTCGTGACGGACTGAAAGATCTGGGAATAAGAAATATCCAGCTGGGTCGGGTCGGTCGAGGTAACAACATCCTGACACAGGAAATCCAGTAAGTACGGGAGGCGACGTAGCTGCAGGGGTCTGCACTCTGCCGTGGGCCATAGGACGAGCGTGCTCAAGTGAAGCGTAACAGAAAAAGTCGACATTGTAGTCGAATGTGATATCCCTAGCACCTTCGAAATGCTCTCCTTCAAAAACCCTTAAAGTCACAACCGGAGGTGGATCGACTGGTCGACGGTCGGCAGAAGCTGTTTCTTGGTTAGTGACATTTGGAACTTGGCATTGGTCAGAAATGTTCTGAGTGGCATTCCATACACTTGGGTCCGGAGCCACATGCTCTCGCACGTTCGGGCTGCTGTAAAACTTCCAATTGGTACCATAAATGTCGACCACCTCTCGTAATGCGATGCTCGCGAGCACACATTTTGGTTTCCGCCTGAGGAATTATGACATTCACCAGATTAGACTCGGGCTAGATCATAATTAAAATCAGTATATGCAATTAATATGAAAATCCACCAGAACCAGATAATTCCAAATAATCACCCCTTCCCAAAAACCTATCGCATAAAACTGCAGTCAAAGAGAATGGGATTCTCAATAATATTATCGAGTTCGACTATAAATTGCAACATACCTGAATAGGAAGCATTATGGATATTCTATTTCAGAATATAATTTCTTTATAAAAAAACCGCAGGTTTTGATAATGGGAATTTGATGTATTTCCCAAACTAAATCCTACCAGTAATCCCACAGTCCCAAAAGCTCGGCCCGTCAGGAAAAGAGGACCAGAACCAGACAAGCGGAATTAGGTTCAACTTGTTCGTGTGCATATATGAAGAAATAAAACAAAACAAAATAGCTGGCGAAACCGATTAAAAGGAAAACCGTCCAACTGGGTCGAGGTGCGAAGTTTGTTTAGGTAGGAACCCAGAACGCTGGCTTCTAGCGCGAGGCAACTTGAGAACGGTGCGAACGGTCGGAACGATGGCGGTAGATATTTAAAACAGATGACCTGATTATTTTTTTAAACGTTGCTTGCTCCCGGGACTATGCCTCGCTGCCTTGACTCGTGAATGACCGGGATCGACTCAGTTCGACAGCCGGAAGTATCTTTGACTCTAGCCGACGACAAGGTCCACAAAGAAGGAAGGTAGACGGTGCTGTCGAGTTTGTCGTCGGAGTCGTTAGAATAATGGGATGGAAAGTTAGATGTGTGAGGAAAGAGAGGGAAGAGAAGAGCCGGGCCGGGCGCCCAGAGAAGGGGAGAATGCCAGGTGTGTGGATGCTGAGAGTGGGTTGGTTTTGGGGGGGATGGGAGCCTATGACAGGGCTCAAGAGGGCATTTGACAGACGTTTGGCAGATTGGGCGATAGTACAAGCGCAAGGGAGATGGGATTGGCCAAGCTGGCCAAGCAAAGAGTCAACCGGGGGTAGTACGGGGGGAGCACGGGGAGGTACTATAGTACTATAGTAGGCAGAGCAGTAGAGCAAGTACCTTAGTAGTGGTAAAGCCGAGTGGAGATAATTGCATCGGGTTCCCTACCTGTGGGTCGAGTATTACCCAATGAAATAGCGATTCCCCCCACCCATAGTGGACTGAGTGATCCGCCATAATACCCACTAGCTTGTACCCACTAGCACGTCCACTAACTTTCCATCGCTTGTCCCTCTCTGGGAAGAGGTGGGGAACCATTCAGCAGGTCGGGCAGGTTACATTAGGTACACTACCTAGCAGCAGCAAGTCCTAGGAGTTCCAAGGACAAGGGTATCTGGAACATTTCGACCAAGCGGCTTGTATTAGGTACATACCCACCTGAGGTTAGGTAGTAAGAATGGAAGGTCATCCACTCAATTTCAATCCGGGAGCAAATCCCCGAATGGGCTTATTCAATGAAGTCCATGAAATCTCACGCTAAAATACCAGTCCCGTCTCCTTGGACCGGAGACCGTGCAAGGATAGACTTTTCCAATACTGTGTAAAAATTACATGTCGCTTTCTTACATACTAGGTATGTATAATATAGACTTACATAGACGTGCAGAACCCGTGCAGGTTTCGCGGCGATGCAGTGTATAAACCGGTGGAGGGTTCCCAGCGCCGCAGCAACCCAGCCAGCGGATCTACCACGAGCCAGGATATTCTTCATCTGAAGTATTTCTGAACCGTTCGCGTTTTAAGAGATGCCATGTCTTAGAAAAATTTTCGTCCACTTCGAAGAAGCGCCAAAAAAGGGACCTAGTCCTCCCTAACCCCCCTCCATTCCCGCAACCGCGGGTAGAGCCGACATTTGCAGTACTTACTTCCGTGGAGTACTAAAGAGCAGATTAGACCTTTAGGTGATGTTAAATATAGTAAGTATTCCCGTACGCTAATGAATAGCGGCATTGTACAACGTATATTTCGCATTTTACTCGTTTTGCTCGTTTTTCTCTAAGGGAAGTTCAAGTTTGGTCTCTAAAAATGTTTGCTTACGTGTATTTGTTCGAGTAAAAGGGGAGAAAAAAAAAAGAAAATGCCAAGGTAAGCCACACGCCTTTGACGCGGCAGTACATTTAGGTACATCGAACGAAAAAAAAAAAAGGCGTTTATTAATAAGACATCATTTTATTACAACTCAATTTCGATTAACCATCAATACCATTAATATCTAGGTAGCTTTTAGCGAGTCTCTTTATGCTCGTTTGAAGATACCTACCTAGATGTACCTAGGTATATTCGACTTATCAAGTACGTCTAGTTATGTCATTGAAGTCCCGTCAGAACCTTCAATGTTGCGATCAACGCTAGAACCAATGTTAGTTGGAACCAACATACGTTTATTCTTGTACGCGACTAATTTCGTATATGCCCACCTCAACAGCAGATACATTACTTAAATGGCACCTATTCCCTTTTTGTTTTAGCTACTGCTTTTCCAGTGTCGTGGATCTCAAGGGATATATTAGATGTAATATAGCTGGGTATCATGCATGAAATCAAGGACATTACCACATGGCTTTGGATGCATTGCGGGTAGAATGCAAAGTTTCTTGTCTTTTCACCGAAATATGGACTTTACTATATTTACATTGACTACCTCTCGTATATCTGTATCTGTATCTGCATCTATATCTGTCATTGGAAGTTTCTAATAAAGCAGAGTTGAGTACCTAATGTCGAGTACCTAGGCAATCCTAGAGATACCTAATCTATTAAGCAACTATCACAGTGTGGAGATTTCCGCGCTAATTCCTTAGTAAGGTTGGGAGTGCCACCTGCGGTAGGGAACAGTTTGCTTCGGATAGTACTTACCCGTACTTACCCGAGCTAAGGTTGAATGCCGTCTAGGGTTATTTTAAGTGGCTTGTCCCTAAGAAACAACGAATGATGGTGCCAAAGAAGGCTTAAAAGTCGTTCCTGCTTCAGACGTGCTGCGCCTTTCGAAACTTCGGAGTTGTTACCGAGATCATAACTTTTCCCCATCCTTTTCCCATTCATACCTTAAGTAGCAAATGACAAGATGTCAATTCACAATGTTTCCACCTAAAGCAAAATCTGGTTCCATTCATAACTTCGTCAGACAACGGTACATACCTACTACATATACATATAATCGTGGATTGGATATTTCACTTTCGGTGATTAGGCATCTTACAGTATTTACAATACCTTACGGATCCAAACACGTGGGATACCAATCATCATCGTCCACCAAAGACCCCCCCCCCATCACCCATCGGCGCAAACGTGCTTTAAACCCGATAATCAGAAACGAGGACTGAGTGGACCTACATCATCTGATACGTCAATTGGCCCATGCGGTACGTATCTACCTTAGCTACCTACCTAGGTAGGTACTATGTACACATCTGCAGATATGGAGTCAAGAATTTTTAGGATTTCCACGGGCGTTGGAATCGAGTCTTACCCTACGCGAAGCTAACCAAGATATATCCTAACATGGGAGTTCTACGAGGTTGATATCCCCCCCAAGCCCGCACGTCCACGTTGTCATTTTGACAAGCGGCACCTAGAAGTAAACTCGGTGTCATATAACCTACCTGACATCAAAGATAAGATGACGTGCGGTTCTGTTACCAGCCCCTTCACTACTTACACATGCCACATGTGGCCACATATGGCCACATATCTAAGGCAGTTAAGGTTAACTCTGTCAAAGTCGGGGTAGCGACTCTCAAGTTCGGGGCGACTAAAGTCCCAGCTCATCAGAGTGGCTCGTCTCAGGCTACGTCTAACATCGTGATAGGTCATATATAAGTCATTGCACAGCGCTAATACGGCCGAAACCCTGTCGGTCCTTTGTTCTGGTAATACTATTGACTCGACAGGAGCCGGCCCCTAAGTAGGTGAGAGACGTACATAATGTTCTTCATGGCCCATTGTTTTTTTATTACCAATGTGTAAAAACATAGCCTGCCCGTACGTAAAGCAAACCCGAGCTAACGGCACCGGTTCCCCAGAAAAACACATCACGTTTACAAGGGCTTTTCTTATCTGTCGGTAAGCAGCAACTAGTTGTTCTTGGATCACTGGGACAAACAAGACAACTACTTTAGCAAAGCAAGCCCACCAACGTTCAGACGTACTTGCATCTAAGCTGAGTTTCCGTATGTCTAAACCCGCCACCGCTAGGAAAACTAGGTTAGGTTATATCCAGACATTAGGTTAGGTATTCATCAGGTCGTTCTAGCCCACGCGTAAATATCGCTGCGCCGTTTACACTTTCCTCACTCTTGCGCGCGCGTAGCCAAGAAAGTAGCCAACCGCGGGGTCGCCTACCACATACGTGTCGAATAGCTTTATGACGCGGTTATTGACACGATCTCCAGCCGTCATTGATGACAAGTCATCACTAGCAAAATCCCATTGTAAGTCGGTAGAGCGGTCTAGAATATCACCTGAAATATTACGAGTCACTCCGTAACGATATCATCAGAACTTTCTATTTTCGAGTTGCCGACGGTGTCTAGATAATATGCTCCCTGCGCTCACAACTACCTAATATCGTGTTATTGACCACAGACTAATACACCTAGCAAATCTCTACTCGCAAGCCTCTCTGTCAGGGTATCGACTGGAAGATCAATGATGGTGAATTCCAAGAGGCAACTCAAATTATTTCACCCCAACTGCTATCAAATAGCTAGAGCAGAGTATCAAACAGTAAAAGAGCCATACCAAGTACGAGAACGTTTGTAAATACGCATATATTCGACTTCAGTAGTATGGCTCCGAGCTACGTGTAACCTACACCGGCTGCCTACATAAGGATTTTCTATTAAGGAATACAAGCGAAATAACAATCGTCACTAGTAAGTTTCTTTCTTGCCTGCAGTGTAATAGCCTTGTTTGCAACTTTCTGTAGAGAGAACAGGTAGTAGTAGAGCACTGCATTGCTGATTAGAAGATCATCAGCTGTCTGTCTGTCTGTCTTAGTTGTCTTACTCGGCGATGGAAGGTCGTTCCAATAGCCATTTACTTGAGGAAAGCCATGTTCTGGTTAATATTACGCCACCGCATGAACAGGTGACAATGAAATTGATCTCCGATCCCTCAGCGATGCTTGAGATTAGGCTAAGAATTCACTGTGGTGTATCCCGCTTTTTGTAGACAGGCGATAGAACAGATGATGGTTACCGAAGCCGGCATTGGTGGCGGCATTCTCAGCACCAATTCTGTGTCCACACGACTCCGTCTGAAGTCCGAGATGCGGCACGACGGGTTACACTAGATCGACTCCATTTATACGGAAATTACACAATTCAAATGTTGTCAACATCGTTTAATCCAAAGAGTAGTAAGTAATATACTCTGAAGGTGAGCTATCACGAACATTGCTCTCAAACAGAGCAACCCGCTCCCTTCAAGCTAAGGCGTGCCTACCCAATCCAAGCACTCAGCAAAAGAAGCAGAAGCAAAAGGGAGAAATTGCTTTTCAACTCCAACCAAAGGTCGACGCCCCCGGTTATCTGCGTCAGTCAAGTTACACAGCTTCCTCAGTAGCCGAAACCAAGTTTGTCACACTGATCATCATGATGATCAAACAACGCTCTTCAACATTGGACTCGAGCAGCCATGTCTAAATAATGTCCACAAAGTGACTGACTAACAAACGCCGACCCAAAGCAAACAGGACCGGGCATCAACGAGCCCATTTTATAATGCACCGGGCCAGAAATGGAAAGTGACCAACCCACTCACTTGCCACGGCGGGAGGCAATAGGTAATAGGTAATAGGTATCAGACTCCCTTCCAAAGCCACCAACGAGCGTCGTGGGGGGGTGGGCGGCCTACCGAGAAATGTGCGTATCCGGAAATTTCGGTGCTTCACATCCGCGTCCCGGGGAGACCCATGACTCCTGTCTTTCCCTTGCCAGCTCATGATAATTACGGTAGTCCCGCTCTCACGATCAAATCCGCCCTCTCAGCTTTTAATCCTAGACCCACCGCCCGCCCCTTATCATCAGCACCCCATCCCCATGCCCATCCCGAATCGGCCATCCCTCATCTTTATCCTATCCCGCAGCCGCTCCGCCGGTTCTTCTTGCTCTTGCTCTTGTTCTTATTCTTGTTCTTCCTCTTCCTCCTCGACCGCCTGTAGTAGTAGTAGTGATTGCCGTTGTTGTAGCTGCTCCTTGATAGCGGGCGCAGCTGGTGCGGAAGCTGGTACGGCCACTCGAAAGCCGGGTCGAGCCAGCGCTCGGGCAGCCCCGAGGGACGTCACCCGCCCGCGCCGGCCGAGGATGTGCTGCCAGGAGTGGGCCAGAGCGCAGACTAGCGCGAGCAGCAGCACGACGCCGACGATGGCCACCGCCATGGCGACGACGAAGGCTCGCGGGAAAACTCCCGGGACGGGGGTGTCATTGTCATCGTCGTCGTCGTCGTCTAGGTGTTGCGCGAGGCATGACGCCGCGTAGAGAAAGACGACGGGACGGATGCTAGATACAAAAGATGCCATATCTGCGGGATGGCTTACGAGCTCGCCGCCCCGCTGAGAGGGAGGATTTAGGGAGGTGGGTAGGTAGATGTTCGCGTCTAGCCTTCAAGACGCCAGGCCGAATACTAAGGCATGAATACCCATCCGACGCAGAGCGCAGAATCGAAAGATCATCCAAGATAAGAAATAAATATACAAATACATTGAGTAGGTAGAAGAAAACTGCATTTTTGACCGTGTCATCTCTCTCTTATTTTCATAAACCAGAGAGAACCCATTTTACGCGTAGCAAAGAAGCAGAGACGTTTCATAGGATCATCATATTTTTGCCAGCTACTTCGTATTTGTTTCCCCAGTAAGCCCTCCTCGGCAGGTTGTCGATCACGGCGGATACGAGGGGAGAAAACAGGTTACGGAAAAAGTTAATCGGGTACCAAGACATGCGAGCAAGCACCTGAACTTGGGAATTGGGCAAAAATACCTAGAGGGCGAGTTTAAAACCTACGGCACGATGAATGCTTTTGTTTTTGCTCGTTTCTTTCGAAATCAAGGCATCCTCTGCGTGGTATGGTTGTCGATGATTCTCTTATCTATGTGATTTAGAACTCTATTATATCCTTGCTTCTCGTATCTTGAGATGGGTGATACAATATAGGTAGGAGAGCATTTGTTTCGAGTCATAGTTTATGTACCTAATGCAATAAGAGCCTGCTGTTATAGATGATCTGAACGAGTGGTATACGAATAAGATGACTTGCTTAGAATTTGTATCTGGTAGTGGACACAGAGGTTTGTGAATTACATCGTGTATGCAGCTCTAACAGAGAGAGATGATGTATGTTACTGCTAAACCCTATTCAGAATACACCTATATTGGCTCTCGTTGAATACTACACCAAAACTACTTACTAATTTGATAGTATACTTCGCCGTATTTGATCTGTGGAGCATGCAATTGTTTACATAGAAGGGACAGCGAGTTGAGTTGGTGAGTTCATATGAGATTGCAAAGGGCAGAAGAGAAAAAACTAATTACATCGTCGGAATGTGCCGACAATACCCGGTATTGCGTAGTAGAAAAAAAAAGTAAAAAAAAGAAAGGCGAAATATGTTAGTACAGAAGAATGTTTGATTGCATCGATGAAATGTTAGAAATAAATAAATAAATGAATAAATACAAGCTGACTTCGATATTATTATTATTATTATTATTATTAACTGAAGCAAGGGAAGGGAAGAAAAAAAAAGCAAAAAAGATAAGTTGCAAATTCCTTGATAAGACGGGGATTCGAACCCCGGCCCCTTTCGGGAGTAGGAGACTCATTGGAATGAGAGAAGAGATGAACTCTTGAATCTACCGCCATAGACCGCTCGGCCATCTTACCATTTCTTGGAAAGTTGCAAGGAAGCTTGGTGCCTCGGTTGAGATTTCGGTTTGAACATTGCGCTTATATTTTAGCTTTCCTTTTTTTCTTTGTGTGGGTCTAGATGGATGTACGGTGGGGCAATGCCGGCATGAGTCCGACAGGTACTATGTTATCTAATAGTATGTACCTAGGTACTGACTGACATAATCTATTTCCTTGGCCCCGTCTTCGATTCTAGAATTGAATACAAAACACGTTACGCAATGCACAATTAGACTGACCAGATAGTATATTGAAACTCGAGATGGTAAGACCATGCGCATAAAAATATCGGTCTAGGTTAATACCTACTCAATCCCTTAAGATTTCTTCTAAAACTTAGCAGATAGGTAATATATACCCAGGCCTGGCATTAGACTTGATAGCAATAAATTACCCAAGCACCATCAAAGTAAAGGGTCTCAATTTTTGATAACTATACACTTACACCATATAAGCTGTCCTCCACCAACCCCGCTAGGTACCACTCCTACATCCCGCTAAAGTCTAAATAAACTAGCCCTAAATGCCGCATCACCACACAACCACAATATATTAACTATTTACAAGTCTAATCATCACGAATCAGCGGGGATAGCTCAGCTGGGAGAGCGTCAGACTGAAGTACAACTTCATTCTCACATCTGAAGGTCGTGTGTTCGATCCACACTCACCGCATCTTTTTTGTTTTTTCTTTTTCCTGTCTTCGTCCTAGAGAAGCAGGTTTCTTTTTTTTTCCCCTCCTCTTTTACTTCCTGCGCAATGGTTGTTGAACTCCTCTTACGTGTTTGTATAATAGAGTAAAGCTTCCTGACGTACGGAAGCTCAACGCTGCATGAGTCAATTATAGAGGGGCAAAAAATAACTAGTGAAGTAAGAATCATAATACATGTCAAATTTTTATATAGTAGTAGTTTAGTTAGTACTCGGAGATTAATGGACATTGATCGCCCCCGATCTTATATCATCGCCTGGGCTATGGGAAGGAAGTGCGTATGTAGTAGCATTGCCTGCCATGAACTGCGACAATACATATCAACTACGAGGCACTAGGATGCATGGTGACATGCCACAGAAACCCGAGTTCTGCTGTATATCATCCATCATATCGTATATATCCGTCTTTCTTAGTTGCTGTGAGACTCCCCCTCCTAAGCTGTCTAGACTGTTTGTGCATTCATCATATTCATGGGAGGATGGTGCCATAGAAAAGATATGGGAGGGAGGTAGACCATGTATATAAATAATTATATCTCGATGTGGCTACCGTGTTAGAAAGCAAGCTATCATCGTCTATATACCTACCTAGATATCTTCGGATTGCCGGGCAAATTTTAATAACAGACATAGATACCTAGTATCTAGCTGTAAGCGTAACATCAAACAAGACATGTAAACTGTGCAGGAACCATTCGATGACTTCTGAACATGTATCTACCCTATCATTTTAATATACTTCAAATATACCAGTTTTATGTTGGCCTAGTGGATACCTGATATAACGGACACAGGCGTGCGCCTGCGGTGTGGAAGTTCGCAGTCCTTGTTTTATCTACCTTATGTATCGTGAGAATATTTCAAATCCCATCTACGTCGCGGTCTTAAGAATACCTAGGTAGACATCATGAATTAAACCCATCCAGCCAGGAATCCCTTCACTTATATAGCAACAACTAACCAATTGTATACCGAACAGTGAAAGGGGGTATTTATCATTTCTCTACACTACCATTAAGCATTAATAACCTACCACTTGAAACCCACCATCTCTCCCTTCCCCTTACCCCTTTTAACACCTACACACCTATTACTACGAAGGGTATAATTTCTCCGATCCATCTTTCCTAAAACGAGCGAAGGGGTATATATATAGTAATGATCTCGCAAACCGATCCCCGCAAAATCCTAATTCATCCAGGGTCGTTTCGTTATAAGTTCGTGACGATCGTTGCTGCTGGTCATCACAAAGTCGTAAGGCAAATAAAAAGAGTGACAGGCCCAGCCTACCAATGGTTTTTGACACCAAAAACGAGGTTAGGTGCGGAAGGTTTCTAAGAGCGGATTTGCATGTAGTACCGGGCTACTTGTGGGAGACCTGCAAGCGAACGTTCAACGCTAGGCAAGAGCGCCCAATACATGCCGATAAGTACTCCTTTTTCTTTCTTTCTTTTCTTTAGGCGGCCTGTTCGCCGACGACAGGGGCCGTCGGAGCGGTGGTAGTCTTCTCGGGGAATTCGCCGCCTTGGTGGACACGGCCGTATCGGGTGAAGGCGAGGTTAAGCGTGTTGTAGTCCCACTTTCGGGAGAGGATGACGAAGGCGAAGGAGAGGACAGGGACTAGCAAGACATCCAGAAGACCGAAGAAGATGTATGCGGGAGTTACACCAATGCGGTTACCACCGTCGGACAGACCCCAGGCGATCGGGTATAGGAGCCAGAGGAAGTTGACCCATCCTGCAAGGAGGGAGTCTACGATATCAGATGGAGTTAGCTTACCGCTCATCTTATCAAGCTGGCGATGAACAGTTTGGGATGGTACTTACGGTCACCGGCAACGTTGACGCGCCTGGCGGAAGTTGTGCCGTGGAATAGGGTGCTGAATGCGAGAAGCAGCCATGCGACAGTTCCGAAGGCGTAGAAACCCCATTTGTAGTTGGATGCCGTGAAGGCGGCGACAAGGTAAGAGACGACCCTATTTTTAGTTAGCACATCTTGTTGAAGACTTGTGTCGATATCATGCATTTTACTTACCAAGTCCATGCTAATGCGACGTTGTAAAGGATCGTGGCCCAAGAGACACCGCTCAGGAGGCCAAGGGCAATGGTGACGACGGGGAAGCTAACGACCCAGTTCACATATTCGGCCCAAAAGATTTGTCGCGTCCATGGGTCTCCAGGCCTGTGGTTGACAACCGGGATAACCACGTAGGCGAGATCAGAAGCGATGGCATAGTAGGAGATGGAACCGACCAGGAGGGCGATGGTGAAGAGATAGTGGAAGATCTTCTCGCCAGACCGAGCTACGAAGCTAGTGGCGTATAAGATAATGAATGATACAAGGTAGATAGCTGTCGCTGCCCATAACCAGTCGCTACCGTTCACACTCAACTCCTCATCACCAGCTGGAGTGTTGATATCGAGAGCCTCGTTCACACGTCGGAATATGATAGCCATGTCGATGGTCTGTTATTAATTTGATTTATGTTAATATAAACCAGGCAAGCCGGGTAAGTATCGGAAGATTCTTCACTGCCGAAGTGACAGTTGAAATATCTGATATAGTCTTTGGATCACTGTAATTGCTATAATTCGCTGTGCAGCTGGAGCAGGCGAGTCATAAGACGAGGGGGGGCGAGGCTCATAATATAGCTGTCGAGCCTCCCCTGCAAGAGCATCTAAGATAGAAAGATGGAAAGCTGTAGTAGAGTTGCATCATCGCGAAGGCCGAAGACCAATAATTGGTGATGAGTCAATAATCTCAGAGTGAAGCAAAAAAAGGCTAAAGCCGAGATCCGCACGAGATATTCCGTCTATATGATCATATGATCGTAAATTTGTGCATATGGAATCTTCCACAAAAGCCGGAAGGGTGCGGGCGACGGATCAAGACGGGTCATAGTGATGCGTTTGTGGCATGGGCTGGGCTGGAATACATCGTTACCCACACGGAGGTTTACATACTCGGAGCCAAGAGCAGAGGCCGATGGAACGAGCGGTAGTAGGAAACACTAAAGAAGAAAGAAGTCTATCTGCAATAAAGTCGTCTTTGTGATGCATGGTTCTTGAGCCAATGCGGTTGACAATGCTTCAGCCCTGAAGTGGAGAAAACCCACGGGACCCGAAAAACCAATACCACGAGAACATGACAAGCTTTACCGTTCGTTAGCCTCCGCCGGTTCCAATGCTTGTCTGTATTTGTAATGGTTTATCTACATAGTAGCTAGGAGACCTAACTCATAGCGAGGCCAAGAAGAGACGTGCCTAGATCATCTTACAAATTGGCGTTGAAAACACCCAGGTGAAAAAGATTATGCCATCGCAGGAAAGGGTCACGAGAGCGTAACTAACGCCCGGATATGATCACTGATCATCCAAACGCGAGGAATGCTCGGTAATGGCAGTGAGATGTCAACGGCCATGTCCTTTGGTTGTGTCCTTTGGCTGACGGGAGGGCAGTAGGATGAGCTTTTACGGCAGCATCGGATGAGCTAAACCACAAGATGTGCCATCGAAAATGGCGATAGGTCCCCACAGAATGCTCGACCACGTTCGGCCTAAAAAGGGAAATGGGTAGGACCAAATAGAGCTAGCATCATCGAATCAATACCGGAGCTTGCAGGGCTGCGAAAAAAAAAGCTCTTTGATCGCTAGGCTTGGGCTCCGCACCTCCAACGAAGGCCGGGGAGGTCGAGTCTATACTATGGACTGGGCAAAAGTGCATAGTGGCGTCGACTTGACGTGACGTGACGTGATTGTAATGAAATGCATTTTCTGTTGTATAAGATAGATATTAAAAAAAGAGAGAGATTTTGATTATATTATCTCGTTACCCACCTCTCTCCCTAGTCCTTAGTACCGGTTGGCTTTCGGTGAACGAGTAAGTGAGTAACCTACATGTCCTATAGATGATGAGAAGTGACAAGGTAATGAATGAATGTATTGATTGGCGTTGGAGTAGTTCTCTCAATATTTCGATTACCGATTACCGATGCCCTTAGCCAAGACGGTTGCTGGAGTTGATATGAGCTCTGGTTCGTCAACCCTCATTGCTACCGGCCCCCGAAAATTCGAGGCGGGACGTGAAAAATAGTTTTGGACCATTGAGAGCCTCAATTACCTGCAGCTTTTTCTCAAAGCCACCCCCGGCTTTCACGGAAAACGCAACCATGACAATTCATGCCACATGGGCACTATGGATCGAGATGCAACGCTAGGCCAGTCTCAGATGGCGATCAACTGTGCAGGTTGTCACGCCACCGGGGGACCACCAGGGCGAGTCCTTTTTTTTTTTTTTTTTTTTGCTCCCTTCGTTGCTTATTTCTTGTTTCCTGCCGGGTGGTTTATGTTGATAGGTTTGGGTAATAGCCGGCGGAAGATGATGGAATAACAAGCTTGTTTTTGTTTAACTAAGCGGTCCTAAGCGTTCCCGAGGTCCTTCGTTTTACGTTAGGTCATCGGGACTAACTAGTCGGCGACTGCCGAACGACCCGGACTTTTCTTACATTACATATAACCTATATATATGTCAGTACGTACCTTAGGTAGCTGGGTAGTTATGCGTGCCATGTTCTTAGTGGTAATAATCGCATCTTGATTACGAGATCGAATGGTTGCTTAATAAATGTCAATAACACCTTCATACCTTACATACATGTATCCCGTTTCTTCGAGACCGACTCCACGTCTATACTATGTATGCGAGCCACCCAGGCGGGTTGCCATGCAAAAGGTCCATTTTGATGTAACTCGGAAAGAACATCAATTATCAACCTCGCGTATTCTTGCGTATTCTTACTTCCCCATCGTCTCGTTCGATCGGGCTCCCCCTCCCCCTTAACATGTTCTGCATTACATTAGGTATGTTTACTACTACTTACCACCTTAGATAATTTACGTACAACCACGCTCTTTCACTACACTCGCCCGTAGCCCGTGGGGAAAAAAAACGTAAAGGCCGGGTTTTGTTGAATCATTGCTACCGTATGGTATCATATAGGCCCAGCACCATCATCATCATGTATGAGATAGGTAGGTAGGTACCACCCAAGAAACTTCTCACAACCCGGCAGCAAGAAAAGACACACCAATTGTACTACCCACGCCGCTCCGATCATTGGCTCGTATGCCTTGCCCTTTAGGTAAGAGAATTTCTCCGCCCCGCGGACATGGTCCGGCACCCCTTGAGCAGATGCAGCGTAACACCCTCCTCGTCTGCCCGCGCTCACAGAACGGGCGGGTAGCAGCGAAATGCCAAGGGAGGCGGGCGGATAGGTGGTGTTTGCGCCTTTTACTACCGGATCGCACGCAGGCTATATTGAATGTCGACAACGGCACACTGAAGCCGGGCGGGAGCTAGATTAAATATCACATAGTCGGTAAAAATGTAAAGTACAACGCGTCATGACTAAAATTAACATCTTTCCACTGTTAAAAAGGGGTATGTATGTTATATACAGATATTTCTCCCCTTAAAACGCCAGCACGCCTTTTCCCCGAAGAAAAAAAGGAAAAAAAAAAAAAACCTTTGCATACAACAGAATCCTGCACTCCCGCCCCGTACATATCGTAAAACCCACCTAAAGCAGACTGGTGATACCTTCCGAACGTAATTCCTTCATCGCGTCCGCTGAGAGAACCGGTGTGCCTGCCTCTCATTCTTATACAAGTCTTCGCACATTGTTAGGTAGGCTCGATAAACGCCGTTGCTACATGAAAAGCAATATTCTGTAGAAAACAAACCCATCTCTTGTGACTTAATATGCCGGTTTCATCTGCCACAAAGCAGTCTTTGCTCGTTCGCGAACGTCGAGATCGCCGTCACCCTCCTTGAGAGACTCGAGTTTTGTCAGGAATCCCAAATTCTTTAACTCCTGTGCCCGCTGAGAACATCCGGGGCCATCGCTGGCGTTGTCCTGCCACGTCAAGTTATTAATGAGGTGGCATAGCGCAACTCGCACTTCTTTGTCTTGACTATTGAATAGCTTCTGTAGTTGCTTTAGCAATTCAGTCTGAGACACTACTAACTGCCGGTGGCGAGGTATGCTGGCTGCGATGTGAACCAATATGTAGATGACTGCTACGATAATTTTGGGCTTGGGAGGTGCGATCCGTGTTTCGTTACCTGTACCGTCTCGCCGGCCGAATGGGTGGAAAACCTTAGTTCGTAGCTTAGAGGCAAGAATCTCGAATAAACGGTCTTGCCCCAAAGTGTTAAATAAGAAGTCGATCATCTCCGTTGTGTCGTTCAGCGAGTCTGTACTACTGCCCGAAAGAGCTCCACCGATGAGATTTCGAATAAAATCAAGACCCTGCTCCTGAATCAACAAGTCGTCCTTTCTAGCTCTGTAAACGGGATTTAAATCATTCTCCCGAAGTATTTCTAATTGCTCTTCTGCGTCCCGCAATATGCGGATATCCGTATGAGCTAGGCTTGAGGGCGACTTATAGAAGGATGTTGAAAGCCAGGCGCGGGACTGGTCGTCAGCCATGCCCATATCTATATCTTCATCCATGCCATTTAGTGTATTTTGAGCTGCTTCCCTATCACTCCGCGTCTTCGCCGAGTAAAGCGCCTCGTCTTCAGTATCGTCGCATATCAGTCGGACTAACCATCCGGATCCGAGTTCTTCCACACATCTCTTCTTGAGGTCGATACTTGATGCATGCACTAGATGCTTGAGCGCCCAGAGAGCATTCAAACGTAAAGTTGCATTATGCGAATGAGCATGTCTACATAATGCCGGTAAAATTCCAGCTTCAACGAGGGACTGTGATATTGTGATTAATATTGACTGAATATATTTATTGGGGATAATGGTACCTACCTCTCTCATTGGGCTGAAATCCGTAACGAGGTTGCAAGCCAATGCTGCGGCAGCAACCCGCACCTCAACATCATCATGCCGAAGGAGTTGCAGTAAAGGCGTGGATACCTCGTGATCGACTAAAGCCGTGCGAAGAATATTTACCGAACGTGAGAGTATACGGACGGCATAACAAGCTGCTAGGACAACCGAAACCGGATTGTCGGGGGTCGGTGTTAGGGAATCGACAATATGGTGAACCACTTCATGCTCAATAATCGCCTTTCGATACTCGTCCTTAAAAGTTGCCAACGCCCCAATAGCTTTTAGCGCATTCTCCCTCAGCTTGACTCGATGGACTAGAAAGCGGTGCTGACCCTCATCTCCCAAGCAACAGTTAGGGGGCACTTCACCTGTCGAGTCCGAGCTATTCTTACTCAACGCCCAGGACCATGACCTGGCAAGCGGAGGAGGGGCGTCATAACTCTCTTTGAGTAACTTACACACTGTTTTCACTGCGTTGCATTCGAAGGCTGCTGCTTGTAACGGCTCGCTATCAGTGATAAGACGGGCCAATACAGCAGGTGCCTCTTCGACTGTATTGAGCATTGAAGCAGCGTCCCGGCTGTAGCTATTGTAGTCGATATTCTTTATTTTAGCGTCGACCTCCTCGAGCATACCTAGGAGAGCCGGTACAACAAGTAGGCCTAAACTTGCTTCTCTCGTTGTGTAAGAAAACCCAGCTTTAAATAAAGAGGTTAAGATAGATGTAGCCATCAACATTTCGCTTCCGCTCCGTGACCTTATCAGGTGAATAAGCCAAGGCACCAAAGAGCTTTCTGCTTTTTCACCCTCCGCGTCGTCCTTGGAAGCTGAGGCGTCTTCGGATGGGGTTCGCGACGTTGCAGCACTTTGAAACTTGGATGTCGATTGGCTACTGTGACCTAAATCTTCACGGAGCGTACCTGATGATGGGATGGTAGTATGGCCCGGGAATCCGGGTAAAATTTGAGGAAGGAGTAAATCCATAGGCTCAAAATTCATATGTTTCGTCGGCGGCCGCTGTACGCCAGGTAGCTCCATCGGTCCTAAGGGTAACATCGGAGATTTGCTCGGATCTATATTAGCAACTGGAAATATTGCTAATATCGAAGGCGAGTAAAGTAATTTGCAAGCGCGGAACCGAGAGTCCCCGATGATAGAAGCAATCGCACCTAGGACCCCATCTAAGTCACTGGCAGGGGTAGCAGGAGCTGGTATGAAGTCTTCTAGGCCTTCAAGGCGAGCAATGATCTCGGCCCCGGGAAGAACTTGCCCTTGGGCAACCACAAAGCTCGCCAGCTTTGTAGCAAGTGCATCGAGGATGCCCTTGTTTAGTAATGCTAACTGGTGACGTTGCTCGCGGCAGAGGTCCTTGATCAAATGCGTAACTATGGATATTTGGGCTTCGCTATCGAAGTTTGGGTTCTTTTGTGAGAGGATATGGAATAGAGAATCTAGAGGACCTTCGGCGAATAATGTTTCGGCAAGGGACTTGGTGGTAATCGGGGAGGTCGGCGGAGCATAGGCTGCTGCTGCTGCTATATCTCGTACAACTCGAAGGGCGGCTAGGACAATCTGAGGATGCCCGTTCTGGAGATAGGAACTGTCTAGAACAGCTGGTAAGGCATCTACCGCGTGCAGCGGCGAAAGAAAGGCTGGCCCAGCTGTAGGATATGTAGTGTCAGCTCAGAAATTTGCGTGGAAATACGAGCAATCACTTGGAAAGGGTATATTAGGAGACACATACCATTCGCAAAGCTAGCAAGAAGCTGTAAAGCTTGTAGCTTGGCGTTGTCTTCGTCTGTGAAGGTCGTTAAAGTCAGAAAAGGCGGCCGCGCATCTTCACTCGCTTTGGGGGTGTTTGGAGTTATGACCCTAACGATAGGACGGAGGACGCCGTGTCGAACCCAGTCCTCTTTCTTCTGGATATGACCGATCACCTCATTCTTCAAGTACCGTAGAGCGGCGATTTGTTCCGGCGCACTTGCATTGAGCTTTGCCAACACCGATTGAGGATCAAGAGCCATCGATGATTAATATTTTGTATTGAACTTCTATTAGAACAAGGTAGAAAGGGCGAGTATCAAGCTCGCGCTGTGGTGATACTTAAAAAAAAACGCAACAGGATTATAATTTATCAACGACGGACTGTTGTCGCGAACGTCGGACGTGTACAAGGATGAGCGGGATGCATAAGGATAGGTAGGATACGGGGACCGGGGAGGCTAAGCCGACGGTACGTACTCCGTTTATTCCATTTAAATTCTATGGGTACCTTTGAAATCTTACATAATACAAATACTCTTCGATATGAGACAATGCTTATGTAAACTGACAAGACGATGGATGGTCTTTGGAAGGGGCAGTCCAGACAGGTGGTCCAGCTGCCACCACGTGTGGCATAGCGGCAATGGAGGGCGGTCTACTATAGGTACATAGTACTAGAAGAAATAGTACTGGAAGAACAGGTACGTTGGTAATAGGTAATTCACCTATTCCCGCATGTCCGGCAAATCGGCAGTAGTTTGGACGACCTGGAACAACTAACGAGGCTAATCACTAAAAATTAGCAATACTTTTGCTTTCTAGAGGCTAGGCTACGAACTAATAAGGCACAAAAAAGAACAGTTACCTTATCAGAGTGTTACTTACACGTATTTTCCTCCTTAGTATTTGCCCCTGCCCCTGCCCCTGCCCCTCCCCCTCGGGATTTTTACCGACTAGATATGTATGATACCAGCATAAATATATATTTAGGTACCTACCTACCTGTATGTAAGTGCCTACAAAAGTGATTGAATTGTATAAGTGCTAGTTATCTGGGATAATAAGACATGTGTATACTTAGCTTCCAACTATCTAAGCAAGACCTGATCCTTATACATGTAGCATACCTATTCATAAATACTTATATTTTCATGTAGGTACCTAACCTAACCTAACCTAACCTAATAAGCATTAGCTATTAGACCGCTAGAGGTACAATAGTTTGGCTGTTTTAAGCAGCTAATTAGCTGATAATCGAATAGAAAAGAGTTTAGACTTTTAGGTACCTAGGCAGAATCGGCGTCAAAAAAGATGCCCCATCCCAAACCCAAATACAATTATACTACTACAACTTCAATTAAATGTAAAAAAGTCAATTTTAGGTCAATTTAATATCAAAAATTATTATAAGATAGCTTTAGTATTATTCTGCAGGTTTGCAATATATTAAATTAATATGTTATGTTGCTAAAGCGTTATTAGCAATGAAAATAAGATTATGTTTTGGAATATTAGGTATTAGCTAGGGGGGGCATCTTTTTTGACGCGATTCTGCTAGGTACCTAACCTAAGGTAAAGAAGACGGTAAAGACCTTTAGGTAAGAACCTGGATGAGACCCGGTGGGTGGGTCTCCACATAGGTATTTTCTTGCCCCGAACAAATCAAAGTCGTACTTTGAAATTTGCCCTTCTTCTTCTCTTGGTGCGTTCTCGGCCTTCCACCAACCCTCAATCCCTCAATCATGAGTTCGAGCATGTCCCACCACCGCCTTTTACATAAAGTACAATTCTCGTCAGCCCTTGGCGGCTTATCACCTAATGGATATATTGTTATATAACTAACTAGAAACAAAACTCCAACTATTCACTTACGAGTAAAACGAACCATTCGACGATATATCAAGTAGTTGTGCCTATGAACGCCCAGATCCATTGCGGCCCAAATTGCGACCCTTGCGACCCTTGCGACCCCTGCGACTGCAAAAACGAGGCGGCTGAGACATTATGACGCCGTGGAAAACATGTTAACTTCGTCGCCGTCAATACCAGGAGCTACAAGTGCATCACCTAGAACTTTTCACTACGCGACGTCTCGCTCTCCCCAGCAATCACCCAAGATAACAGTACCATTGCCGCGCCGCCAGTCCAGACACTCTTTATCGCATACCTCGCCTTCGACGCCATTACGATCTCCGTCGCTCTCCAGATCGAAGCAATATGTTGGAGTTGATGCAGCTACGCAGTACTCACCTATGGAGCCCTTCGACCCCACGGTCCCGTTACGGTCTGCTCAAGTATCGGGACCGAGGATATCGAGCTCTACGACATCGACGGTAACGAAGACGAGCCAGACCAAACAACAATCCTCCGCAGATAATACCCCTGGGCCAATTTCGACACCGAATAGCTCTTCCAGAGTCGAATCCCAGACATATTCCCCTAACAAGAGACGCAAGTCGCAAGATCCCATAGCGATCGACCCGTCTTCGTCGGTAGTGGCCTCAAGCCAGCCGAGCTCCCCGAAACGGTCAAAACCCAATGAGTGTCCTCCCAAGGTGCTACCCTTAAGATATGATTTGTGTGATAGGGAGGATATGGTGGTCCTAATCTCAAACATGCTTGGGGAACTGATCGAGACAAATGACTCGCTAGCCATGAAAAGTGGTCATCTTACGAGGTTTCATTCCAGGTACGCTACTAGTAGGTTCTATGATGGAGTTGTGACATTAACTGTATATCCAGGACGGCGCCAGGTATTTCAGTATTAGACTATCTGCAGCGGCTCGCAAAACACGCTACGCTTACTCCTCCTCTTCTCCTATCTATGGTATCCTATATCGACCGCCTATGCGAGGACTATCCCGACTTTACTATTAACACTCTAACGGTACATCGATTCCTTATTACCGCTGCTACGGTGGCGGGCAAAGGTTTATCAGATTCGTTCTGGAATAATTCATTCTATGCGCGGGTTGGGGGCGTAAAAGTAGCAGAATTAAAGCTACTGGAGCTCGACTTTCTAACTCGAGTGGATTGGAGGATAGTCCCCAAACCGGAATTACTAGAAGCATATTATAAAGGCCTTGTTGCGCGTTGTGAAGGCTATGTTCTGGAAGGGGATCAACCATCTTGATCTGACGAATGCAACTAGTTCGAAGGGGCAGGTTGCTCATAGATTATGAGTCGAAGTGAGATATGAGGAATGGGCGGTTAGATGGCTACTATGGGGGAGTGAAGTTGGTTGCTCGAAACGCTACACGAAGAATATTCAACCTGGGAGTTTTTTTTCTCTTTCCTTTTTCTTTTTCGGGGACATGGGTTGCATTTGACGCCAAGAGCGCGGTGGTTGGGTTAGTAAGGGTTATTTTGGATACCTATTAGACGGCATCATGTTAGTACCGTCGGGCAGAACCTAGGACATACCCCAATGATTACGATGTTCATAGCGAAAGTAAAAGAAGCTTAACAGGACATCAAAACCCAATGGTGGCGTATGGATGCTATGGTGTTGCATCTATAATATAGCAGCTTACTACCTAACCCAACCTAGGTAACTAATAAAACGAAACTCTTCTTTTATTTTATTCTGTACTTCGGAATTCAGTTAAGCGAGCATTAATTCCAAACTTCATAGTTCGATGGGATGCGATGTAAATTGCATTCAGGTACCTATGTATAATTGTTGAGGCTCAATCAGCCTTACTGTCTGTTATCGGGAAACTGAAGGGCTGAAGGGCTACAGGCTTACAGCAGGGTTGATTGTTTTTTTTTTTTTTTTTTAGTAGAACTTAAAAAGAGTGGGGGGAACCAATGGCCGACGAATACGGAACAAACAACAATTCTAGACCAACGCCTAAATTACCTGGCTTAGGTCAGGTACTTACAACCTTGAAACCCCTCCAACCAACACTACAACATCATTTCTGCTGCATCGTACCTGAAATATCACCTAACATAACACGGCCCATGAAGATCTCATCGGTCTTCTCTGGCCTCGCGGCCCTGGCCCTGGCGAGCGCAGCTAGCACCACCCCCGACCGAACCGTAGCGATATACATCCAGCCCGTAACGGGGTTAAACTCGCCCGCGCCCGCGCCCGCGCCGCTGGCCGAGATACGATACAACCCGGGGGCGGCGGCGCCCGAAGCCTCGATCGCATGGTACGAGGCGCCAGAGCTGCCGGAGGAGGCGCGGCTGGTGCGCGTCGGGGTGTACGACGCGGCGGGCAAGCGGTGGGCGTCGTCGACGTCGGTGGCGTCGGTCGACAACTTCGGGAAGGGGTACTCGCCGACGCTGGTCCTGTCCGTAGACCAGAGCAGTAGTAGCGGCGAGCCCTTCGGCGTCGCGCTCAAGGGCGTCCGCATCGACGCCGGGCAGACCCGCGACTTCGGCCCCCGCGCTATGCTGCTCGTTACCGAGCCCGGCAGGCAGCCCGAGCTCAACAAGCCGATCGTGCTCTCGCCCGAGGGGAAGACGGTGGTGCCGGAGGAGAAGACGTTCTTCCAGAAGTAGGTATTTTTTTTTTCTATGTTATTCCTCCCGGTTTCCAGTTATTGGTATTTTCTTTCCGTTTTGCTAACTTGTGTTTTTTATAGGTATTGGTGGTTGATAGGTATCGTGGTTATGATGACATTGAGCGGAGGCGGAGGTGGTGGCGAACAGAGCAAATAATAGGTTAGAACGATGCATTAGACAGCAGCTACATACGTTTGATTGGGGGTTTGAAGAGATCTGAATTTTCGGGTTATATGGGATATCTCCTTGAATGCTAGAAGTCCTGTTCGTCTTCCCATCGCCTCCTCCTCGAGCTCCTCTAGATTCGCTGTGACCAATCCCAAATAACACTGGGGGGAGAGCACAATTCCATCTTAGGTAGGATAAACTTTATAACATTAATATCAAAACCATCTATCTAAGACAGGTATTTACTATATGTGTCTCCGTAAAAAGGGAAAAAAACAAAAACAAAAAGGAAGACTTGTTAACATTTGTGTATCCGTATTTTGTACCTAAGTACCTAATTCTGCAGGTCCTGTTAGGTACCTCCTAGGAAAGGTACCTACTGGTCCGGTACTGTAGCGTCACCAAGGCAGTAACCACGTTCTTAGTCCCAAACTGCAACCTCCTAACGTCCTAAAAAGCAACCAGCCAATCGCATCAACATATAATCAAGAATTACTGCCCGAGATGTACTAGCCTTCCCATACTGGAGTGAGGTCTGGAGTAGCAGCTGAAAGTTTGCAACCCAGCAACCCAGCAACCCGTGCAGTAGCAACCAATTAAACAACAACCAAACCCACAGGTACCTTTTTCTTTTCTCAGCGGTCTACATACTTTTTTTCCACCTTTCCCAACCCACCATCTGAAATCCGATCGCGCTACTTTACTCTCTTGCGACTTTCGGATTCACACCATCGTTCAATCCCACCTACCCGTCTTTTTCTTCTTTTTTCTTACCACTCGTACTCGCACATCTACACACATACGTAATCCTCCTCGAATCTTCAGTCACAATGGCTAGCAACAACGGTGTTACCATCCCCGAAGACACGGCCGCTTCCAAGGCCGAGGAGACTGTCCAGACTAAGGGCAAGGGCAAGGCTCCTGAGGAGCAGGCTGACACCACTATGGAGGAGGACGACGATGATGACGACGAAGAGGAAGAGGTATGTTTATTTTATCTTATTTTTCTCCCCTACTAAGTTCCATACATATCATTACGGAGCAAAGCTAACATTATTCTTCTAGGGTGAGGGCGGTAAGCGTTCTTCTCCATGACCAGCAGCAACGGTGGTCTACCGTACATTCCTTACTAACGCAATCCCACCCAGGTGACGACGATGCCGAGGACAACCTGGACGAGATCGATCCCGGCAACATCGTAGAGGGTGGTCGACGTACCCGAGGCCGTGTTATTGACTGGGCCAAGGCCGCGCAGGAGAACCCCGCCGAAGACGACGACGACGACGACGAGGATGAATACGAGCCCGCGGGCGAGGAGAACGAGGGCGACAAGATGGACGAGGACTAAATTGGTTCTCACACGCACTCACACATACACACCGCCTTCCGCCCCGCTTGTGTGCGCCCAGCTAGTTGGATAAGGGGACGAGTTCCAACTGGATTTGAGCAAGCTTGCCTGTCAATTAAATCTCCAAATATCCTCAACGCATCATCATCATTACTTTGTTGTTGTTGCCCCCCTTTCGGTCTCTTGGCGGTTTTCGTTACCGGGTCTACTGATTTCGGGCGTTCGATAGTAGAAAAATACGATCACGCGTTTCCAGATAGGGAATGAAGAAGTCCCTCCCCCAAAAAAGCCGATGGTCGAACGGAAAATATAGCTCTGTAGCTTAGGTCTATCTGCCACGATTATTACTCCTGACTGGCGGCCTGGCATGAACTCAGGTCACTAATATACGCATGAATACAAGAAAATGTTAGTATATTGCCACGTTCTAGATCTAGATCTCCGTAGCCCACAACTCAGGACAGATATCGGTGGTCTGGTTGGGTTAGGTATCTTAACCATACCATACGACTTACGTGGAGCTAGTAATAGGGAATTTACCAATCCACTTGCCCCGTACCTAGTAATATTTGGTTAAGTTAGTGCGGAATTATTCCTAATTTATATAGCCATTAACCAGTGGCATTGAAAAGTATAGAAGACGTTGCTAGATTTTCAATTTCGCGTTGCTAGTAGTCACCAGTATCTATCTATCTACTAGCCTTATTATTAGAAAGGCATGATGAGCCTCGTTGCAATAAGAGTTTACTAATAGTGTCAGGAATTAAAAATAACTAGCTTGTCTCGGCTAACGTCGTATCAAGACCTCCTGGGTTCAAATCCCAACGGAGCCTCCTTTATTTTACCTAGGGTACGTACCTACCTACCTTACCTATGTAACAATAATCCTACCGGGTGTGTGTTTTGATATATATAGTTACTCATAGGCTATCTTGATCAGGCTTGGGGTAGGTGACGATGATGAGGGTGTTGGTGGTAGCACCATAGTGATGGTGTCCGATTTGCTATGTATATTTTTGTACATCATTCGGAATAATCATGGCAATCCAACTTGTTAACATATCACGCCATTGCTATGTAGTTGCTTCATATCTTATGTAGGTAAGGTAACAGGTATCTAATCATACACATGAGTATATTGCCGTCCTCTAAGGGCGACGACTGTCGAGATACTCACTCCTGGGTACCTGGCACCTATTTCACACCATATGTTAGGTAGGTCCGTATACACAAGCGGGATAGGCCACGATGCAGAATAAATACACTATTCATCCATACGACAAACCTGCTCCACCGATTCCCGCCAATCACTCTCTCCTACGTGTGCTTAAACGGGCAGGTTTCCTATAGATCAGCAGGATCAGCAAGTAGATACTTGCAATACTGCTCCTTATGCTAACAGTAGGTACGCATCCGTTCGGACGCATTTCACGATAGTAAATAGGTGTATCACTCCGCCAGGACACATATATCGGCGTAGCCCCGGAAGCCTATACCAATTACCCTAGCCTTAGGTATCGATTGGGATCTACAAATGTCCTGTGTTAGGTAGCCTTTACCATCAACACGTCGGCTACGTACAAAGGTCGACAACCGCATAAGAGGCACATGGGCCTTATAGTAAGTAGCGTGTTGGTCTACTGCGAAGATAGATGGTCCTGATACCAAAATACATACATAACAATAATACTCAACCTCAACCCTTGTTAACGACTGAATTGCACAATCAGCAAGATAAGGAGTAAATTCAATAGTTGATATGTTGTAGATCTGTTTATATATAAATAGTCATATATATGCCGACCCTTAATAGAGTCCTTTCATCAAGACGTTTCTATGCCTCCAAACGCCGTTGCTCATGCATCGCAGCTAAATCATGCCAATTCGTCAAATCTCCCCCAAAAAACAACCCTGGGTATCACAGCCCGTTTCTTTCCCCGGGACACTTTGGCAAGTGTCCGAACTCCTCCGTACTCCGCTCGGACTTTTATATATATAGTATTCGACGCCCTCGTCCAATCTTAAAATAACCTCCCTTAAGCCTTAGTTTTTTGAACAACATTCGACAAGGCCGTACTTCCGTTTCCGAAGCCCTCACTATATATCACATTGTTCCACCAGAAGCGGCACTCATCCAGCAACCTCTCAGTCACGTTGCCGGTCTGCGCCGGGATACCCTTGTTTTGGCGCCCGCGGGCTCCCATGCGTTCGTCATTACCCTGCCCGAACAGGGCAAGTTTTCCTACGTTTTCTGCGTTGTTGGCAGTGGCGGTGTCGTTAACGAACGGGCTGATAAACTTCGGCCATGATAACCCAACCGTATCGTTCCGACGCGGCCCGGAATTTGGATCCCCAGTAACGGCAAACCGGGTCCAAAATCCGTTCATAGAGTCTGCTATCGTTACGATCCCCGGATATTTGCCAATGACGTCCATCTCGTGTGCTATGATAGGAGCTTCGTCGCCGTGGTCTGCACCGCCATGACTGTTTGATCGAGCCGCATAATGATATGTGTAGACGGGACCGGCATCAGCTGCCGTCGAAGCGAAATGTGCTGTCTGTAGTACTGGACAAATATAGGCGTAATGCCCATACCCGTCATCCAACCTCCAAAACTGTGACCCGAAGCCGGTAGGTGGCCGAGTAATGTATAAGCTTTCCCCGCGTGGGGTACTAGGATCGGGGTATAGCGAGTCTAGCGTTTCTATATCTGTCTTATTGAGAGCCGGAACAATGGCAGTCATAAGCGTACGCAATGCCGACGAGTTGCTTGCATGACTTGGGACGAAATCGGCGCCTTCGTCTGTGTTATATCCCGTCATGATCGGGATACGTAGTACGTGCCCCTTCTCCCAAGATTTTATTGGTAGGTCTGGTATTATTCCCCCAGGACCGTCAATGGTAGGCTGGAAGGGCCAACGTATACTCGGATTCCAATGCGCAAATACCGTGTGGGACGCAGAAACGATCTTGTCTAAAGGAAGAGCACGCAACTCTTCGAAAATCTTATCGTCAGTCGTATTCTCTAATCCACAGTTTGTAAGAAATTCTTTGAATTGCTGTTCATGAAGCGGATGAGTAGGGTTGAAGGTAGCACGAGCCGTTGATCCGCCAGATTCAAGAATCGCCTTTTGGAAAGGTGGAGGTGCTGAAGTTAGCTTATTCGCAGGCGAGTACGATATTAGGTGATGCCCAATCTTGAGGTAATGTTAGTATAAATCAGTCCGTGGGTCGTAGACAGAACGTTGAGAGTAGGAGGAGGAACACTTACCGAATGAGCACCAGCACTTAAACCCATTATCGTAACATTCTTCGGGTCGCCGCCAACGTCAGCTATGTTGTCTTGTACCCATTGAAAAAGAGCCTGTTGGTCCTTCAACCCTATATTCAGTAGGCCTTCCTTTGCCGATACTGCGCTTGGGAGGAAGCCCAAAGCTCCAACTCGGTAGTTAAAGCTTATACCAATGAGAGGTGTCTCGGACCAGGAGACAAACGTCATCATATTTCTTTCCTGGCCACTTCCACCGTTGAATCCACCACCGTGAACATAAATCACTACAGGCAACTTGTTACCATCAACACCAAGCTTTGACATTTCGGCTTCAGCGGTCGCCGCATCATCGCTGAAATGAGGTCTAAAAATATTAAGATTTAGACAATCTTCGCCCTGGTTCTTCCCACCGTTACCTTGGGGGCAGATATGGCCAAAAGTAAGAGCTCGTTGGACATTACGGCTTGTTGTGTCATTTATTGGCTGCGGAGGTCTAAAGCGATTGTTTCCAGCAGTTGACTGCGCATAGGGTATTCCGCGAAAGACTTCGATGCTACGTGGAACGTTCGGGCTTTGCGCTACAACCTCGCCAAGATAGGTCCCTTGCTTTAGTTGGACTTGATTTGTTTTCTGGCGCATTGTTAGTTCTCATGTAACGAAGAGGGTCGGCAGTATAGGATTGTGATCATGTAAGTTATGTATAATAAAGAATTGTCTCCCTTTTCTCACCTTAAATGCTTCATGTAAATGTCCTCTATTATCCAGCCATAGAAGAACGGCTAGAAGGATAACGACGACAACGAAAAAGAAAGCAATGAGGGCCTGGCGTGTCCGGCTTGTACGAATCTTAGTCGTTTGAGTTTGTAACCACCGTGGTATCCTAGTGCTCGAGGGGTTCTTGCTATCTAGAGGCTCCCGACTTATTATCGTCTTGGAGCTCTCAGTGTCCCCGAGTGAATTTTGGTCCATGGTTTCTTGGCCATGGGGCGGGAGAGAGGGGGGCTTGAGAGGATCTATGGTAATGATAAAGACATTTTTCTTCTTCGGCTCTGCCATTTGACTATTCGGATTTCCGAAGCTTGACCCTCTTTCTAGGATGCAGCTTGGGGAATAACTGCGCCGCCTGTGCCTATTACTAGAGAGCGGATATCGAGGCGGAGCTTTTGGGAAACCAAGGGGGAATCCTCCGTCGTCCAGGGGTCAAAAAGCTTAACAGGCAGTTAGGTTGGTAGATTGACGGCAGTAAGAGATAGGTATTCCCGATGCAGAAAATGCAGACCTTTTATCCCTTATATGTAAGTAATGTAAGTGTGGCCTGGCACACGATGGTCTTGGTTGTTCTTGGTTAAAATACGTAAGGGAAGCTAATAAGGAAAGGTGATTCAAAATCGGCAATTCACTCCAGAATCAGTCACATCGGGGTTATTCATGTCATTATGTACCTACCTGACCTATGTTCCGGCGGCTTCGCGAGACCCTTTGGTAAAAGGTTGTGATGATTATTTTATCTATTTTGAGTCTGGGCCTGCCTGGACTGCGACTGGGGTGGAAGAAACAAAGCTGCAGGACTTCCATATTAAGTGATCGTTGTACTTGTACGAAGTACAAATTGTGCCATTTTTGGTACATGGGAATTCTATGCGTTGGCGCTGCCGTTCTCGGTAGTTCAGGTTCAGAGGTACATTCCTATGCAGGGCTAATAATCAGATGGAGTTTTGCTAGGTAGTGAGGCAGTACCTAACCTTCTCATTGTCCCACCATTGTCCCATTATTTATCCATTATCAAACAATTATCTGCTAGCAATTGAGCCTTTTCCCTTCCAGTATTGAACTTTGACACAAGGAGGGAGCACATGCGAAAGTTCGTATTAGGCATGTACAATGCAAACTATGCAAGGTACATAAGTAGGTACCTACCTGCCCTAATGCTTTATACCTCATACCTTAGGTAATAGGTCTTATCGGCTATTGGATCGGTTTCTTTCCTCTAAAGTTACCGTTACACAGTTGCAGTTACACATGCCCCTTTGACTGTCCTACTTCACATCCATTGTGCCACCTGCAGAGTAATACATTTTGCATCTTTACTGGTATGACATAAAGTAGGTACCTTGTGAGAAGCAAGCCATGAGGTCCTTTCAGCCTTTTCAAAAGTGTCACGATCGTGATTGATGACTTTCAAACCAAGAGTGCGAACTCGACGCCGTCGGATGCTAACGATCCACGGATTATAGCAACGGTTTCCACAGATTCGATCACTTGGCAAGAGAGGGCGTCCCGTATTCCTGGGCCAGCCTGGCGTTTTTTTGTGCTATGCCCTGCCAGCCTGCTTAGGCTGTTCTAGATCATGGACCGTTCCTGCTAATTCATAGCCTACCTGAGTGGACTTGGGTGGATTGTGGGATGCCAAGCGAAATTAAGCTTTTGAAACCTGACCAACAGGAATCCCGTCCAGCCCACCAGCCCACCAGCCCACCATCGCCCATAAGCTTATTGCCCATACGGCATTAGCGCATCGACTAGGTGGTAAACCTATCACGCTGATGGCACGTCGCACGGGGAGTTGCGCTCCAACCATTGCTCGAGGTAAGAAGCCCAGCTGAAGAATTCACAAAATGTCTGAAGTTGGTCCCCCGTGACACCGCAGCTGTTGTTACTGTTGCCTACTGCTACTGCTACTTCTACTGCTACTACATCGCCATTGTTCCAAATCCCTCGACATCTTCGCCCGGATTAGCATCTCACAAGAACCAAAGTCGGCCCTTATACCCGGTGCCCGATCTGGGAGATTAAAATGCAGTGCAGCAGCCAAGGACGTAGCCGCCTTCAAACTTTCAACGGGTGATATTCAGCGCGTGCTAGGCAGTTCTCATTTGCGATGCAATGATTTTCCAGGCATGATCGAGGCGATTCGCTACTGATTAGGTATTCGCATCTGTAGCGGAAACTGGATAACCCTTCCCCCGCCCCCAATTCAAAGCCGGCAATGGCTCAACTTACTCCCCACAAAAGCCGACTACGTACTTACCTAACTTGTCAATGGCTTCCATCACTGATAAGGTCGATATCATAACCGTTTTCTAACCAGCCGTATCGCCGATGATATTACCATCGACGGTCTTGCGCGCTATCAGCACGTGGGTTAAGATGTCGACATCAGCTTACCCCCCACGTCCGAATCTCACGTACTAAGTTTAAGCTATATGAGCAACTGTCATCATCCCCGGCTTCTCTTTACCTCGTATTGTTGGACTACGCTATTGGGTGGAACACTGCCCATTAATTTAAACATCTTACCATATCTTCAGTTCTCCTCTTACCGTTTGTATGTTGCCTAATGCTACGTTCCCTGACGATATCTAGGTACCTGATCAATGGGCAGACCAACAGGTCAAGTTGCCAGCTTGTACAACCCGCCCATAAGTCAACACAATCATGTCATTGACTTGATATAAGTAATATAGTATGCGGGAACACGGGAGCTAAGCCATGCCATTGGTATCTTTACCACATGTAGCTGGCTATATTTCTCCAGCGGGATATCTAGGTACCTACACCTATCTACGAAGCGGGAACTTGTCAGCTGCTGCAGACTATGACTATCCCCTTCTTGGGTCTATCTTCCGACTTACACCATACCGCAATCCGTTACAACGCAAAAAAAGACGCACATGGAGCTAGCTAGCTGCGCCTCGACTTGGCAACGTCGTGCAACTCGTATTGTCGAGACCTAATAGTCCCCGATACATTAGGGTCGTTGGCGAGCGAGTCGTCGCCGATACGTGACCCCTTTGACCGCCGATTTGGGTCTAGTAACTGTTTCGCTATCGAAGACGCACGCGAACATGCTTGACAGCCGCGACACTGTCCATTTTGAAGTAATGGATGTAAGGTGATACGACTTTAGGTACCTTAGATATGTATGATATACGTAGTGCTGTCTAGGTACCTACCTACCATACCGGCAAAATATGGGTTTGTGGAATGGTTCTAAATGCGGAATGCTTTTGATTCTTGGCATTTTCTAGCGTTTTTATTAGTGGGGGAATGAATTAAAGCGGGGAATTTTTAAAAAAACGTGGAATTACAAGCAGAATCATTCCATAAAAAGCAAATCATTCCAAAAATAAAATAAAAAATAAAAAAATATTTTTTAAAAATTACAAAAGTTTAATATATAATAGGTAAACTCAATTAGAGTTTGATTATGTAATATTAAATAAAAAGAAAACTTAAAGAAAAAAAATTTGAAAGCGGTGGGTTCGAGTGGGAGGTTCGAGTCCCACTCGCAGTAAATTTTTTGAAAAATCTCTTTTTTTGCGGAACCATTACCATGTGGAACGATATAGAATAATTCCAATGATTACCATAGATTTAATGTTTTAAGTAACTTTGTAATCGTTCCATATATTTACATTTTGCCGGTATGGTAGGTAATGTCAAGTCTGCCGACGAAAGTGGTTTATATGAAACCCTGAGTGTGAGTAAGTGGGTATCTTATATATACCTACCTAGGTACCTAACCTAACCTACCTAGATATACATACTAGACGTGTATTCATACGCATATTTAGGGTCGGTCCTATGCGAATTTCCAAAGCTCTCTAGGCTGTCTATTATGCAGTATCATACGATGCTATACGCTTATCGTGCAATACATTGAACATTCCAATTATATACCCTAATAAAGGTCAAGTCCTAACGACGAGCTTGATCTGTGAGTAACCGCAATTTATGTTCCCATGATGCCATTAACTCGGGGTCTAGTAACCAACCCACGGCTGATTGATCTGCCAACATCACTCATCGTCCGGTTGAAACTCCTCGATTCCAAGATCCCGTGCCATAAGTCAGTCCGGTCTCACAGCACTAGCACAAAGGCCAAAATACCTAGTCCGAAGCACAGGTCAGATATATATATCAACTCCAATAATAGGCAATAACTCGACGTATAGTCTTAATTAAAACAAACTGCATTATCTTCAATCAATGCATTAAAGCCAATAATACAAGTGGTCGAAAAAAAAAGAGAAGCCGACACCAACCTGGAAGTCTGTAGCGACTACACCTATAACTACACCTATACTCGAATAACTCCCCAGAAAACTACTCAGAAACAGGCTTGTAGTAGTACCTTAAACGCCGGGCTCAGTGCTTTTAAGACTCCCCCCCTACCGCACTATGCAAATACACATATTATTACACTTCAGTCCCTCCACTGATATACCCCTAATGAGCAATGTTTGTCTTGCTAATATGCATTTTTTTTAGGGCATGACGTCGCATAATGAGGAGACTGTCATTCTCTTCCTCGCTTGCTTCGCCGCCCACTCGCGGCTCTGCTGTCGAGATCGTTCGGCTGCTTCTTCTCGTGCTAGTTTAGCCAGCGCTTCTCGCTCGCGTCGCTCACGCTCTCGCTGGCTGGTCCAGGAATTATCCCGTTTGTAAATCTCCTGACCGCGTAGCCTCTGCTGTTGTATCTCTTCCAGTGACACCGAACTATGCTGTGCACTGGTGCTATCCGTTGTAGAACTTGAACTACCACGAGGTGGCTGCGCTCCGGGTTGATGTGGCTGTAGTCCTCGGCCCCGCGGTTGGCACTGGTTGTTTGTCTTTGAAAGAGGAGAGCGAGGCGTGGTCTTTGCGGTTGTTGGCGCGGTTTTGTTTGAAACCTGGTGAGTCGAATTTTCCACTAAATGTACTTTACTTTGTCGAGCCCGGCTTGCAACTGTGTCACGAGGAAATGTACTGGGTGTAGTATTGATTCGAATTGGTCTGGCCTTGAACTCCCTTCTCTTCCGTTCCTCTTCTTCTTGTGCTTTCAGCTGCGCTTCACGCTCTTCCCTTTTACGACGAGAGATGGCTTCTCCGGGCAACTCGAAGTTAGGCCGTGTTGGCATCTTGGTTGACTTGGAACGTCTGAGGCTTGACAGAGTTGGCTTCGTTGCTTGTTCCGTGATTGCTTGTATCGACATGCGGGCCTCACGTTTTTCCTTTAATTTTCGAGCCACTTCGTCTCCGGGTAATTCGAATGCCGGAATGGTGGGTTTCTTGTTCGATTTGGGTGGCTGTTTGGGTGGCAGAAGACTCGCTATGCCTTTGAGAAATGACCTCTTCGGCGGAGCTTGGGTCACCGGTTTATCCTCACTCTTCAATTTTGGAGGATCAAGGAAAATCATAGACGCCGACTTGCGAACAGAACGTCGGGGTTCGCTGGTTGACTGTGCTCTCGCAGAGGTAGAGCTGCTCAACAATGAAGCAGATCGCCTCGGTTGGGGAGTTACAGACCGTGTTGTCTCGGCGGTCGTTACAGATAACAGTGGTACTAAGGGTTTATTTTCCGTATCCGGGCTCTTCGGCGAGATGATTCGCTTGAAGTGAGCTGCCTCATCGAATGCCTCTAACTGTTCTTCAAGTTCGTCGAGCGCCTCCACGGAATCCTCGATCCTAGCGATGGGCTGTGCGGGTGATCTTGGGATAACAACCTCAATATGTCTATCCTTGTCCCTAGCTGGACTAGAAGTAGGTGTGGGTTGTTGGGTTCCATTGTTTGAAGGTACTGGTTGTCCCTTCACCGGCGTGAGGTGGTTGCGACTAGGTTCTGCAAGAGCCATGTTTTCTCTCGTGGGCTGTTCGTCGTCTGCTAGAACTTCCTCTCCAGGAGCCAATGGTGTTACGAGAGCTATAAAGCTGGTAAGAGCATCAGTTTCAGTTGGAGTTCCGCGCGCGGTGGTATCGCTGATAGGTAAGAGATTGAATCCAAGGTGTATCGCTTTGAAACTTGGCGTACTACCCGACTCTGTAATAGAAGCTTCAACAGGTATTCTTGTAGAAATTATTCCTTCAAACCAGCCCTCGCGATGTTTTGCTAATTGCTCTTTGGCCGAGGATATGCCTTTACGCGCAATCTCGACTAGAGTATGACCCGAAAATTTCTCAATTGCTAGGGGGGTTAAAATTAGCACACGGCTAGATGTGAGACATTTTAACACACGGCGTTAATATACGCACCTGAAGCTGGCAGTCTGAAGCAATATTGTGTCTTATTAGAAATATTGGGAGAACTGGATGTACATGTGAGTGGCGACTCGTCTTCAGGAACGGTTTCGAGAACGTCAAAGGTATTAGCAGCGATTGCTGGCCTTGTTAAGCGACGTCGACCCTGATTCTTTGGGTTATCGCACCAGTTGAGACTGGTGTTGCAAGTTTCTGTGTCTATTTGAAGCTTCTTTAAGCAGCTAGTAAGTGAATCAATTGCTAGGTTAGAGCAGACATTTGAGCGATTCTGGAGCTGAGAGATAGAAATATCACGAAGGGCAGAGCCATTGGATTTGAAGCTGTCGTGAGAAGAGTGGTCACTTTCACTGGAGCTCGTATCACTTAGGATACTTGGGATCTCGACTCTCGAGGGAACAACGGCCATCTCGATTGGGCGCGATTGGCCAATAGTCGATAAGTACCAAAAGTGAGGCAGCTGGGGGTTGCACTGCCCAGGGGTCCGAGCAAGGGTTTAATGAGACTTATTATTTGGATCCGGGCCAGTGACTTGAGAGCACGGTGTCGTCGATGAGCAGTGTGTTAGCGGGGGGGTAGCTAAGGTAGCTATTGTCACATGTATCCCCTGCAGATTAGCAAAAAGCTATTGTTACCTTTTCTTTCCAACTTGGTAATGTGGGTGAATCAGCGAATTAGATGGGTATGCTATCTGGGGAATGATTGTTTGTTATAGAATACACTAGAAAGAAATCCTTATGTTGAATCTTGAGATTCTATTTTAGGATGTGACTTGATGTTGCTTGTTGATAAATAAACAAAAACACTGCAGAACGTTAAGCTAAGCGTACTTTCCCTGTGTAATTACCTAGAAAACTTTATTTAATTGCAACTACTATGTAGGTAGCTTGATCATTTAACAGAAGCAAGCGCTATCGGTTACTGCATATACCTGTAGATACTAGCTACCAGCTATCGTCGAGGTGTAGTGTAATTACAGGTAGGTTAGGAGGTAATTACCTAAATAGCAGTAACCTACGTCAGATGCCTTTTTTCTCTTCCCTTCTTTGCTTTCCCTGGATAAAAGCTGACTAAGAAACGCGATCTGACGCGGATCTGCACGCGAATTCCATCCCCCCCACTTTCATTTCGTGGGGATTCCCTGCAGGAGCTGCATCCATCCATACCTACCTACCTCATGTATCTCCATATAGACTTACTGCACGGGTGCCACAGCCGTTGGGCTTTAAATCCTCACTCATGCAACTGCTGGTCCTATAAACATAAACCACATGGAATCGCAGATATATCCAAGTGCTCCAGTCAGCCATCATTACACGGCTTCACCGAACAGCTAATAGCATGTGCCGTGTCCCCCATATATCCCATTATCTAGTGGGGTGAATTGATCTCTTTGGCTGCTTGACTTCAAGAAACCGAGGATGAGTTATGCTCATTCTCCATAATCCCCTCTGTTTGGGCTTGTAGTGCCGGCGCATGTTCCGTTGGTATACGGACTAGAGTCTGCGGCAGAGGTAAGGTATCATCCTGGGCTTTGGATGTAGTCTCCTCTGCATTTTTCGGACTGGGCACCTTGGCTATGAGAGGAGTAGTTAATACCATGCAAATCCCTCGAGTTGAGTTACTCCATATGTGGTGGATATAAGCGTACCTGATGCCATGTTGATAGCTCGTAGTACGTTATGCCAGTTTCCTAGCACTGTTGCGATGGCTGTCACGCGCAGTTAACTAACCATAAGCTTTTAACATATCTATGTGAACGTGCATACCTTCTGTTCCATCCGAGAGAGTAGCAAGCTTCTCCTCGAGAGCTTCCATCTGATTTGCTACCGCCGCGCTTAGTTCTCGCAGTTCCTTTAGGTTTTCTAGTTCAGCCTTTTTCTCATTGACTCGGGCGAGAAGTGCGCTTGACTGTCCTGCGGACTGAGCACTAGGATTGCCCGACGTGGAGGAGGTTTGACGTATATGGTTCGGTAGCGTGCGCGAAGAAAACGCCATGGTAATAAATCTTGGTAGTTTTCGGGTTTATGAATACCTAAGTGTACATAAATCCGTATGGCTAGGTAAAATCTTTGGATGATTTTAGATACAAGTACGTATGGAAGTAACGCAATCTATCAACGTACATGTATATTGGCAGGTGGCAGGTGGCAGATGGCTAGTTGCGACGTGCACTGTTAGACTTGGACATGCGCATGTGTAAATGTCTTTATCGATAAGTAGCAGATTGGCAGATTGGCAGATTGGCAGATTGGCAGATTGGCAGATTGGCAGATTGGGTACCTACGTATGCCTTCGTGTGTGTGACCCTGTCAAGCCTGTACAAAATTGCTGGCCATAATTGTGCGTTCTATCCCCCATTCGGAAGTTTGTTGACATGCACTGTGGAGTCCAGCTACCTTGTCAACCACCTTGCCAACTCATTTCCTCGACCCGACCAAAACTTTTGATTTTCTTTTCACCGCACCATCAAACAGCAACTATCGTCTTTGCATGCTGCTGCTTCCCACCTAGTCTTGTCTTATTTGCTGCTACTAGCTAGACCCTCATGCATGGTTACTAGACTTTTCAGACTACCGTTGCAAATCTTCAATATTTCCAATTCCCTCCACCTCATGTCTTTACAATGGCACGACTCAACGAGCCAATGGTGTCAACAGACAGCGTAGAAACGCGTATGTCCCTGGTCACAGCTTCAATGTTGTCGATGCTGTAAACTAATAATTCTTACCGCAGTGCGCAGAAAGTTCTTGCGACAAAATAGAGATATCGCCCGAGTGAATTCAACTCAGTCCCTTAAAATACGTACCTTAGAGAATGAATGCGTCCGCCTGTTATCCGAAAATCTTGATCTCCGAGGTCAAATACTGCGACTGCAAACAGAACTGGAAGATAGCAGAGCGCAAAGGATCGCCAACCATGCTCTCAAGATCAAGGAGAAAATGGAGGCTCAACTGGCAGAATGGGGAACTATGCTTGCGAGTTTAGGACATGAACCTGCCCCGAGAGTTCGATCGCCTAGAGAACCGAAGAGATTGAAGCGTAGGTCAAGCATTGGACGTGTCAGTATGTCCGAATGGAGGAGAAGAGATACTGTAAGCTCGATGAAAGACTTGGAAGCTGCAGCTCTCCAAGAAGGCAGACTTGCACCCATCTGGGAAAATAAAACATGTCCACGTGAAACACTCAAGTAAGTTGTGCCTTTCGGATCATCGTGAGTAATACTAATTTTTATAGCCGAGAGGAAATCCTCGCATTACGCGCCGTCGTTGATGACACCGATGACTCTCCAGATCTTGGACCCCCACCAGTATCACGCTACGTCGACGAAGATCCCGTCAAGATTGATTTACCCCCGAGACATGCCGCATCCACTTCAGATTATGCGTCTCTAGAGAAGGCATCATCTGATCCCCAGCTTCAACACACGGAGTCAACGCCCTCTCCTAAGAAGGGTAAAACGATACACGAATCAAGCAACGATGCGCTTGACAATCATAATGAGCTAATTGAGCCGAAAACCATGGACACAGCCGAATCCCAACCTACAGCTCAAGTTACTAAGGCCAACTTGAAGAGAAAGTTGAGAGAGGAGGATGAGAAGGAGAATACCGTGATGTCTAGACCACCGACCCGAGGTATTGACATAGCAAAGGACCAACCGGAGAAAGTAGCAAACCTCAAGACCCATTCCAACAGGCCGATTAAGCTTCCCTCAAACCGGAGGGATATCCGGGACAAATCATCCGGCTCTGTAACTCAAAGGAAACCATTAGGCGCCAAAAGCACAAACGAGCATCTTAAGTCGCCCAGAAAGGCAGCGAAGCCTTCAGCTTTAGAAGAAGTCACCAAGGAAGATCTCAAGAGAAGAAAGCCTGCATCAGTTGAGATCCCGGTCCCTGAACCACAACCAGTATTGGTCGCGAGTGTAGAAATCGAAACCGAGACACTTTCTGCGGAACCCAACTTAGCCGTCCCCGAAACGCCGGAAGCGACACCGAGGGAAGAAGCACGGGATACACCCCCTCCTACTGATATTTCCTCTAGGGGGGAAACATCGCGAGGTAGCCGTAGAGCTAGGGCAGCAGTTAGTTATGCTGAGCCCAACCTTCGGGATAAGATGAGACGGCCTACGAAGCAGCTCTTCGACGCCGTGTCAGGCGAGGGCAAGCACATTCGACGAACTAGTCAGTCGAAGAAAGAAGAATTTCCCTCTTCTAACCCATCATCAGTAGTTAAGTCCGAGGAGAAGCTAGGATCGTGGAAGGATCTTCCATCAGATCGTAGCATGTCGAGACCGAGTCTAGACGTTATGGCTAGTCCCCTAGCACGAAAGGGCTCGAAGCCCTCTTCTGACGACTTGTCCACAAGCGTATCTGGTTCTAGCGGCGAGAGCAATACAACAACGAAGACAAGCTCCCGAACGGGTGGTCGCCGCGTGGACGAGATCGCAGCGCGGGAGGCTGAGGTAGCTAAAATATTTGATAACGAGGCCGACGTTTACGAATTCCCTAGTTCGTCACCGAAGGACGGCTCGAAGCGGACGGCAACAACGGAGGAGACTTCCAAGAAAAGAAGTACCAAGGGATCCCGCCAATCGAGATCAAGGCGATTATCATCGATGGCCCGCGAAGACCTGGAGCTAGACGGGGAAAGCCAGCATCACGAGAAGGGACCGAAGAGCGGAGGTTCATCCACGAGACGAGCAAGTATGGCCGCATCGAAAGAGTCGAAAATGGATATTGAAAACACAGGACATGACAATTCCTTGGAGGGAGACAGCTTAAAATAGCTCCTCCTCCGGAGATCTGGATACCTCGGTACGGGACAGGGCCTCGATGAGGCGGAGGAGTATGATGTTATGAGATGGAAAAGACAAAAAGGACAAGCCCTGCTGCACTGCACTATGATGATGATTCGTACGGTCGTTTTGCGCGAAATTTACTTATTGCTTAAGAGGGAGGGTTATATATCGTTTAAGTAATCACACAGGTTTAGAGCAAAGCGTCGAGCTTCTCTTCATGAAGCCTTGCTCTGTTATCTTTTCACGGCGTTTGGGGTGTAGACAGACGGATGGGGAAATTCAAGTGTACTCAGGATACCAATCGATCAATCAAGTCTTGTTTCTCCTCGTTTCATTCCGGGTGGTGCGGTGGTGATTACCTCCCTACCTGCTATATATCATTTATCGAGGCTGGGGGAAAAAAGGGCGACCTGCTGGTGTTAGTTTTGATCGTGTCTATCAATATATTTCTAGTCCACTGGTTTGTCATGACGCTCTGGGGGGTATTCATTGATTCTAGTTAGATATATCCATGCACTATCCATGCACTCCTCTTTCGTTTTTTTCTTCTTCTTTTAATAGGTAAGGTATATATAAATATTATGAAGACCCGCCTGTCGTGGGTTCTACGGGTTTGGTATAGGTTACTTTTTCCACGGCGACGTTTTCCACCCCGTTTTCGTCTTTTCGAAGTTGGTAGACGTAGAGTGTGAGCGATATACCTTGGACCTATAGTATTTTGTTGTTAGTTAGTATATAGTTGGTTGAAAGCGACAGATTGTAGCCCTCGACTTGTCTGTCTGTATCAGACACCTTTTCCCCTCCCTGCCTCCTTTCCTTTCTTTAATAGATATAGATGATACATATAGAAGAAGAGCTCAGCAGGTTTTGTTGCAACTTACATCCATCAAGCAGAAGCTCGGGGTCATCTCCTCGCCGTCCTTGGTCCAGCCGGTGGTGTACGCGCCGGTGGCGCTGCCGGGGTTGACGAAGAACTTATCCATGTACTCGAAGGCGTCGAAGCGGTGGGTGCCGCCCCAGCAGAGGACGTCGACGTCGAGCTTGTTGGCCTCGGCGAGCAGCAGGTCGGGCTCGGTCGAGACCAGCGTGAACCCCTCGACGAAGCCGATGCGCAGCGACCCGTGCGTGACGACCTGGGACAGGGGCAGGGAGGTCGCTTCCACGTCGAACCGCCCCTTGACGATCTTCAGGTCCGGCGCGATCGACCGCAGGTACTCGTACGTGTGCTTGTCCGTCAGGTTGCCTAGGCATAGCGTCTGCCCGATCTTTCCCGGCGAGAGAAGTTTCTTAAACTGCGAAATTGAGGGGGCGTTAGCAAGGACGCCTGGTGGGAGGGGAGGGCTGGGGAGAGGGGGTGTATGAAGTTGTCGTCGTACCTTTTGCGGTATGTCGAGAGCGCGGTCGGGGATGTGCAGGTCTCCGATCACCAGGATGAGGAAGGCCATTTGGGTGAGGGATTCTATGCAAACGCGCAAGCTCCCGGGATTTCTGAGATTCTTTGTTTTACAATCGATTCGACGACGAGGAAAGCTCGGGTGTTTGATCCTACAATGGCGGCGTATACGTATGCGTTAGGGACTGGAGTGGTAGTGCGATTCGAAGACAGCTCGGTCGGAGGTATTTGGTGTATTTGTTCCGTTTCGTGGGTATCTATATCTCCAAGTGCTTGAGTAAGGTCGCACGGGATATGTGCTCACATATTAGCAAAATACGTGTAATTGGTTAAATGAAGCTATCCTCAAGTTCCGCAAGGCTGACGTTGACACTTGAACTTCTCAGGAACGGGAGCTTTACAGGCCCCGCAATTCAAGCTATTTGGGTACGTACCCCAGATCGACATATACATTGGTACCTACGGATTAAGGTAGTACATGTTTTAGCGCTCACTGCTATTATAGTACCTACGTACCGGGAAATCTTATTAAGATAAGATCATCTCATCTTAGGACGTAATTTCCGTTGCTCTCTTTACGTTCTGTCTTGTTTCGGGTCAATAAAACGCGGCCGAAGACGGAGGTTAGGTAATAGTTAACATGGTACCTACCTAGGTAGGTAGGAACTCACTTCTAGCGATAGCTGAATTCGAAGAAGGTATCCCACCTAATTTCATATAGGGTAATAGGCGGTGGTGGCTTACTAGGTATATGCGATAAGACCTTTTCAGGTTTAGGCGATTAGCAAATAAAATCCTATAACTGCTTAAAACATCCCCAACGCTTCTTCACTTCATGCCGCTTATATCATTTTGTACCTACCTAGGTATGGATGGTTTCAACTTATAAGTGAACTTGAAACGCATTAAACTGGTGGCATTTTTCCTATAAATTTGAAACTCTAGTGGATATTTCTTACAATAGTCTACTCCAATAGCTATCATTTAAAAAGATAGTTCCCGAGATTTACGAGTCAAGCTCTACCTACAGAATAACTAAACCCGTCCTACGTTATAGTAGGCAGGTACATAACCAAAAAAGCTGGATTACTCAGTGATAATACGGAGAGCTGCCGGAGCCGTGGTCGGCAATATGCCCCACCGTCTGCTCAACAAGGCAAAGACACCTTCAACTACTTTCACTACTTCCACTGCTTCCACCATTTCCAACCCCGCAGCCCGCGTCTCGATTATATCACGACACTTACTAGGCACCGCTCAGTCCCCTTCGGATCCTAGTTTTCCAAGCAATATCTCCCCTCCAACTCAGAGCCGTAGCTTTTCTTCCTCATCTGTCAAAATGTTATCTCAACCCGAACACCCGACTCTGCTCATCCCAGGCCCCATTGAGTTCGACGATGCCGTATTACAGTCCATGAGCCATCACAGGTTTGTACCGAATAGCTAAACCCGGCGCACTCTTATACCAACACACTTCTCTGACATACAGCTACTAGCGAGTCTCATGTCGGACCGGCTTTCGTTGCTACCTTTGGCGAGGCATTGTCGATGCTGCGCCAGCTCTTCCAGACTACTTCACCCTCTTCGCAACCTTTCGTCATTTCGGGGTCTGGTACGCTCGGTTGGGATTTGGTAGCAGCAAACTTGGTTGAGCCTGGTGAAGATGTCCTCGTTCTCAGTTCTGGTTACTTCAGCGATGGCATCGCCGACTGTCTTACAGTTTACGGCGCTAAGGTCGATTTTCTCAGAGCGCCCGTCGGCAGCCGACCTCAATTACCCGAAATCGAGGAGGCGTTGAAGAGCAAAAAGTACAAGATAGTTACAGTGACACATGTCGATACATCAACAGGCGTTTTGAGCGAACTTCAGAAGCTTTCCGAGACAGTTCACAGAATATCACCTGACACATTACTTATCGTGGATGGCGTGTGCAGCGTGGCCAGCGAAGAGATCGACTTCGACGCGTGGAAGCTAGACGGAGTAGTAACAGCAAGCCAAAAGGCTATCGGTTGTCCTGCGGGATTGTCTATATCAATGTTTAGCGGCAAGGCGATGGACGTCTTCAAGGCGAGAAAGAGCCCCCCGTCATCCTACTATGCCTCTATGAAGAACTGGACGCCTAGTAAGACTAAAAACCTAAGGCCCGCGATGATATGAATAGCATATGCTAACCCGTCACGTAGTTATGCAAAACTACGAGGCAAAGAAGCCTTCGTACTTCGCAACCCCGTCGCCGCAACTTGTCCGCGCCCTTCACACGGCATTAACCCAGATTCTCACTAAGCCCCTCGCTGAAAGGTTTGCCAGGCACCGGGAGGTATCAGACAAAATCAAGAAGGCCGTAGCAGAGCTTGGTTTGAAGCAAGTTGCGACCAACCCAGACGACCAGGCCCACGGCATGACGGCTATTTATCTACCTGAAAATGTGAAGACCACCGATCTACTCCCGAAGCTTGCCAAGAGCGGTGTTATATTTGCTGGTGGTATCCATAAGGAAATTGCTGCCAAATATGTGCGCTTCGGACACATGGGTGTTAGTGTGGTATGTCTACGACTTCTCCCGCCACGATCGAAGATGATGACAAGAAACTAATCGTGATTAGACCGATCCTGCGAGGACAGATATCGATAAGGCGATAGCTGCACTGAAGAGTGGGCTTGCTGAATGCGGATATGGAAAAGCGTAGAAAACCCGCATGCCCCGCCCCGGGATACTGAGGAGAATCGAACCCGGTGCTCCAAAATAACCCGTATTTTTCTTCTCGTGACAAGTCATTTTCGGAGAATGTGTTGGTGCTTGGAGGACGGACATAAGATCACATGTTCCCAACGAGGCCGCATGATTAGAAATGAAAAAAATGAACACAGTGTAACTATTCCGCAAAGAAGGGGATAGACTAGAGGTTCCACTTCGCGGGGAATGGAAGGGGAAAAAAAGGGTCGATTTAAGGAAGCATCGGAGATGGGCTTTGCTCTATTCGGTTGAATTGCATGATTTTTTTTCTTCGGCCACGTCACATCCGACTACCCTATTCTCCGTCCTTCTCTCTTGGTCGTATAGGAAGAGCTGGACCTGTCACTTATCTTCGGGAACTTGCGTTAAATCTCTGCAACCTCAGCGGCCAAGTAAGGAACCCGAATAGTCATGTTTCTCCCATGTTCTGCTTGATAATCCTTACCAACAAAAGCGGCTATGCTACGGAACTAATATTATTCTTACGTAGAAGACGGTATCTCTTTTCCTAGAAACAGCCGCAGTTAAAGTAAACTCGAAAGGCTGGATAGTGAAGATTCCGGAGGGCACGGGGGTAGGTAGTATTGAAAGGCCGGGCGGGTACCGTTGACCCGGAACGACGGGTCCTCGGTACGTAAGATTAAGTACATAGTGCATTCTAGAGCCCATATAATAAGCGTATAACCATCACCGTTTCTTGAGCAACCAAGGAAAAAAAAACAATACTAGGTACCTTGGATAGACGTTAGAGTCGCCTTACGTTACGCGCAATAGAGGTAACAATTACAGAGAGTATAAAGAAAAGGTAGCTACGGGATGTTATGAATAAATAAGGGTGGAGTTCGTACGGTAGCAAAATATTTTCATATCCGAAGCAGCGGTGAGCTTTGCAAGCAACATTTTCAACTTCCCCTCTAAGCCAAGCCGGACATTTTTAGAATTGTACAAGCACGCGCGCAATTATCGGCAGTGCAGGACTATGTACGCATTTTATATGCGCTTATTATAACACCATAAAATCCTTTCGTAGGCAATTTCGCTTTAGTAGCCCGACGTCATAGTCGTCTGTCTCTGTTATTTTGTCCTCGTCCTACAGTAAAAGCAAGACTTGGCCCAACCTCGGGATACGATATCTGAAAAGCTTAATCGCTAAAATTGGAGGGGTAAATTCAATTTGGACTGGTTGGTAAATAAATACCTATCTACCTCCTAGGTAGGTACAGGTAGGTATGTAGACCAGTGTGGTTTTATTTCGGAAGCCTTGCGTTCGCCGACCAATGACATAATTGTGTTTTTTAACATCTGATTGGTTTCCCGCAGTGTCTAGTTGACGCTGTTAGCAAAAGAGTTTCAGCCGCTAGCACGTCTTAGGTACTTCATAGTCACTATAAATTTATGTGTAAGTAAATGTACAGGGCCACACGTCGGCGCGTAATGGCTACGCTCATCTAGGGCCTGAGCCTTGCTACTTATTACAGGTACGTCCACATTGTACATCCTGCTAGCTACCTAGAGGCTAGACGAGCCAATCTACCTAAGCTCCCTAAACAACCCCCCTCCCCTCAAAAACCCCACCACCAGACTTTACGCAGCAGCCGCTATCATCTCACAGACCCGTCACTTGGTGCCTCTTCGAATTCTACCTACTACTACTGATACCTATTTTTTTTTCAACAACTTCTTCGGACAATTCTTTACTCCTCTCTACCTACCAAACTTTTCTCTACAACTAATACCACCTCTAACTAGCTTTTATTCACAACTCGTGCACGTCATTATCAAAGCTTTCAAACGTAATCACCAACTGTTTTTATTCCGACGCATAGTAAAAGCGAGGCGCGCAGCCTACCTCGTCTCTCCCCCGCCACCCCATTCGAGATGGCGCCCACAATCCCAGAGCTGGACCTCATGGTTCAGTCCTTCTATGAAGGTCGCGGTGAACAGGTTAGCTTGTGCTTCTGATTTGTCACTAATATCTCTCTTTCAAATGAAAAATATGTCCTCGAATATGAGCTACTGACACTTTGCGTTCTCCCCGCCTTCAGCAAAAAGCTGCCCAAACCGCATTAAACCAGGTATGTGATGCGCCATATGCCTTGCACGCTCGTGCTAGTACTAATATGCGTCACGTATAGTTCAAGGAAGATCCCGACGCATGGCTTCTCGTCGACAAGCTCCTCTCCGAGTCGAGGCACCCGCAGACAAAGTGTACGTCGCACTAGTTCCACAATAAACAAGATATCAACACAGGGCTGACGGGATTACAGATCTTGGACTTCAGATATTGGACAATGTTATCATGACCAGATGGAAGGTTTTGCCTCGAGAACAATGCTTAGGTTTGCCGCCTCATCCTATTGATAGTACCGCCGTAGATCACACCTTCGCTAATTCGCAGCACAGGAATTCGCAACTTCGTAGTGAACTTCATCCTCCAGGCGTCCAGTACAGAAGAGTCGCTCAGGACTCAGCGCACTCTGTTGAACAAGCTTAATCTAGTTCTAGTCTCTATCTTGAAGCAAGAATGGCCTCACAACTGGCCAACCTTCATTAACGAGATCATCTCGTCCTGCCGATCGAACCTCTCTATCTGCGAGAATAACATGATCATTCTCCGCCTTCTCTCGGAAGAAGTTTTCGACTACTCGGCCGAACAAATGACCTCAGCTAAAACTAGAAACCTGAAAACCACCATGTGCAACGAGTTCTCGCAGATCTTCCAGCTATGCCAGGAGATTCTCACCACCGCAAATCAGGCAAGCTTAGTGAAAGCTACGCTGGAGACGCTACTACGGTTTTGTAACTGGATCCCGCTCGGATACATCTTCGAGACGCCACTTATCGAGACGTTACGCACGCGATTCCTCGAAGTCCCTGAATTCCGTAATGTCACTCTACAGGTACTTACTGAGATTGGCGGGCTTGTGACTGGGGGACCGGGACAGCCGAACGCATATAGCGAGCAATTGGTCAAGATGTTCGTTGACGTTCTAACGACTATTGCAACGATCGTTCCCTTGGATCTCGATCTAAAGAGTACTTATCCCCAGAGTAACTCTAAAGATCAGGAGTTCCTTCAAGAATTGGCCCTCTTCCTGTGCAATTTCTTCGGCCAGCATGTTGATGTAGGTTTGGTTCCAAATGCAGCTAGAATCTTTGCTGACATTGCAATTAGCTTGTTGAAAATCTACCTAACCGTGACTTTCTCACGCATGGCCATTTCTACCTCATTCGGATTTCACAGATCGAAGACCGTGAGATCTTCAAGATTTGTCTAGATTACTGGCTCAAGCTGGTACAGGATCTGTATGAGGAAATGCAAACCGCGCCCCTCCAGGAAGCTAACCCCCTTATGCTGGGGACTAACTCGGCGAGCGGTGCGGTAAATCCGACCCTGTTGCAAAATTTCCCCTTGAGAATGCATAAGTATAAGGAGGTCCTCTCAAATCTCCGTGTGGTTATGATCGAAAAGATGGTCCGACCTGAGGAAGTTCTTATCGTCGAGAACGACGAAGGTGAAATTGTGCGCGAGTTTGTCAAGGAGAGCGATACAGTGCAGCTTTACAAGACTATCCGGGAATGTCTCGTCTACCTGACGCATCTTGATGTGGTGGATACTGAAACGATCATGACCGAAAAGCTTCAGAAACAGGTTGACGGTACCGAGTGGTCATGGCATAACTGCAACGTCCTGTGCTGGGCTATCGGGTCGATCTCACTCGCGATGAACGAAGAGACGGAGAAGCGGTTTCTGGTCACGGTTATTAAGGACCTCCTCGGGCTAACAGAAATGAAGCGTGGTAAGGATAACAAGGCCGTTGTGGCCAGTAATATCATGTACATTGTTGGGCAATACCCACGCTTCTTGAAGGCCCACTGGAAGTTCCTTAAGACGGTCGTCAATAAGCTCTTCGAGTTCATGCACGAGTCGCACGAAGGTTGGTTACCCAATACCGATACCCTGGAGCAGTAGCTAAATATATCACAGGCGTACAGGATATGGCCTGCGATACTTTCATTAAGATCGCAAGGCAATGCCGACGGCACTTTGTAGCTTTACAGCCTAGCGAGAACGAACCGTTCATCGAGGAAATTATCCGGAACCTGCAGCGCATCACGTGTGACTTAACGCCCCAGCAAGTCCACACGTTCTACGAAGCTTGCGGATATATGGTCGCTGCCCAGGGCAACAAGCACCAGCAGGAACGGCTACTTGCTGAGCTCATGAACGCACCCAACGCAGCCTGGGACGAGATCATCAGAGCAGCTACCCAAGATCCTCAGATCCTACAAGATGCGGACACAATCAAGATCATTGGAAACATTATGAAGACTAATGTATCGGCGTGTTCTTCTATCGGACCGTACTTCGGTCCTCAGATCGGCAGGATATACCTAGATATGCTTCAAATGTACCGAGCTACTAGCCAGCTGATATCAGAGGCTGTCGCCCGTGATGGTAATTCCGCACTTCCTGCTCTCCTTTAGTAATATAAGAAGCTAACATCTAGAAATAGGCGAAGTTGCTCCTCGCATGCCTAAGGTCCGAGGATTGAGAACTATCAAGAAAGAAATATTGAAGCTTATCGAGAGCTACGTTGACAAGGCAGAGGATCTACCTGCTGTCCGTCAGCAGATGGTACCCCAGCTTCTTGACTCCGTGTTGGTAGATTACAACCGTAATGTCCCAGGGGCCCGAGATGCGGAGGTTCTGAAAGCCATGTCTACTATCATCACGAGACTAACAGTAAGAAAGCTCGAACAAGTTCCCAGATGTAGACTTTTGCTAATCGTATACCAGGGCCTTATGGAAGATCAAGTACCGATCATCATGCAAAACGTCTTCGAATGCACTCTGGAAATGATCAACAAAGATTTCTCCGAATTCCCCGAGCACCGAGTTGAATTCTTTAATTTGCTCAGAGCCATCAACTTGCACTGCTTCCCAGCTCTCCTGAAGTTGGATAACCGACAGTTTAAGTTCGTCATCGATGCGTGCATGTGGGCTAGCAAGCATGATAACCGCGACGTTGAAAGCGCGGGACTCAATATGTGCTTGGAGCTGGTTACTAATATCGCTGATAAGACTGATGTGCAAACAGCCAATGCCTTTTTCCAGCAGTTCTTCATTGGTATCTTGCAGGACGTGTTCTTCGTTTTGACGGATCCTGACCACAAGGCCGGGTTCAAAACGCAATCTATGTTGCTAATGCGCATGTTTTACTTCGTGTTCCCCGCAGACGGTTCTACACCGAAGATCCAGGGTCCTGTATACACAGATCAGGCGCCAGCTGGAACAAGTAACAAGGACTTCCTCACCGAGTTCGTCGGTGGTCTTCTACGTAATGCTTTCCCCAATCTGCAAATGTAAGTGTTGCCTTGAAGTATAACCGTGAAAAGTATAAGAGCTAACTAGGCCCCTTCAGTGCACAGATAGGTGCATTCATCGAATGCCTCTTCACCTTGAACGCGTCGTACGAGAAGTTCCGACTCCAGGTCCGAGACTTCCTCATCTCCCTAAAGGAGTTTGCTGGCGACAACGCAGATCTCTTCGTCGTTGAGAAGGAACAAGAAGCCCGCGAGAAGCTGACAGCTGACCACGAACGACGAGCTAAGGTCGGTGGCTTATTAAAACCGTCGGAGATCGAAGCGGAGGATGATGAGCTATGACTACGTCAAGAGTTCAGAAACGAATTTGCTCCTCGCCATGACTCGAGCACAGTCGACATCCCCGAGCGAACTTCGGTCGACCATTTTGATGGATGGGATGTCTACGGGCTTTAAGAGTCTAGCAGCGACCCCTGGATAGGATGATGGGTCATTTATTTTATAACTTTCTGACGCGCCTTTTCTAATCCCTCTTCTCCATTCTCTTGTACGTGATACCATAATAGAACTGCCGTGGACAAGAACTGCAACTGCTGTTTGGCGGCCACGTGGTTGCGAAGTCAAACGAAGTTAGTAGCCCAGTTGCGCTTCTACACTCCGGCATAGGAAAACGACGAAGGCATGATAGCCAGACGATGAAAGACACAATGACAATTCCCACCGGGGTCAACTTGGCGGGAGGGAACAGAAAAAAAAAGGAGTGATGGTAGGGAGGAATGAATGCATATATCTGGCTTTGCGAAGGACGAAACCTCTTCGTAAAGAGACATGCAATGTTTGCCGCTAGGGAAATGGGTGGTTTAGTCGTTATGCTACCGAGAAGAGAAGTTAAAGGAGAGGGAGAGGGAATAGACCACTGTTCTATTTATGTCCCCGAACGCGCGATCTCTTCTCATTGTTAGGTAGATAATCATCGCTGAATGGAAGGCATTAGTCCCAGACGAACGTTACTCGGAAATGCGAAACCTTTTACTTCTTATTCCTTTCTCAAAAGCCAAGGACTTCCTGTCTCGTAAGCTTCGCTATAGTCATTTATTTTGAAGGACAACTGTTTTGGGGGTATTTAACTACGCAAAGTAGTGGGTACTCTTCGTCCTATATGGTATTGTAGTTCTGTATGAAGCCAGTGTCATGTAGCAAACTGATATACGTATTCTACGGCGTGATTTATAACTCCTTTCGGGCCCTTCATAGCTAATAGCAACGGGCAATTTTCTTAAGAACTCGCGTTTATTATCGTATTTGCCTATTGTTTCGGAGCACCATCCGTCTGGTCCCGTTTTAATATATCATAGTTAGGTGCCTATTCCTTTGGGAATAACGAGGGTTGCATTTAGTATATATTAACGAGAAGAGTCTTTCCAGCTCGTCTATTTCGGCCATTCGTTCGCGTGCTTGGTAGAAGAAGATGACTGGACGGTTATATCAGGTAGGTACCTAGGTCCTACCTTAACTAATAATCCACCTACCCAGGTAACTAATAGGAATCTCCGCACGGAACGCGACTATGCGCTACGGTTGTTGAAAAGGATAATAGGTCATAAAGAACCAGAGAATAGCAACTTGGAGCGTATAAGCGTGAGCAGCTGAGTCTAGAGCGCCTGGGAGAATACGACCTAGCGCCAGCCAGCCAGCCAGAGACTTACTATTTACTCTGTCTTCTCTTGCTCGACCTACGATATTGCCTCTTGTCCAATACCTACCTAACCTAACCTAGGGTACCTATCTTCCTACCAAGTTATTCATATACCTATTTGTACACAGCTATGTACCTAGCCTAAGGTATACATCATCCGCTTCCACTATGCTTTTCTCTCGCCTCTCCCCGGTCCCCATCTCCTCGCGAACCAAGAAGCTCAAGTCACCGGGGGCGTGAGACTATAGTCCTCGTCTACTCGACGGACCCCAGAGGGGTGCGGTCGCGATCAAAGTCCCCATCTCACCCGCTTCGATACCGGTACCCCCGGACGCTACCAGCTAGTTTAGCAAGCTGGGCATCGACGTATGTACCTAATGTTAGGTATGTACCTACCTAAGGTATGTATGCGTTTGCGTATGGTATGGTATCGGGTATCGACGACGAACGCAATGCAGGTAGCTAACGACATGGAACCACGATGTAAGACCACGTATTTGACCCCCAATCGTAGTATCCATTTCGCCTATCTGCTTTCTTTGTTTGTCCTGTCGGGCAGCTTGCGCAGAAAAAAAAAAGTAAAAAAAAAGTAAAGAAAAAAAAAACTATTCACTTGCTTCGCGCCAACACATTCAGTCCCGCATTCCCCTTTCCTCCAATTTCAATTCCGCGACGACGACAACTCAAACTTACATAGGTACTTAACTCAGGTAGATAGATGGGTATACAGATAGACACATAGATCGTCACTCACGACAGCGACAAAAAAAAAGATATGCTGAGACAACAAACGGAGAGGGAGAGAGAAAGAAAGAGAGCCGTCAGCATCAAACCCGACCATTCAGAGCATCCATCGTCCGCTGGAGTTATCCCTATTGGGCGTTCTGTTAATACCCGACGGCTTAACAGCGAAAAAGGGCTACCTGCTATGTACTTATTTAATACATTTTACATACCTACGGCACCTAACCTAACCTAACCTAACCCTAACCCTACTCCTACTCCTACTTACGTGAGGTGTTATTATTGAACAACGATACTATTGATATTAGAAATAGCCTCTACATCGAATCAAAGAAGGAGAGGGAAAAAAAGAAGTAGAAGAAGAAAGGGAAAGAAAACTCGGCGCCACAGCCGAGCAGCGAATAACCTAACTAGCTCGTCTTCCCGCCCGACGGGGAAGCCGGCCGATTCCGGTACGAAACCCTAGATGCGGGGGGGAGGGGGGACCTCGGGGGACCTCGGGGGACGATATCGTTATAAAAGGAAAGGAAAAGTTGTATACCGACATCAGTCGGGCAGAGACAAGATGGAGATGATCTAATCCTCTATGATAAATAGATAAATAGCCCCTAGTAACTTAGGTAACTATTCGAATACTATGTCTACCTTACCGAAATCAATTCGGGAATTCATTGTGTAGATCCTAGAGCTATCATGTTGATTGTTATGTTAGTTATCTCTTATGGAATTCCCACATCCATCATCTAGTTTAGCTATGAGGTAGATACCTAAGCGAAGAATGCTTGGGGAGGATTTCCTAATAGGCTACCTACCACGCCCTTCGTGCGGGGGAATCAACATTCAACTCCACTCGAGAACTTGGTTCTTCTTATCACGATCTCTCCTGCTATTCAACACGGCCCAGGGAGACGTATACATATGTTCATCATAGCTACCTAAGGTAACCTTACCTACCTGACATACTTATGCGAAGCCAGCATCGTCTTCAATCCCATTGATATATATATATTAGGTATAGATACACCTACCTACCTACCTTAGGTATCTTGGGTAGGAATTCAGAAGATCAAATTCCAATACAGACGTCATGGCCCCCTCAGCGATCACAGAGACCCTCTCGAGCACCTTGGCGCTCAAAGGTGGAGATAAGCCAGCGGAGACGGAGGTAGAGGCTGTCAAGCAAAATGCCGCAGAGGAAAAGGAGAAGACTCCTCTGGAGGCCATCTCGCACGGGATGGTGATGCCGGGAATTCCCACCTTCCCATCCTACGCGGCTCACAGGAGGCATATCCTCGTGCACATGGCTGCCACGTTCCGCTTCTTCGCCCGGTCCGGCTTCACCGAAGGACAATCGGGGTACGTTTAGGTAGCTATCATCATAGCCATGATCCTTATCCCTTTTTCTTTTCTTTTCTCTTCTTTTCCTTTTTTTCAGGGATGAGTTCAAGACTCGTATCTCCACTTGGGCTCTACCGTGCCAGCCCAAGACCCATCATCATGATCATCATCATGATCTTCAAGTTTCCCCCCCACCCTCTTTATTTCCGCTCGCAAAAAATGGGCCTCGCATACCTACCTAACCTAGGTACCTAAGGTAGCTTAGCTAGCTAGCTAACTCCACGTTTTAAGGCACATCTCGGTGAGGGACCCGGAGTTTAGCGGCCTCATGTGGATGAACCCGCTGGGGCGACACTTCGGCATGCTCACCGCAGGCGACATGATCTGCCTGGACATCGCGACCGGCAAGATCGTCGGCGGCAACACCTCCCGGCCCGCCAACGCCGCCGGCTACCTGATCCACTCCGCCGTGCACAGGCGGCGTCCGAACGATATCCACGCCATGTAAGTACATTACCTAACCTACCTGAGCCAGCAAGCCAAGCCCCCTTTTCGGTTTTTTTTTTCTTCCTTAGAAGCAACGTGCGTTCCCTTCTCCGTGCACAAGAGTTTGGATAAAGACGGAAAAAAAAAAGTTATGCATGCCCAAAAAAACAAAAGTGAAATGTGAAAAGGGGGGATTTCATCTCCCTGACAAGGTAAAAGAAAAAAAAAAATTTGAAACAAAAAAAGGAACGCACTAAACCCGAAACCGAGTAATCCTCAACGGGAGAAATCTCATCATCTCATCATATCTCATCTCATCTCAAAATCTCTCGTAAGCGGAAAAAAAAAAATAAGGACGTTTCTAAAAATGGAAAAGGAAAAGTGAGGCTTGCTTTTTGCTAACGAACTAATCTTTTTTTGTTTTGCCCTAAAACAGTTGTCACGCACACTCGAACGCAGGCCGGGCGTGGAGCGTGTTCGCCCGCCCCCTGGAGATGCTAAACCAAGGTACGTAAACAGAGACTTTACCTTACCCTTGCCTTACCTCTTTTTCCCATTTCCTACTCTCTACTCTCAGCCCAACCCCATGCACAATGTGTTACGATTTCCGTCAACGGGTTGCCGGAAGAAAAAAAAAGAAGAACAAGAACAAGGGAAAAGGGTGGGTTTAGCTCGCGCAGCGGCGGAGGAGCCGTCCCCTGGCCCAAGTCCTCTCGCCCCCCCCCCCCCCCACATCTAACGAACCATTTTCTACCCTCACCGTTACCAAATCAGGCCATAATAATAAATGACAACAATGATGATGTGCATAAGTGTACTATTGTACAATACAAAACTAACTTTTGGTGGGGAAAGGGGGGAGGGGGAAGGGGTGTCACCTAAACCACCCCCCCCCCCACCCCCCCTGAACGCCCGCAGACGTATGTAATTTCTACAACGCGCACGCCGTGTACGCACGATACGGGGGCATCGTATTCGCGGCGGAAGAAGGGGACCAGATCGCGTCGGCGCTGGGGGACCGCAACAAAGGGGTGATCCTCATGAACCACGGGCTGCTGACGGTGGGCTCGACCGTCGACGAGGCGGGCTTCATGTTCGGCCTGCTGGACCGCGCCTGCGCGATGCAGCTGCAGGCCGAGGCCGCCGCCGCCGCCAACGGCCTCCCGAAGCACGTCATCAGCGACGACGAGGCCGCCTACAACTTCAGGATGGCGAGCGAGGCCCACGCCCTGTACCGCGAGGCCCAGCCCGACATCGAGTACGAGCTCGAGGCGGCGGGCGGCGAGGACGCCCTGGCCAGGGGCTTCGAGAACCTGCGGATGGCGCCGTAAGTGTCGGTCTAGAGTTATAGCGCCTGCAAGATCGTAACGTGAAAAGAAAGAAAATAGAAAAAAGAAAGCCGCGACCCGCTTGTCGGTGATAGATCATTACCTATCTACCGATATCTATATTACAGCTTTTGCGGACGAACCATGATAGGCGCGGAGATGAACTGGGTTCGCTAGTCAACTACCTACCATGACAGGGCAGGGGTAAAAGGGAACGATAATAAATTAGACAGGTCGGCTAAGGGTAAATGCCCATTTGGCCCTTAGCGCGTAACGGCGCTTCGTTGGGGGGTAAAGATCCTTCATGCATAGAACGCACATATATGTGTCATATCATGTATTGTACATGCAGTTGGGGGTGAAGAACACACATAGCGACGATAATATAAGGGAAGACGGATGAAAAATATTTCCTTCATTTGTTTTTGTTACTGCTTGTTGTGTGTGCCGTTGGTGAATGGTGAAATATTAACACCGTAAAAGGTCTAGCGCTGGGACGGGGAGATGACGGGAGCATCCCGCAGGATGTCAGTCAGGGGACGGCCCGCATTTTACGCAGGTTTCGAGCAGGGATCTATGAGATGAACGTAAGCATTAAATCGCCCGATGGAAGATCAAAAGGCAAGTAAGTCATCGCGTCCATGAAATACTACTGCGTCGTAATAGGGCCGGCCAGTCGGACAGGCCAACATGTGGTAATTAGCAATGGCCTGAATGGCCTCTTTTCTCTATGGCAGATAAGAAAAAAGGAAATTCCCGGTTTGTATGCGGATCGAGTCACCTTTTTGAGGGCTATAATTTTAATGCCGACGTCTCACTACCATGGATATACCGGGCAAGGCTCACCGAATAGGGCTACCCAGATTATGTCCCTCTATGCGACACCTCTTTTACACATATTGAAAATGTGACCCCTCTAGATAACGGCCTTCCCTCGGATGTGTACTCTATGTAAGAGATCTGTTCTCGACCCTCGAATCTGCAATTTTGCCTGCAGCAATGGGATCCCGCGAAAGCAACCAGAGATGAGTCCCTGCAACGAACCACCCGAGCGAGATCCGTACCCAGATCAATACAATTGACAAGACCCTAAACAATAATTAATGTAGGCATTGTACCTGGTCAGAAATGCTTCGCGTAGCATGTCCAATTTGGAGGCTAACCACAGTTGTTGTAAAATCTTGCCATTTTGCGTAGCTTGAGACAAGGCTTATGCGGCCACTTCCCCTTTTTAGAAATAAGCACATTATCTGAGCGCCTATCTAATTGCGTGCAGAATTTTCAAGCCTTGCAGCGTCGTACCTGGCATATCAGCAAGCCTTTCCCGTGCGTGTTATGTACCGGGGTAGGTACGTATTATACGAATAACATACATAGGTGGCTCATGCTTTTGCTCGGCCTTCGGCTGCTTGTATCTTAGCCGGTTAACCTCCAACGTCGTAGGCAGCAGCTTGGAGGATCGAGATGGTAATAAGACTGTTGCACAGCAGTGATAAAACAATCTCGTTCGATTCTGCAGCAAGACGCTCGGCTTCAAGCAACGCAGAGCACATGGCTACTACCCAAAGCGAAGCCCGATACCCGACGATAAAGCTTGAATGCGCTATTCGATAAGCCGCTGGTCTGTGTAGTAATACCCACCTATATCACCATAACAGACGGAGATGGTGTGGCTACAGCCAGTGTTGTCCGAAATCGGGGCAGGGTGCGGCTCTAAGCGACTATCCCGACGAGACACGCCTCGTAGATACTGCGAGACTTGGATTTTGGCTGATTGGCCTCCTTAACTAGAGGTGTGGGCGTAAACGATCCGAGTTTCGCCAGCATTGCAACCGGGAATTATCATACACAGACTCGGCATTGGGATTCGTGAGGCAACAAAAAGATTTGCGCTCGAGGTCGACGGAGGATCCAAGCCATTGGCAAGTTTCGGTGCAATCAGCATCAAGTGTCTCGTCGAAAGTCTATACACGCGACAAACTCGCCAAAGAAACCTTAGCGAGTGTAGATCGACAGACCTAACCAAATGAATCATTCCGATACGAGCGCTTATTGAATTCGACCTCTCATTAGATCCGGTATCAAACTTCAAATACCAATCAATCAATATACCTACCAACATACCTACCAACAAGACCACCAAAAAAAGCCCTCGTACGTCAACGAGTACTTGGGTAACAGGGTGGTTACCCGCATGACGACGTAGACCAGCCATCAATCGAAGTGGAAAGAATTCCAGACATGGATCATCTGTTGTAGAACTGTAATATCCGTTTCTCCCTATGGCACTCAAGAAGCCCCAAGTAGCGATATATTTGTTTGGAAGTGCGTCAGTGACACTGTGAATACATTCCAAAGGGGGGAGAGGTATGCCAAGACGAAAACCCAATCTCTGGAATGAAGCAAACAAGCAGGATGGAGCTTCTCGAAATTTCCCAATTGCGTGGGACTTGGTTTTAAGACTCGCTGCTCAAGCAACGACTGAGTCATTCTCTTGTGGATCTAGCGGAGTTATGAGAGGAATTAGAGGGTCCTCTTCGCTCCAAAAAACCCACTGATGCGTACTATGTAAAGGTATCGTGGTTCTGGACGGAGCCCAACATGTCTTGTACCGTGGCTCCGTCACCGACACACAATGTATATATAACGGGGCACGTACTATGTAGGTAACCCAAGCGGAGAATTAATCACGATTTGAGACTGTTTATGTGGAACGACTAGGAACTGATCCGATTGAATATGTCCTTCTTCGTTTACCTAAGAGGCTCTACGGTTTAGAGGACTGCGTACTACGGCCGCGGCCACGGCAACGGCTGTGACTAATGACGGATCCTAGACCGGTATTAGGACGCCTCATCAGTCGAGTCGGGTGTATGAGAAACACAAGACATGTGTTAATTGCATCGGGACCTTCCGCCATTGGTACGGTTCAGGAACACATGCAACAAAGATCGCGGAGTGGCCATCTGGTCTCCTCCAACGTTGTTCCGATGCAGGGAATGAAACAATTTCGACGCTAGAAGAATCCGTAGAAGGAACACAAGCGAATGAGATGCGTGAACGAGAAACTAGTCCGGCTTATTTCATTGTGTGCCGGAGACCGGGACACGCATGTCTTTTTCCAACCAAGCCAAGTTTAGTGTAGATGGAGCAAGCCCGCTGAAACGTGGCATAGCAGAAACCCTTAGAAACGTGCCTGGGAAGTGATAAGTGCCAAGGCTTAAGGCAGAAGAATGAGGACCTGAGAGGACCTGAACCTCGTAAAACAGGTAGCGATTGAGGCCCGGTTTCGGTGGGGGGGTTTTTTTTCCCTGGCAGCCTTGGACGTTCGGGAATCTCCATGGGCTGACACGTCGTCGAAGTGGATAGGCTCCGAGAGAAGCACTTTACGGCTTCAGGAATCTTGGTAACAGTAAGTTAGTAGCTTCTCCTTATGCTGCTGCGGGAACACCTCCCCCCCTTCCGCCGCAACCTAGAGGTAGTAGAGACTAGTACAAACCACAGGCCCCATGGATATGCACATGTCAGGTCGGACGGGCCACGGAAGACAATGCCGGGACGGGAAGGCAAGGGAAGAAATATCAAGATCTCACGAACGCATACATCTGAAAATGGTAAATTTGGTGAGCACGGAGTGGGACTGGATTATTGGGATACACTATGCAACGCTACAGGTGCTGTCCTCGGTTCTCGATATCGTTGGCACAGATAAGAAAAAAAAAGAATAAAAAAAAACAGTTCCCAATTTTCATAGGCTCGGTTTTCTTGGATCGCAACGTCAAGAAAGGAATTGGATGGAATGTTTCTAAAGTTACCGTGTGTACAGTGCTATGTAGGTACTATGTACTATCAACCAATTTCGCGCTAACGGCACTTGGGATATTGACATGCCAGGAACATGGTTGGCAGACGTTAGGAAATATCCCGAGAATTATAGGTGGTCCCTGTTCAAACCAACTCCTTTCGTCTATTAGTGGAGGGACAAGTAGACAAGAGGGGAGTACCTACATGAAAATGGAAATAGGCTAGCCTGAATGGTGAAATAGGTGATGAAACTTGGAAAGTTACTTCTCTTTTTATCTTCCTGCATGTATGTACTTCATAGCTTAGGCACATTGCGAGATGTTAAGCGGAATAGTGTCATAACTAACGAATGAGGTGAAAGAGGTACTGCTTCCGCCGAACTAGCTGCGCAGGTACACGTAAGTGAATAGTGGAGTATCAGGCTATTAATTTATGCATGTACAATATAATGCTATACAAATGATACCCGTAGCCTCAGAATGACGATGCTGCGAAGACGAGCTATTAGCTTACAACTTACTGTATTGTACATACAATAACTACATAGTACTACGGTACGTGTTTATTATTGGATTTTACTACCCCTTAGAAACACCAGTCTGGCAATAATAATAATAACAGCCTTCCACCTTGTTTCCATCCCGCGCGAAAAGTCTTTTTATTGCCTCTTCCTGGTTGATGTTGGATGAAATCCCGTCTTATGTGGGGGGCGGCCCTATCATCTCGGTACTTAATCTGGGTTGCAAAGTTGGTAACGAGGGAGGGTTTAATCAAAAAGAATCCTAGAGCTAGAAAAAGTCTTCCATGCTCTAGACTTATGGACATCGATTCGATCGATCAAGTATGTAACTTGTATTAGGGGTATTGCTAGTTATTTAGTTGTCTCTGCAAGCCGAGATGAAACATAGCGCGCAAGGCGAACTCGAGATGCATAAAACTGTATCAACCGGTTGTTAGAAGTCTGCTATGTAAATGTCGTGCCTACGGGTGGTGGAACTAACACCCACACACACACACAACTAAAAGTCTTTCCTACGAGTTCTAGTCTCTAATGTCAACGCCATATCCATATATGTTTCGTCCTTGCGAGAGCAAATTATATGTCTAGACGAAGTTCTCCGCCTTAGCCGCAAAGATCTCTTTGCATATCATCGGCCCAAATGCCCAATCTGATCGATTCGTGCGGTTATCTTATTGCTATTAATATGCGATTGATTGGGTGGTATATAAGCTTACCAAAGTCAACGTTAGGTACCTACGTCTTTATGCTATGCCAACTAATAAAAAGGCTTTCTTTGCTATTCGGTTAAGTTATGAAAATCGAGGCTGAGTGAAGAGAAGAAAAATTTTCTTCTCCTATGCCTGAAACATGCCATCATACTTTCATGCCGCCTCTGAGGAAACAAGCGAAGTCAAATAGAAACACGCCCTCGAGTTGACCGAGCGCATGAGAGACAAGTTCTGCATAACCAGTCCTAGGTAGCAAGTCTTTCTTTCGTTGTCCGTAGTAAGTAGTCTAGTAGTGTAGTAGAATAGAGGCACCCGGTCTAGAACGTCTGTGGCATTTTCAAATCTTTCGATATTTTGTCATTGTCCTACCGGAGAATGTCCCAACAAAACTATCCTTCGCTTGCTGATATTAGGTAGTCCTCAGCCTGCCTAGAAAGAAATTGAAACGGTTTAACTCGGCTCCAAGTAACAAAAAAAGGAGCACCGCAAGTAACATCGTCAGAGCATTTTTACATGTATACTTGGGCACGGTCCTTCGTCTCGGCTGAGTTTTCGTAATATGTAAAAACCAGTTTATGATGTTTTAACGAATGAGGCTGTGTCTAAATTTACACATTTTATGTAATTAGGTGGTATGGAACCTATCAGCATATTGGATGAACGCATAATAATCCCAGCACGGAGCTACAAGGCTCTTGGGGGAGGGATCCCTTCCATACAACCTCCAACCATCAACGCAATTAGAGTGTATGTAGGGGACTGGTCCCTGAGCTACATACTTCTCATCGTCGAAAGCATAACTTTGATAGGGCTCCGAGTAGCCGCCTATTGGTGAGAAGCTGTAAGCTATCAACTTACACACCTACCTTACTATGTAGTAACAGCATCTGGTACTGTACAGTATAACAGTGACGGTAGTAGGTGTGATATGCACTGTGTAAATGTGCGCGCAGGATGGTTTCGCTAAAAGTCTGTTCAAATCTTGGTTGGCTCTTAGATCTACCCCTTGCTCTAGAATCATAGCAGGATTAAGTTGACGCCAACCGGCAGACGCTCATTGGATCGATAGTCCGTCGCAGCGTCTCGCGCGGGAAAAATGTGTTTCGTTGACGCACCTGGAAATGGATGGTGCAATTGGCCTCAATGCTGAGCCACTACCTTCCATCGAGGAGTCTCTCGCTCTCTCACTCGCTTCTTCTTCTCATTTAACATGTCCCGTGTTGTCCGTGTCTCGCTGATACGGAGGTTTCAGTTGAGACTAGCGAGTATCTGTAGATAGTAACATTTGAGTAGGAACTTCGTATTTAAAAGTAAACAACTTCGCCAGGAATATATTCGAATCAATCGGGTTTAGTAAGTTCATTCTGTAAGCTTGTACGGTACAATAGTAGGTACCTACCTACCCAATGCAACGGTTTTGTCCGGCACTCCAACATCTCCAACATAAATAGAGTTCGGTCTCTTTATGTGCCTGGCACAGCATTGAAGTCCTGTCGTGTACTGAATAATGCTCCCTATATTATTGATTCGCGGGCCTAAATACCCAAAAGCTTGTAACAAAATGAAGAATGAAGATGCAGACGAAGTCCGCTTTCGGCCCCTTTCCATAGAGTTGGTCCCGCAGAGTGAGTAACCTCAATGGCCTCATTCTCAGCAGTTCCTCGCTTGTGGCTGAAAGGGGGCTTTCTAATAATCCCTACCTACCTAACTTGCCTACCTAGATACCTAATGTACTAGGTAAAATCATATCGTGCCATTTTTATCTCGGCAATGCTCCCTTAAAGAAAGCCGGCATAAGTCTAAGAGCAGATAGTACCTACTAGGTAGCCAAAATTATACCATATACTTTTACGCCAAGGTTTCTCTCGGCCGGTGCGCGCGATACGAACACGCCCTTAGGAGTTGACGTTCGTCGTGGGGCTTCGGGCCACTGGCGATCATGTCGTTGTTCTAAGGGGTTCATCCCTGATTGGAAGAGAGAGAGGCTACCGATTACTGTTGGACAAAGTATCAAGCAAGTACTTTACAACCTACCTAACAGAGTATTAAAAAAATTAAAAAATCCCCTAGGGGTCATCGACTGGACTTTATTTTTTTTGCCCCTTATCAAAACTCTATTTTTTTTTCTCTTCGCTCATACGCCATACCGTCACTGAGCTAGCTTTAATAGTTTGATGCATTTAACAACAAAAATGGTCATGAGCGCTTCCGGCACCCCGTCACTAGGGGACTACTAGAAGGTTTGGTCTTGGCGATCAGGTGTTGCGCCTCTAGTACGATGAGCCTGACGATCAACGTCCGAGCATATCTGGGGAAAAAATGGTGAAATTTAACCACCGCCTGGCGCATTCTAAGGAGACCCCACCAAATTTATATCATCTTTTTTTTGTGACTTGCTTTTACAGGATAGATGGGAACTCCCGCCTGAACCATATGGCATCTTAGCATGTCTCATAGATAAATTTGATCATTGCATGTCTTCAATTTTTATGACGAGTTTTAAAGTCTATAGATAACATAGCAGAAGAGATTGGAACAAATATTTTGAGGGGCTTGAACTGGTTTTTTCGATTCTTTTATCAACGAATCTCCTGCGTTACTGCGTATAACAAATGCAGCTCCAGCGAGGAGAGGCAAAGCGTAGGCTAGTCCTAGTTGCCTAAAAACGAGTATCAAGTTCCATCAATCCACGTTGAACATGGATGAGCCCGTGCTCTGGGTTATTATACCCGCCACGGCTCCTTTTTCCTATTTCTAACACCCTTGTCGCAAAACCGACGACTTCCAAAACCTGTAAGCCAGTTATAGTCTAACCGACTTCTGCCAGTTCCTTTGCCAAAAAAAAACCCGTCCCGGCATCTACGTGCCATGCAAATAGAAAAACAAGTGATATCTCAATATTGTATCGTAGTACAACAATGTCCGTCCTTATACCGGTGGCCCCCAATCGTACGCCTGTGGCTCGAAGGAAGTCGAATAAAGAATCCCGAAATGACCCAAACTTTTTTTATGATGCTGTGCTCCGAAAGATGCTCTTGTACAACAAATTAACAAATGGAACGGACCGTGGCTTGATCAATCATGCCTAATTGTTCTGCTCAAAAGCCAAAAGCGAAAAAGGAAATTATAGAAAGGAAGGAGTCGTGTGGTAGCTTTGTAGAGCCAGTATTGATAACATGCTTAATGGGTATAACAAGTGGAGTGGTGGATAGATGTTCATCGGAGGTAGAAAACGTAGATTTTTCGTCTAGCCGACGTTTAATAGGATCGTCTTCGTTGTTGTTGAAGGCGAGCGTGCTCGAAAGAGCTGGCGTAGTCCCTCAATTGCTTCTTGGCCTTATCTGATAATTGCGTGCTTTCAGTGCTCGAGGAAGTACTGCGGAGGGAACATAGGCTGCTATGGGAGCTCGATGGGGTGAGGGCTCGGGTCGAGGAGGATGACGATTCCGAGCGTTGGGATAAGTACGATTGAGGTAGAGGAGTTGAGCCGTAGGGCTGTGCGTTACTGAAGTCGTAGGCGGGAGGTAAGAAGAACTTGGATTGAGGCTTCGATGCCGTCCAGTTGTAAGAGGACGGGCTGGCAAGGCCTGGAGAGGTGGCAGGCGTGCTTGTCGTGGAAGACGTCTTCTCGAAGTCGGAGAGCCTGCAAGACTCGCAGCAGTAGGTAGCGCCGTCAGTCTGCCTGTCACAGGCAAGGCAGAACATAGGCTCCCAAGATAGGTCGGAAGACATGGTGTGTGGTTGTGTGGTTTGTAGACGTTAGGATAAACTTAGGCGTTGGATCGAGGTCGACTTGACAGCAGAAGAATAGTATTATGTATAGTTATTTTCTTTACACAAGACTAGACTATCAAACTTGCTCTGGGTCCAAGATATCGAAGCGAAGCCTTAGCGGGAAGTAAATCGGAGCTGTCTGGTGTATGTTCAAGGCGAGACGACGGGATCCGGAGACGTTGGCGGTGGTTTATACTCTTCTATAAGTTGGTCCAAGATTGTATCATGTTTCAGTCTAGTGTTGCAATATAGCACGCAATAGCGGAGCAGCGATGGTTGAGAGGGAGTTATTGTCGAAGTTAGAACGGTAGCTGGTAGAAAGTCTGGTTGGGAATAAGTTGGAGGAGACGATGTTCATTTGTATGAATCCAACTTACACAGCCAAGGACGTGGGTACTTGGGTACAAATGACTACATACTTGGTTGGGATGGGTGCATGGAGAGGTCAGTCACATCAGCGAGCCTTTTGATCAGCAAAGACAAGAGAGACCCACATAGATACAAGGGCTATTAGCTCGATGGGGCCATTTTGCAACTCTTGCACTACAGTACAAGAGGTAGGGGGGGAAGGTGGAAAGGTCCAGCAGGCTGCCCTTATCCTTGCAGTAACCTTGCAGTAACCTTGCATATCGGCTAGATTGTGTTAGGTTAGCGCCAAAGCTGCTGCCGATCATCACTGGAGAGCCCAGGGCAGGGGCCTCCTCTGACGACCTGGAAAAAAAAAATTCTGCTGCTGCAAGGTGTGTGTAAGGAAAATTAGAAGGGGGCGAGAGATAGAGTGATGAGAGGGGTGTAGGGGGAGGGGAGTGTGATCATGATGTCTCCATTTTAAGTTACCTACACCCCCTTGTCCTTCTTAAGAGACCCCTCTAACCCTGATGGCTGCTTATTTGATGACCGGTGTTTTATGCCCGAATTATGGATGAATAGTGGAATATATGAATATAAGCATTTCAAGTCTCTCATTGCTGCTCCACTAGAATAACTTTTTCTAGGTACAACCATACATAGCAACTAGACTTTTTTCGCAACTAGACTTTTTCGCAAAGAACTATCAAAATTGCGTCTTATTCTAGGGAGTGAGGTAACGTAGATGAGTTCCTTAGGTGCGATGCTACCAACCTAGATACGTACCCCTTTATTTTTCTCCGGTAGGATTTACAGTGGTTATGCAGGGCTATCACTACCTTTTTTATGCGACTTGCATAATAGTCTCGCCTTTTTGCGAATTACATGTACATGGCAAAAAGCTACGATGTAGGTGGTATACCTAATATCTACCTCCTACATACCTAGGTGCGTACGTACATAGGTATGTTAGGTAGGTAGCACTGGGATATATTATCAAGGCCAAAAAGACGTAATTGTGTACGTGAGACGATGTTGAAGATGGAGTGGAACCCGTGGGGGGGATTTTCATCTACGTTCTATGTATGTGTGCCTTCAACTACGATTGCTACATCGCGAGTTGCAAAATCGTCAATTAATTAGCTGCTACGTAATATCTAGCCGGAATTTCCCAATCGCGAGAAAACATATTCCGGTTGGGCGTCCTAGGCAGACAGCCAAGCCAAGTTGGCCACCAGGCTTAAAGTCAAGTCAAGGCGAGGCATACGTAAGGGTATGTAGGTCTTTAACGATGTAGACATGCGAGTATGGTTGCACGGCGACCATCATTTTTTTAAGGCCTACGCGTTGCACAAAATTGAATTGGACGAAAGGGTACCCTCTCTGAAGGGGTGGAAGACCAGAAGATAAGCTACCTTACATAGTAGTTTGCAAGGCTGCAAGACGACGATGTTCAATGTTGCAATCGAATTACGGACAAAGTAAACCATACCTAACATACCTTAGGTACCTACCTCTAGTACCTTAGGTATGTACACGTTAGGTAGTATCTACTAAAGAAACCGAAGTCGAAGAAAGCGCCCTTTCCATATTCAATTCATTGGGGCTTTGCGGGGAAACAGCTAACTTTCGCACGATAATCAAACCATAATGATATCTACCGTCGCACAATGTATTTCGTAAGTTGCGCAAGAAAACGCAAGAAAAGAAACAGAAGCCACGCTGCCACGCTAAAAAAGACCCCGGCGACCGCGACCACCGACCAGTGATAGCGCAGAATTATATGGACATATGGAACCTTGCCTACTTCAACTATACCACAATATAATATAATATACTGCACGAAGGTACTACTACATGATGGTCTACTACATCATATGAGCAAGAAGTATACGATGCCCATATACCCTGCCCACACCGTCGCTGCAGGTCTTGGTCTTGCATATGTTCTACGAACGACGCCCTTCGACTCACTCACTTGGTCTGGCTGATTATGGATATCATTGGTTGGTGTATACTTCCAGAGAGGATGGCAATTTATGAAAACCGTCCAAGGTGGCATCGAAATTACCACCTTTTCCACCATGTCCCAATCATGTCTACCTTTTCCCCGTGATGCTTCTATTTTATTTCAGGCTTCTACAACTGTATGGCACCCCCCCCTTTCTTTTATATGAACTCCTGCTGGTGTCGTGGTTGTTTATAGGGGATGTCGCTTGCGAATTATACATACATCTTCGCTTGCGTCGGCATTTAAGTTACACCCTAACGCCTAGAGTGAGATCCCGAGTATTGGGTATTCTCCTCTCAGAGAGGGGCTCGACTTCACGATGAATTCTCATCCAAAATATGGCAATATATTCTTAAGGCGCTTCGGATTCTGACATCATCATGCCTATTTCCAAAACTAGACTGCTACCGCGACAATAGTCGTACTAAGCGGGAAAAAAAACCCTAGAATTCAAGGTCATTTCATTTCATGGATCTTTCTATCCACATCCACTACGACCGGTACCTTACATCGGTCGACTAATCTACCAGTCATTTTCCGACCCTTCCGATGGATCACGGGGAAGGGCTGAGATGGGGGGACCCTTCCTTATCATCACCATCACGGGTTGCCCAAAAGAGACATTGATACTCTATAAGCTTGGTCTATCTGCCAGTGATCCAATTAGGACGGCAGCTGACATCTCCATCCTCTACATCATACTAGTATACTGGCCGCCTGGAATGCGCGATGCTCATGCCGTCAGCCCTCTGTAGCATTTCCCCTTGCCCTAGGGGGGTCCGACATACAAGAAGACATCAGCACCGATGCATACTTACGAAGGTCTCGGCGCTACGGTAGATCTGCAAGAAGCGGCGTAGGCTCTGGGGAATATCCAGGACTTGGAGAGTATGGTTATTGGGTGTGGACTAAAACAGGAAAGAGAGTATGAATTTATTGACTAACAAAACAAAAAATCTTAAATCTTACCCGCACCGCCCCTTAAGGTTGGAGCTGGAGCTTTATGGAAAAGAGAAAAAAAACTAGTATGCGAATCCAAAGTCCAAGCCATTGTGGCTTTTTCTCTTCGACAATCCAAAGCCAAAAGCCCGCTGGACCTATCGAGAACAAAAGGTTCCTAGATGAGCCTGACTGGTAGCACCGCCGTGGTCTAGGATGGTCGATTTACATGAAGCTGATGAAGGCCCTTGTTGTGTGGCAGCCAAGAACAGGACGCTAAACCGAAAGCGATTTCACCTGCGTCGAAAGGCGGGGGAATCTCCTGCAGGTTCTTGCAGCGACGTCGAGCAGATTGGAGCGAATGGTCCCAAGTCGATAGCCACTGTTTGTCGTTAGCTGTCGGTTTGGGAGGCTGCAGAGTGCATGAGCGAGCCACACTTTTTTTCTCATCATTTCTGAAATCGCCACCTGATAGTGTGTAGTAGCCCTGTATTGCTCCAACGCGATTCGCTTTTAGACCCTAGAGTCTATACACGATAGGTAGGTACTATGGATTCCTGCACACCCAGCAGAGGGTTGTCGACAGGACCTTGGAACCTGCAGGTCTACATAATACGTTAGTATCCTACAAGGCAGACAATTTTCCACTCGGCCGACAAACCCCAACCCTTTTCAGGGACTGCGACAACTATTGAGAAATGACCCTAAGCAAGCGAGCACTACAATTATAAGTAAAACCCCGTCCAAGTTCCCTCGATGCGATGTTGACGATCTCATGTAGCGGGCCACTCTCCTGATATAGGAAACGTGCTAAGCATATTGGCTGTGGTAAGCGACTCTCAATGACTTTCGTGCGACCCCATACGTGTCTAGTAATAAAAAGAAGCGTGTTAGACATCAAGGTGCATTAATTATCACTTATACTACCACGTTGATCTCGACGATCTTCGAAAGCACCAGAATCAGGACCCACAACAAGGCTGTCGCGAGTCTGGTATATCTACAATGAAGAAACTTTCACCTAGGGACCCAAATACAGCGATTAGCTGATGGAATCCAAGCATAGAGGTATGTATACAGGTAGGTATATCTGTCTTGGAGGGTGTTTTATTGTATATCGTAATTACGATATAATTGATTGGTTTTAATTGAAATACATGTTGCTGCGCAGGAGGCGCTCGCACAAATGGTACTCAATACTGGAGGCCTGCAAGGCTTAAACGACGTTCATAGGTACCATTGCATGCACAAACAAACACGGAGAGATATATTGTTACCCCAGGGGTAGATAATCGTGCTACCTGAATAGGAATATATCCTCATTTGTCTCATTCATTGGCTCTCAAAGTCTTCATGCTCTCTTCACCCAAGCTGGGTTAGTTCCACGGGATGATCCAAACTCGAAAGCAAGAAAAGGGGGGTCCGCGTGGGATGCCTGTCTTGCCTCGAGATGTTTATCTCTACGATATGAATAGGCATGCGTCCAGAGCATGTGGAATATCTGAAACTAATAGAAGATAGGTGGGTACATGGCAGATAGGATAGATGGAGACTGGGCATATTGCGTAAAGTGTGAGTGGGACATTCGGCCGCGATACGGTCACATTAGACTATCCGCATAGATCTGGTCTATCTAGGTAGGTAGGCATCGTGCAATTCTAAGCAGACAAGATGAATGCTTCGCACTTGATTATTCTATCAAGATGGCTATCGTTTACTAGTTGATATTATTCTTAGTTGATTCTTACTACCAGGTAGGTTAGGCAGGTAGTTAGCGCTTTCAGGAGGTTGCTTGTGATCATCAGGTCTTTCGTAGCTCCCAAACATAATATGAAGTAAATAAATTAATTAATTACTTGTGCTGCTTACACCTAGTCTATGGCGCAATATGAATATTAAACAACGTATGTTAATAGCAAGTTTTAGCTTATTCCTTAGAGGCTCCCTCTCTTCTAGTAACCCACAGGAAGGCCCGGCGATTCGCCAAGGTACAACACAACAACAACATGAAGATTCACATGCGCAGAAAGTAGGCCTTGTTACTATTACCACTAACAAGTATATATAGTACATAACTAGTATATTAGATAGGTAACCATGTACAGCTAGATCACTTGCGAATGGCAAGGGTGTATTTGCATTGTCTTGGACGCTGACGAAACAAGTGTAGCACGCGGCTAGCTGCG